AGGAAACATATTTCCTCATCGTTGTACACCGTTTCCCCCGCCGTTGGGGGGGCGGGATAGGCTGGATTGGGAGGGGGTGTTTTGGATGACATGCCATTTTCTCAGTCATCTGCTATTTTTAGTTACTGGAATTATCCACCATTCCCTCACCAAAGAAAATATGCTTGCTGTTGTCTGTTATGACATCCGGTGAGCTCGGGCATCCGCAGGGCACACCAAAGGATTGCAAAAAAAATCATATCACATTGTAAATAAAATACATACAGGAAGGGGGTGGCTAGTAGAGCCAATCCCCTATGAGGTAGAGACAAAACGAGCAGAAACAGCACATCCATGACATGCCGTTTCTGCTACGGTGCATCTCCTGCTTGTCATCGTTGTGCACGGGCCACCCACTGCCATGTCGATGTCAGCGCTGGGCTCACTGCCCTTGTGCCATCCTCACGTCATCATCATCGCCATTGCCCCATTGCCACTGTCCTGCCGTCGTCCTGCAGGATGACCCTTGCGCTGTGGGGACCCGATCGTGTTGTCACCTTGCACTGGGCAATGCAGTGCTGAAGTAGCTGGTAGAGGGTGTGTCGGGTGTATGTGGTGAACTCGCAGTCAGGCCGACCGCCGTTACACCAACCGCCCACCCCCTCGTGCTTGTGCTTGCCATCGCCCTCTTGTCCATCCAGCCCTCGCCCTCACCCTCCCTCGCCTTCATTCGTCACTTCTTTCCCACTGTGCTTGCCCCTGCACCATGACGACATTTACATTTGTTCCGCACGCCCAACGTGCTTGAGTTGCTGCTCTTGAATTTGTCATTCCTCCATCGCGCTGCCGTGGAACCATGGGTTGGGAAGAGGGCGAAGAAGGGAGGGTGAGAGGGTGAGATATGGGTAGGGAGGGATGAGGAGAGGGAAGGGATGAGGAGAGGTCGTGGTGAGCAGCGAACGTCAGCAGGGGACTGGTGGGAGGAAGAGTGGCACCCACATCCCTGTTGAGGGGGAGGGGTGGGTGATGTGGAGAGGGAGAGGGCAGAGAGGGCAGAGAGGGCGGGAGGCAGAGAGGGCAGAGAGGTCGAGAGGGCGAGAGGGCGAGAGGGCGAGAGGGCGAGAGGGCGAGAGGGCATGGCTTTGCGCACGCCATCCTTCTCCTGTCTAATCTACCCTGTCATCTCCCAGTCATTGTCACCGTTATTGCCCCGCATTGTCGCCCTGTCACCATCTTCCTTGTCGCCCCGTCCTGTCGCCGTCCTCTTCCTCACCCAGTCCTCGGCCTGTCACCATCCTTGTTGCCCTGTCCTGTCACCATCCTCTTCCTCGCCCGGTCCTCGGCCTGTCACCATCCTTGTCATCGCCCGGTCATCGTCCTCGCCATCACCTGGTCCTCACCCTGTTGCCATGCTCGTCGTCACCCTGTTGTCGTCGTCGCCCTGTTGGGCCAAGTGAGGCAGAGTGTGCACCGGGGCGAATAGCAAGACCCACATCCCTGTGGAGGGGAGGGGTGAGGTGAGAGCAAGGGCAGGGTGAACAGCACGCAGTGGGGCCGATATCTGGGTTGCAGGGGAGATCGGGTGTCGATGGAGGATACACGTAGGGGTTGGAAGCCGGCCCACATCCCTACAAGAGGGGAGGGGCGCACAGCAGGGTCGAGGCGAGAGGCCACGTCATCTGTGATGTGGGCGGGCTCTGATGAGACAAAGCAAATGTAATTAGTATACAAAAACAATAAAACGTACTCTACATACCTTTTGTCATGTTTTCGGGGCTGGATGGGCGACCAGAGAGGTGCTGGGCGGAGGGGATGGGTGTCGAGACAATGATCAACGATGGTTGAACCATTGTTGATCGTTTTTCGGCTATTGCCATATGGAGTCCGATTGGCTGATGACCTCTCGGACCGAGCCCCCTCTTCTGCCTCTCGAGGAACGGGATGTCTCTGTGCCCACACACGGGCCACTCAACCACAGGATGAGGGTCGGATATTATTATATATATAAATGTTGATATGTATATAAAAAATTAGAGAGATCCCACCATGATTGAGCTCAGAATATGGCACACACAGTCCGTGCATGGTGATTTCAGGCTTTTGCAAAGACTTACCTGCATGTACAGCAATAAAGAATTGACAAAATGAGACTATTTACATCATAACCTCAATGTAGTATGTGCTCTGTACATTACTTAGGCCTCCCCCAAAGTGTTCCTGCAGTTTAAATGTTGCGATCTCCAAACACACATTTCAATGGTAAGATTCTCATTGAAACTTACAGTCCCAACAGTGCACTTACATATGTCTATTTGTTTAGACACATTCATGCCATTCAAGTTATTTAAATATGCTCTAATACACATGTAAAGTAGTTCTATATACTTGCTATATGAAAATCTCTTGTTAATGGCCGTTGAGGACATTGCCAATGTCTTGCTTGACATCGCGGGTAGGCGGACCGGTGGCCCCAGCCGCATGGTGGAGTTTGCTGAAACAACAATCAATGATGTTGAGCATCGTCAATTGCTGCTCTCGACCACCACCTGGCACTCCCCAATGCCTCAAAATGCGCTGTGAGACTTGTGTTCGTCACAGATAAGGTAAGTACACCCATTTTCTATCATTCAAACCACTTATTTACACATTCTGTCCCTCAGGACATTCCCCCTCGCATGCACGACTCCAGCCACCGTGCCGTGTGCCCCTCCCCTTCAACAAGGGATGTGGGCCGGCTTCTCTGCAATGGCAGCACCTGCGCTCTCCTCTCCTTGCTTGCACGCTGACTCAATTGTCAACCGCCCAGTGCTGCCCTTGACATCCTGCTCTTCAACCACTCCATTTGCCCCTCCCTTCAATAAGGGAGGGATATGGGTCATCTTCTGCTCGGTTCCGCGGCCCTTGCCACATTTTCTCAGGTACCGTCCATGTACAGACGAGGCAGAGGTTGCAAGGGAAACAGAAACGGGAGGGAGATCGAGATGGCGTGACACCCATTTCACCTTTGCCATCTCACCCTCCCTGTCTCGCTCTCTCGGCTACACAGCTGGAATGAACACGAAGACGATGGGCGGTGGCGAGCACATGTGAAATGAGGTCGATGCGCATGTGGGCAAGTACACCAAAATGAGCATGAGACAAGAGGAGGAGGAGGAGGAGGAAGGGAAATGCATGTGCACGAGCATAGGGGGGACGAGCATGGGCCACAAACCCATGAAGGTACATGGCTGAACTGTCCCCCTTGCGATAGCCACTCACCTGCTTCCTGTTCCCCATCCCAGCATGGTTGGCATCGTCTGCGGATGCACCCTCCCTCAACGAGCTCAGGACTATCTGTGTCGGCCCGCGCGACCTGCTCATCTGGCCCCCATCTGCTCAAACACCACCCACCCCTCATTTCGCCTTCCCGCTCATCTCCTCACCCCCTCTTGCATTGTACGCAGAGCCAGTGTCCACGTGGCATTGTGTAATCTCGTACAATGGAATTTGGGTGGCGAATCGCCTCCCTTAGCCTCCCGTCGCCTCTCACCCCACCTCCTGCCTCTCATCCATGGAAGCACGGTGTCTCATATGCCATGTAATACTTGGATGGAGGTGGTATTTCGGGAAGCAAACATGAGGACCGGATGGACGACAGCAATGAGGACGTGAGGAACCACAATGGCAGCGGAGAACTATGACAACAACAATGACAACGACGGCAGCGAGGAACACAAGAACAACGACAGTAGCAGCGAGGAACGACGATGATGGGGTGGCAGCGAGGAACGACATCGACGGCAGCGGCAGCAGCAAGGACCAACGAGAACAGTGATAGTGGTGGTGGCGGCATGAACAACAACCACGGCAGCAGCAGTGAGGAGCCATGCGAGCACGAGGATGACCTGCCACAAGACAAGGGCAAACACGAGCAGCACGGTGGGACGATGCAAGGATGAGGACAGCATGGCAGGTCCACTCGAGCAGAAACAGTGCATTCGTGGAGCACCGTTTCAGCTCGTTTTATCTCTATCTCAGTGCAGGTGGCTCTAGTAGCCACCTGCACAGTTGTACTTAATTTATTACAATTTAATACTATTTTTTCCTATTTTTTCTTGTGCATGCCTGAGCTTGCCAGACGTCATAATAGACAATGGCAAGCCCAAGCTATCCTAAGAACCCTCAGAAGCTTTACGGTAAATTCTAAAAATAACCGAAAAAACACCGCGTCATCCAAAACACCCCCACCCAATCCAGCCTAACCTGCCCCCCCAACGGCAGGGGAAATGGTGCACAACAACAGGGAAATATAGTTCCTCATCATTGGTGCCCTTTCCCCACCGAAAACGGGGGCGGGAGCACCCCAAACGATGAGGAGCAGTGTTTGGGCACTGTTTCCTGCATTGTTTGTGTGTGTTAATAGGTCCTGCCCACAGCCACAAGCCCCAGCAGATCCGGCAAGGCCATCCCAATGAACTCCGGTAGGTGGACTGTAAAAACACAGTCCTGATCTATGAGGCTACCCTGTAAAAATACAGTGTTTGATATAGAAATGTAGCGGACATGGCTGATGGATCTGGCATTTTTGTCCATTTTGGCCATTCCTTGTCCATTCTGCCTCCGGCCTATTGGCCGGTTTTTGAGGTTTCCTGTCTGTTTAGGGATCAACCCTCTGAGCCTACTGTTCTGATAGGACCTTCTCTTCACAGCCAGTGATGTGTGACATCTGTGAAGAGATTTGCAACTCTTCAAACTTAGACTGGACACATGACAGAAGCCGAAAGTCTTTGCAAAGCTGGACAAAATATTTCCATTTATGGCATGCCCAAACGCCCCACAGGGTCCGAAAATTTGGTCACCCTTCAAATTGCCTCGAGATGCCTGACATTTCTCAAGATCTCTTCTCTTCAAAGCCCTTTGTGATGCGTGACAGAAGAGTAGGTCATATCAGGACAGTAATGTCAGGGGTCCTATTGAGGACTGCTCAAGACTTTCACTTCTCATTGTTTCTCTGGTCCCATCTCTTGCTCTCTTAATGCTCTGAAGCAAGTTGACTGTATACCATCCTATTTTCTCTATGGTGACATAGATGTTGACCAACAGACAAGAGGGCCATGAAGTGCTCTGCTGCCTGAGGACCTTCCTGGTATTTTGGACAATCTGGAGTCTCAAGATCAGGAGGTTTGGAACTTGGTAAGAGCACTGTTGAATTTGCAGCTAGCTATGAACTGATTTTTTTCAGGTGTTGAACAAATTGACGGGTATTGTCCAGAACCAAAGAGAGTTCGCAGCTGAGAATGTTTTCTGCATTTTGGATGCACTCGCTGAGGAGGCCTCTTCCCATCTTCTCATACTCAAAGGTGCCAAAGAACTTTACACTCCCATTCTCATCACCAACAGCGAGCTGCACATGAATGAGGAAGAACTGATTGGCCTTATTGAGTCCTTTGAGAACACTGTTATATTGCAGGACTCTATGCATGAAGTTCTTCATCCAAGAAATGGCTGTTGATTTGGGCTGCTTCTTACACAAGATCTGCCAGAGTACGACTCAGCGCTGAGTTGCTTGATCCAGATAGCTGGATACATCAAGGATATCGACCCCAAGCTTCTAGATGACTCTGATTGTGGCAGCCTCATGACCATTATCTACACTCTCAATGCCTTTTTGGTGAGGAGCCATGCTCCATACAAGCCTACAATTTTGTGGCCTCCCTTGGTTAGAGCACCACCCACTTAGATAATATGAAGTGTTACTCGCAATGGTCAAAGACTTGGACTGACGTGATAGCACCTAGTCATGATAAGAATGTGAAGCCAGTAATTGTTATAAGTGTCACCTTTGACTAGGGACATGATGATCAATAGTGCTTAATGCACTATCACCCAAAGACTAGTATACCCCTACACCACAGAGTCATAAACCAAAGCATGGTCTATTAATTTGTCTGCGGGACCATCTAAGTGTGAGAAGCCAGCATAGTCAATCGAGTAAAGAAGCAGCGGTGCTAAACACGAGACAAGGATGATCTGGCATTACAAAAGCGAATGTAGTGTCATAATCCAAGGGCTACAAAACATACTAGGGGGTTAAACTGTTCCACCAGAGTAAGGAATGGCCTGTCAAAGTCAACACTATTACGTTAATATTGCGATACACCATATCATGTTAGAGCACTAATTGGCCAAGATGGCAAACCAAGTGAAGTCTCGAGGATGAGTCAGTGAGTTCCATGTGCACACACAGAATAACTTAACTGTGATAAGACTGATATCATGGTCAGTCAAGCCAAGGTTCATCAAGAGTAGTGAAGCGCTCTTGTTACCATGTGATGCCTTCTGAGAATGATGAACAGAACCAAAATGGTCATAGTTACTTGTCAGGGATAATACATGATTAGTGCTGGTGGCATTGGTCCATGCTGTTCTCACGATAAAACACCACATGCTTTGTTTCAATTTGCATATCTAGCACATGGTACACTACTTGGCTTGGACTCTTAGATACCGGATACCCCTAATCGTGTTTGTATAAAAAGCCTCAAATAGTTTAGCTTAAGCAAGCAATCTTTACCCCCCCAGAATCTGATTTTCAGTTCGGTGTGATTAGCTTCATGTGTTGAGTTCAGGGCAAATTGAGAGAATGAGACAAGTCAAGCGAAGAGTGTTCAAAGTTGAGTTTCCGTGATAAGCTTTTAAGTCGGTCAAAGGACCATTAAGCCAAGTGCCCAAGTACTGTAAGTCGGTCTGTGTACTGTAAGTCAGTCAAAGGGATAAGTTTAAGTCAAGGGCAATTGAGCCATTAGAAGTCAAGTCAAGAGAACAAAGTCTGAGGGCATTTTCAAGTTTCTAGTCACATTTAAGTCAAGCAGTTCAAGTCCTTCATAAGAAACAACCCACACCAAATACCATCTCCATCATACATCCCTGGGTTCTCGGGTGTTAGAGTTTGTTAGCTAGTCAATCTAGCTTGTGATCAAGTCCCTCAAATAGTGTCACTATCACGTTAGTCAACGGTTCCATTGCATTCAGTTGTATACTGTAAATCATCACCCTCTTTATCAATTATGAATATTATTGATTGGGTAGTAGTCCGGTCAATAAGTTGTGTTATCTGCAAAGTTGTCACTCTAGACACTTTGTAGTCTCACTCCCGCAGCTACCTCTTCATTGGGCTGTTGGCTGATGATGACAGCTTAATTGCAAAGAATGCTGCAGAATTCATTGCAGAGGATTACAGAAAAGCCAATGGACTCATTTTTGCCTTGCTGGAAGAGCACAAGGAAGTTGTTTGGCCACTCATCCTTCAGCTCACTTCAAAGCTGCCCCACACTGTTGGTATACCATCAAATTTTGCTTTAATGAAATTCATCGAGGTGGGTTCTGGAAGGCAGGTTGTTGTAGATGGGTTCACAGCAGTGTGGAAGGACCCTGAAATAGCACTGGAAATGAAATGCGCAGTCATAAATGGGCTGGCCAACAGCTTTCCCTTTGCAATTTCCTTGTTCAGGTGTTGAAGACTGAAGCTACAGTGATTCCTGTTATGGTATGCAACTTCTTTCATCTCTTCTTTTTTTTCATTAATGCCATCCCAGCTCTCTTTTGGAAATTTAATGGAAGAAAAACAACTTGTCGGTGCAGCGCTCTTGGAACTTCCTGGCACCATCGAACAGGTTGTTGATATCTTCAATGGCCCTTCCCCTCTAAGTCGACCTCTTGCTGCTTCCCTTTTACGACAAACGTTGGACTCATATAAAGATGACACGTCTCAAAGGCAGGAGGCTACTGTGTCAAGGATGCAACCTAACATTTTCCCTCGTATCATTGCTTGTTTGAACTGCAACGAGCTTTACATCATCAATGCAGCTGTCAATTTGCTTGCAGACATACTGACAGGTGAGGAAGGTATGAACACATGAACCTACAACAAAGAGAGCAGCGATATCCCACCTACTCCTCTAAAGGACTCAAAAGTTACAGAAGAGCTCGTTCACCATACTATTGGGTTGCTGAAACGATAGGAGACCAGGGAAGGTGCTCTGAATGTTCTATGTCAATTCTGCTGGGGATACCAGCACAGCTTCAATCTCGTGAAGAATGGATTTGAGAAAGTCATTTCTGATGCTGATATATTTTTCTTTGAAGGTCTTTCAGGTGAATAAGTGAGTAGATTCATTAGCAGACAGCGTCACCAGGTCGCAAAAGCTGCAGTTCAAGCAGGTGGCATCCCAAGAAAGCTTTCCTAGTGAGGGATCCAGAGTATGATAACATTGAGGGGCGATGTGCAGCCATAGAGGGCTTCAGGATCCTACTCTGTGTAGATTCTGTGGATCTCAAGATTGGGAGGAGAAACAAGAGCCTTCCACACCTCCTGGCAGAGCTGCTCGCTGCTCGCTCCTTCGCATCACTGAAGCATGTTAACTACATGATTCATTTACTCCAGGACAATGATAAGCCAACAGCTTTTAAGTCCTGGAATGATTTAGTCAACTCAGAGACTTTGTTGCATTTGCTTTACATATTGGATCAAGCCACCAGTAGAAATAACCACAGAATCTTTGCTGGGAGGGATCATGGGGGCAGACAAAGAGCACGATACAGCAGAGGCTGAAAAGAAGCGTGAATTGTGAATGATATAGACCAAGACATCTTATACATGCTCAGGATGGATTTTCAGGATTTTGGACATTGTTGCAGAACTTCTCAGCAAATCCTTACTCAATCCCTATACCACTGAACTCATCGGCCCACACCTCCAACTGACAGATGCAGATAACCTAAACAACATGGTTCTAGAGTTACTAGAAAAACTCGCAACCAATGCAGCAACCGACATTCTGACTCCTGCCATTTGAGGCATTAAGTATCCTGTTCCATCCTCCAGCACCATCAGAACTTGGATCCTTTGTAGCTCTGCTTTGGCTACAGCCTTGTTCTGTGCTGGCATTTTGGATTCAATATTCAAGGTCTACAAATACGGGGATGAGGACAATGCATACAATGACCACCAGGCTCTTGAAATTCTGGAGTGCCTAATTTGCAGGCTGAAGGGCCGAGAAGTTGTCACTGGCAGACTAGGCCATACAGTACTTGCACAATGATGAATGCATACACGATGCATTCCAAGTCACCAATTCGGAGCTGCATCAACTCTCAACTTATGGCTATCCAGAAGGTACCTCAATTTTGGAGAGTCACGAAATATTTCCCATCCTTCTCACCCTGTTCAATCATCCCTCTTCACCTCCTGCATCCGTGGGCCCACTTCTTGGAGCACTCTGCCATTCTGATATGAAGAAGCTTGCCGATCTGTTGCGTTCTGAAATGGCGGGCTGCAAAGGCGGAGGAAAGAAGAAGAAATTCCAGTCTCTAGGAGAAGTTTTGGACAGAATCTCTGTCCTTGTTCAGACAACTCCTGTGGCAAGAAAAGCTGTGTTTGAGGCAGGAGCTATTCCTTTCCCAAGTGAGGCCTTGCACAAAAGTTCCAGAGAGGCAAAAGAGCAAGCGCTGAAGATTTTGCATGGGTTTGCAACAGGCGGTGTAGAGTATCAAGACACTTTAACACACATCTTGCCATACCTGGTCAACCTCTCAGATGCAGAAGAGATGCTGGTATACCCCACCATTGAGCTTATTTGATCTTTTCTCCCCAGAAATTTTGCAAAGCTTGCTGAAACGGGGGCTATTCAAGCATTGTTTAGAGTTTTCATGGACTGCCTGACTGCTGTCGAGGATATGATGTTCCTTGTTGATACCATCCACAATATTGGTAAAGCAGAAAGTGGCCGCCATTCTCTGACAATGGTGATCAAAGCTTCACTGGAATAAGATGGCTTTGTGCAGGAGGGAATGCATATGCTCTAAGGAGGCTTGTTGTTGAGGGAGTCCATTGTGCTTGATGCTGGTGGCATAGAGTATGCAATCAAGCTCCTTCAAGCCAAAGATCTCCATGTATGTCTTGTCTTGCTCCAATCAGGTACCTCATTTATTTCCCATGTTGTGTCTAGTTAGTTGCCATTGGCAGAGCCCTGTCTGCAACTCTGGTGCGTTGAAATCTGGAAGTTTGATTGAAGTTGGTAGATCTTGGGATGTTGAGATTGATCAAATCAGGTCGGGTAAAGTGCCTCGCAGAGGTCAGTGCAATTGTCAAAGTGTGTGAAGGCGAGCACCAACACCGGGAAGACCTTAAGCTGCATCAGAATTGGGCGAAGGCATTGTCGGTGGCTTTCGAGGCCGTGAATAACGAGGATGTGGAAGACTTTGAGGAGGATTTCTTCATCTAGGTGTAACAGATCCTCAATGAATTTCGGGTCTGAGTGAAATGATTAAGGTCTGCCTATACGTAGGCAGAGACATAAACTGCTCATTGAAATATCAAATAATTTGGAGCCGCGCAGTTTGAACTTGCATTGGGAAGAGATAATACACGGTGCACTAGAGATACAGACCTAGGCGGAATCGGTGATGGGGCGGTAATATTTCATAAGCTGAGCTTTGTAGGCTGTAAATCAGGATTCAGTACATGCATTGGGTTGCAATCAACTGAGACACCGACCAGTGGGATTGCCCCAAAGAGATGCCGCATCAGGGTTGAGAGGAGAGGCATTGTTTGGTTCTGAGAGGGGCTGAGCAAGAGGAGCGGCTAGCAAGTAAAGATAGACTAACCTCCGAGCAAGGATTGCAATGAAATGAGTATGGTCTGCACACTATAGACAGCAGACCATTTATCCTGGAAGGGTATGGTGTCAAAGGCAAGCCGAGTTCAGAGGAAAGGCATATGAGCTCACCTGAAGGATATCGAGACAAATCGCCCCGCCGGTGATGTCGACATTCGGATGATAGCAAGGAGTATCAAATTTGATGGTCGGTGCCACATATGGGTAGTTGGGAGGGAAAGAGATGGAAATCTTAAAACTGAGGCCAGCATAAATCTAACCATCATAGGTAAGTATGTATCCTTAAGCCAAGAGTGTTACCCACTGTTTCCGATGGTCCCTCAATGGTTCCGACCCACTCAAAGAGATTTCCGTCGTGCTTGGGAAACGCAGACTAGATGGAAGGGTCAACGGTTAGCGTGGCTATAGGCTTTCTTCAAATGACCGGATGAATCTCACAATGCCCGGAGACGACGACATCTGTGAAGACGGTGGGGTCAGAAAAGCGCGTCACTGAGGCCATTTCACAGGTGTACCAACCATGAGAGTCATTAATTCACTGCTAAGCCTGCTCGGAGTGGTGGTTGAGAAAAATACGACAGGAGGAAACGAGCAGTACTGACCTTTTGGCTACACTACCTGCCACTTGTTGGCTGGAGGAGGCGACATTAGACTTGGGAGCCGAGCGAGGAGGTGCGAGAGAAGAGGTGAGCTGTTCCATGTCGTGTATTAAGGTTCGTTAAAAGCGTGAAGATGAGCTGCGTGGCGGGCGATGTACAGGGTGCAGAGGCAAGTTGAATTGCGCCCGTGTTGGAATTTCACCAGTCGCGGGTGGCACCGTCACATGATGTGCGTGGGTGCCCATTGCTTAGTCAGCACATACATCTGCCGTTAACGGCGACGCCTCTACTGAGCTCCTGCCCAACAAGACTGTTGCCGCTGGCCCACTCTCTCTGGGACACCATGTCCTCTAATTTCTCCCCGACCCCCGCCGAACTCACCCTCGTCTCCCAGATCTTTACCCAGGCTGACCCCCAGAAGCTCGGCGTTCTCACTGGTGACGTTGCGGTGAGGGTCCTCACTGGCGCAAAGCTTCCTCCAGTTACACTGGGCGAAATATGGAATATTTCAGACGAGGAAAATAAGGGCTGGCTTCCTAAGAGAGGCGTTGCCATTGCAGTACGCTTAATTGGTTGGGCCCAGAAGGGAGAGAAGATTACCCAGGCTTTGGTCAATAAGCGTAAGTCCCACCCATTTCACTACTCTAGATGGTTTCATTTCAGCGCATCTTCTTCTCAGCTGGTCCTTTGGCAGTCATCGAAGGAATAAACACGGTCGCGCAGCAGAATACCGGCATCTCATTGCCTAAATCCCCCCCTCCAGCTGCCTTCCCTCCATTGACTGCTCAGGACAAGGCCAAGTTTCAAAATATGTTTCTGAAAGCTGGCCCCACAAATGGGCTGCTGGGCGGTTGGTTTCATTTCTCCACGTTGATTTATAGTTTCTTAGCCTCTGGCTTACAGGTGAGAAGGCTCGTGACATATTCGTTAAATCTAAACTCTCTAACGAGCAACTCATGAAAATCTGGTTCGTCCTACTGTTGTATCGATTTCAATTCCACTACTTATAGCTCTTTGAATAGGAATTTAGCCGATACCCAGGATCGAGGTGCCCTCGACTCGGCAGACTTTGCAATGGGGATGTATTTGATACAAGGCATCATGACGGGCAAGATCACATTCATCCCAACTACTTTGCCGCCAGGGTTATATCAGCAAGCTGGAGGGTTGACAAATGCCGGTTCAGTGCGTTCTCATATGACAGGAAACAGTGGTTCTTTCAGCCCTGTAGGGAGCAGCTTCCCCTCTCAACACACTGGACAAACCCCAATGTTGCAACCTGATCACACGGGACTGTCTGGTCCATTCAGAGCTCCGACACTTCCAGCGCGCCCCAATGCTCTTGTCAAGAGTAATGGACACAGGGAAGAGTGGGATGTGACGCCGACAGAGAAGGCGTCATCGGACCGCTATTTCGACAGCCTGGATACGCACAAGCGAGGTTTCATCGAAGGCGAAGTGGCGGTCCCTTTCATGCTCAAGTCGCAACTACCTGGGGAAGTCCTTGCACAAATTTGGTAGCTAATTTTTCTTGAGCAAGCGTGTCTGAATTCCATTCATCCTTTCCTCTAGGGACCTCGCAGACATCAATAATGACGGCCGTCTGACTAGGGATGGCTTTGCGATAGCCATGCACCTTATCCAGAAAAAGTTGGCTGGTCAAGACATCCCACAGACCCTTCCACTTTCGTTGATGCCTCCTACTTCCCGCCCTTCTGCCCTTGGACCCTCGCCCTTCTCTCCGTTGCATACGCAGACCCAGCAACATCCGGAGCCCGTAGACCTCTTTTCATTTGATGATACTCCACCTCCGTCTGCTGTTCCGTCACGACCCTCGGAAACCGTAGTTATACCGCAGACAACAGGAAGTACCTCGAACGCGTTGCCGCAACCGCGAGCGATCGAAAATGATCCATTTTCCGGCCCTACTTTTCAAATATGTACGTTGCATGAACGATCTCTGATGCTGATTCAAGCTGAAGGATTCAAGCAGCACTGCATCGTGATTTCCTCAGCGACGATGACGGCCATGATACTGTCTCTCCGCCTCTACATGATCACTCCGCTGAAATAGGGAATGTAAAAAATCAATTGCACTCTACGGAGCGGTCTGTCTCAACAGCCAAAACAGAGCGCTCAGCTCTGGAGTCGACATTAGCTAGCCAAGCTTCTCAACTCTCCACCCTTCAAACTCAGCTCTCGTCAGCGAAGGCCGCATATGAAACAGAGGTCTCTCTACTCGCAACGCTGAAAGAGAGGCATTCGACCCAGACCACGGAGATCCAGAAGACAAGAGAAGAACTCATCCGGGCGGAAAGTGACCTCAGTGCTATACGTGTTGAAAAGGCAGAGATTGAAGGTACTTTCTTGCGCGACAAAGAAGAGGCACGCGATCTTCACCGGCGGATGATTGAGGCTGGGCAGCAAGCAGAGGCCATTCGTGCCGATGTCGAAAAACTCAAGAAAGAAGCTAAGCAACAAAAAGGACTACTGGCTATCGCACGCAAGCAGCTAAGCACTAAAGAGAATGAAAGAACGAAGGCAGAGAAGGAACACGAAGAAGCTACGGCCGAAGTCAAATCTCTCACGGAAGAGACAAAAGCTGTTGAAGCAGAGATTGCGAATTTGGCGTCGTCTCCGGCACCAACTGATGCAACCATCTTGTCGACTTCAGATTCCCTCACTTTCGCTGCCGCTCAACCACTTCCAACAACACCAGATCCATCTGGACCCATCAGGAGCAATAGTAACAATCCTTTTGAACGTTTGGTGATGGCTTCTGGGCCTCAGAACGTACGCTCACCTTCTCCATTCTTTGCCCAGACCAACGAATTCTCCTCGCCGCCGGCTTCTATCAATGGGACGGTCTCTCCTCCTTCCAAGGCCGAGGAAGATTGGTTCGAAGCGCCGAAAGAAGTGGTCGCTACCGCTACCTCCACGACTTCCGACCAACACGATGCAGGAGCATCCTCTGGTGCTCCGGAGAGCGTTTTGTCCCCAATGACTGATCATTTTGTGACCCCTCCTACCAGCGCGAGGAACCAGTCCAGTCCAGTTTTGTCTCCTGATGTTGCCACCAAATTCCCCTCATTGGATGATATCCCGCCTCCTGCGATTCCTTCTGTTGACAAGGTGCCTCCTGGGACGCACGCGGAAACGGATCTGAGCAGTCAGCTGAAGGAAATTGATATTGAAGAGTCTGATTCGGATTCCGACGACGACGTGGTCCTGGCAAAACTTGCTCCAGCCACTGTCGTTCAAGATGCACCCGCTGTTAGCAATGGAGTCTCTGTGCCATCGGATCAGAAAGATCCGACACAACCGAAAGAGCCTGCGGTCTCATTTGACGACATATTTGGTTCTCATGAACCAGAGGCCCAGGTTGCAAACGGTAAATCCATGGCTTCGGAGTTTGCTACGAAGGGGTCCGAACCTTTCGAAGCAACTGCGACTTTCAAAGTGGCAGATGAACCGACACCTGTTGCTGGAGTAGACGAATTCGACGCAGCTTTGGGTAAATTGCCTTCTTCTGCGGTAGCGACTAACACCAGTTTCACCTTCGACGCCGCCTTTGACGACAACTTTGATTTTACCACTGCCAAGGCTGCTGACTTCCCTCCAGCACCAGTCAAAGAAGTCGTTCTTCAGAAAAAAGACAACTCCAATTTCGATGATGTTTTTGGAATTAGTCCCCCAGCTGCGTCTGGCCCATCTGTAGAACAGGTTTCAAATAATCAGGCCGCTGCACCCACCGTCCCGAAATTTGAAACCTCGTTCGAGGAAGCCTTCGCGGGCTTTGACTCTGTTACGGAGCCTAAGCTAGAGGTTAAACCTACCTTCCAAGCCCCGGTTCCAACTTCTTCCACAAAGTCGACTGATCAGTCTATACCAGGTTCATTTCCTTCATCCCCAGTTGCATCACCACGAGCTGTTGCATCTCCATCTCGGGTTACTGATGTGCGCGCGTCCTCTCCTTCACCCAGAGAAAGAACCCCGCCTCCTCGTGTTGCATCTCCAAAGCCCCGCGTCTCGTCTTCGTCTTCGAAGGAAGCCCATGAGAAACCAAAGGATCCTCCCCCTCGTCATTCTAAACTCAGTGTACGTCGTTGGCTTTACTATGTTCGCATTTCCACTGACTGTACGTCCATTAGATCCGTCTTCCGTTCGGGAAGAAAAAGAAACACCAAGAACCGCTTCCAGCACAGCCTTCACAGCATTTAACTCCCCCTGTGGAGGAATCCCGACGTCTCGGTACTCCTCATGATGATGACGTTGAGGCCGTTAAACAGCTCACCGCTATGGGCTTCAGTCGCAGTCAAGCTGTCGATGCTCTCGAGAAGTATGGGTACGATGTGCCAAGAGCGCTCAATAGTTTGCTTGGGGCGCAATGATGGATCACTGGGTCTTTCTATCCGAATGAACACACTCTTTTCGCTCCCAACCTTCGGTAAAGGACATTTTTTATACTCAAGCTACCCTCCTTAACATTTCGCGTCGACATTCTCCACCAGGCATGTATTCCCAGTTAGTTAATAACGATTTAATATATTACAACTATATAGCTTCGAATATGACAATAACCATTATCCACACAAAAGATCGAAGATGGGGCTTGAAGAATATCAGGATCGTATTGTAGGTCGTAAGGGAAGGTTTATCGGTGCTGCTATTGTATGAAGCCAATTTTGCCATTGCTGTTTTTTTTCTCGTCGATCCGCAAGTTGCTTGAGCTGAGCTTGGGTTGGGTGATGAGCAAGAAGGATAAATACGTATTCACTGAGTCCTCGATGTTGGATTAACTCTATGACATTCTTTCCGCAGAGCAGAAACTGGGAAACATCAACGGTGTTGTTTGGTATAACCTTGGAGAATTGACAATTGTCAGTTAATGCAAAAACTACAGTGACAAAAACCGAGCAGTACCAGAAATGGAGGGGATAGAGGTAACTCCTCTGTGAAACTTCCAGAAGCTGTTCTCATTCCCAAGCTTCCGTGACAGGGCCAATTCACGTGGGCAAATGAGAGTTGCCGTTTGAGGGTGTCGAGGCTAGCTCTCTGCGCTTGCTCGTTCAAGTCGGCAACTAGGTAGCAACCTAGGGTCACACATATACTCGAAGAAACGTCCCTATTTTACGAAGTCAGGGAGCCAGGAAGAATGCAAGATCATGCTCGAGAAGTACTGTGAATCATTCTTCCTCTTGACCCATGCAGACACCAAGTCGAATTGGTCTTCTGGGATGTCAAATTGAAGAGAAATCTTGGTATCCTGGGTGTGTCCTTGCTGAGTCGCTATAATATTCAGTTTAGGTCCATAAATGCCTAGACGAATATGAGGAACCGACTGTCAAAACTATGACAAACGGGCGCACCTGTCGATAACTCTGTCTGATTCAAGGATAATGCATGCTCGTCAGAGCGGCTCGCTTGAATCATGGAGGTACGTGGTTGCAATTCTTCAGTTTCCTTCAACGAATCGAGTAATTCAGACTTCTGTTTGTCTACCCCCATCTGAGACGGGGTTTCACGCGGAGAAGCTTGAGCGATCGAGGAGGCGCTATGTATTGGAACTGGTTGATAGATAAAATGACATATGAGATCAATCCCGAAAAACTGTAGTGATAAAGGACACTTGCTCTCTTGATCGTCCTTAGGTTCATGACTTGTCTCGACTTCCATTGGGACCAGTTCGTCGGGAACATGATTAGGCTCTTGTGCTTCAATTGGTCCATTGACAGGATTCTCGTCCACGTCCATCTGTTGAAAATCATGACTTGTCGGCTGTGCTCCATGGGACTCATTGGGCGATTTTCCTTTCTTATATTCCGCTGGCTGCTTGTACGCATCGAATAAATGATGCAGGTTTATAAGGGGGGAAAGGGGGACTGACATTAGCATGAGGCACGACGTCTGAATTGGAGGTGTCAACAGTACTGCCTTCCGGTATGCGCACCTCGGGTTGGGCAACCGTCGGCGGCTGGAGCTGCTCTTGAATCGTTTTCGTATCTGAAGTTCGGAGTTGAATTTGCATGTCGAGACAACGAGCCAGGGGTGCTTCTCACCGGGGACCCGAGGGGTGGCACCTCCTTTCCGTTGTAAGAGACCCTGTATATCTTGCTCGACCAAAAGTTCAAAATCGATTGTCTTCCGTTTCTTCGCCTTAGGTTTGACAATACGAGGAGGCGGGCGAACGGGGACGGGTGAAGATTCCTGCATGGTGGAGGAAGATGCAGGGACTGTTACAAACTAAATCGAAGTCAGTTATGGCGAGTCGAACACCAGAATCTACTTACGTTCGCCTCGGTGGTCATCTGGGCTGTGTTGAGATCAGAATGGAGAAGCCACTAAGATAGACAGTTTACCTTGAGGTGAAGGATCCGCTCCATTATTTACGGTGACAACTGGGGCTTGCCGTACAATTGGTGTCATATTTGAAGCTGTTGACGAAGTGCTTCAAAGGTATCTTTGTTTAGCGTTGGCCCAAAGAGGAATGCGACAACGTACGTAGATAGCAACCCTGGCCCTGCGATGTCAGGAGAATGGTTTTGCGAGGCCGTGGCAACGATGGACTTGAAAAAATCTACATCGGCTTGCGGGATTAGGGAGCATTGGACAAAAGAGCAGATAATAGACGAACTAAGCAAGTTGGGCTCAACAAAGTGAGATTGATATGGTTCGATTGCCTTGACCAGATTGATATAAGGGGGAACCATAGGATGGGATGGGTAATCCGAGGCTTTGAATGGGACACTCAAGTCATTACCGGCGGCAAGGACTTTCCTCAATGTCATTTGGGCGATCTGTAAAGTATAAACAGCTGTGCAGAATAGACACAATGTTCTTTAGTTTACTATCATGAGTCTTATTATCTGCGGAAAATTAGATGTTTTTCTTTCGTGTTATACGGAAATATTGACGGACCTCTGGTCGTGCAGTTGGGTAATACGCCTTGTGATCGCTGAGCCAGGCAGCTAGTTTATCGGCATGCAACGCGAATGCATCGGGGTCTTCTTCACTGAAGACCTTTGCATAGCGGTGAAAGAGTTTTTGGTTTGTCTTTGTGGCCTCATGGGCGGACATGGGGATTGGGGAAGATGGTGGCATGGCGCGTGACGCGAAAGGGCGATGTTGACTCGGTTGCTATATTTGTCCATTCTCTCCTCTTCACGACCACATGCTGTCCCCCGCCTTCGACTTGCTCGTAGTCGGTGCTGGCGGCGGGCCAGACGAAACAAATCTCTCAGCGTATGCCCGCATATCTCAAGATACTCATCATCTCACCCATTACCACCCAGTTACTTGGTCAAACCGCATAACGCGGATTGGGAGGATGGTGTCGTAGCCCTCGAAGCCGGTCCGCCATCTGTGTTGCTTTGCTGTTCTACAACGCTCATTACTCGCACGCAGGCTCAGGCCAGGGCACACTTGCACACTTATTACGGAAGGATCCATCCATCCTACACCCTTCCTGTTCAAACAGGTCTCAATCCTTCTCTAAGGTTTATTCGGCCTCCGACATATACTCTTTTGTACGGTCCGTAGCATTTCTGCTGTGAGCGATGCATATATATGTTGTGCTCATCATCGCATTATCTTAGATGCTTTCTAATTACTCATGCCCACCTGGATCATATCAATAGCCTCGTCGTCTCAGCAGGTTCCTTCCGAGGACCACGAAAGCGCGTCTTTGGACTAAAACAAACGTTGCAGGACCTGGAGCTCGTTTTCTCTGATAGAATATGGCCCAACCTGGCTTCTTGGAAGGAAGACGACGACGATATAAAATTGCTGTATTCACCGTGAGTCATGCGTGCATGGTCTTTCTTATTCGGTTCGACGTTGACAAGGAAAAGCACAGCTTAATACCTGATGGAAGATACAAGGTTGTGTTTCCCGACGTATCTGTCCAGACGATACCCATAAACCATGGTCGAAACACTCTCGGCCACTATTCATCCACCGCGTTCTTCATTCGGCATGAGCCTTCTTTACGCGAATTTCTCTTCTTTGGCGACGTTGAACCCGATGCCATCGTAGACCATCCCCGCACCATCAACGTTTGGCGGATCGCAGCTCCCAAGATTCCAGAAACACTGTCTTCAATATTTATAGAATGCTCTTGGCCTTCAGGTCGAAAAGACGACCTCCTGTTCGGGCATCTTACACCTGAGCATCTCGGGAACGAACTCGCAACTCTTGCGAGTGAAGTTGTTAAGCACCGACTAGCCGTTCAACAGAACGAAAGTCGCCGGCGGCCTCTTCGCAAGAAACTCAAGAGAGGCTCCCTGACTACTGAAGAATTGAAGGATGCTCTGCTCGGTGTCTGCGTATATATCATCCATTGCAAAGACGACATGAACGGTGATCTGTCCAAACCTATCCGGGAGGTCATTGTGGACCAGGTGAAGAAGGTTGTCGATGAGAAGGGGCTGGGTGCAGTGGTATTGGCGGCCGAGCAAGGGATGCATATCGGTACGTCAAATACGTCGAGTTCATCGACCGCAACACTGACAAACTGCCACAGAGATATGATATGATATGCATACGTTCACGGTTAAACTTATTTATCCTTTACGGACTTCACGCTGTATATCTAGTCACGATGTAGCTTTAGTCTTAGCTTGTTCTTGTTCAAGATGTTAAATAATGGCATCACGAATCGTTCTCCTACCGCGAACTTGTGACCGGATGAAGTATTATATGCGAGGGTATACGGTGCTGATCATTCGACAGGAAAGCGGCGTCAAAGTCATGAAGCTTACGTAGAGATAGACATGCAATAAGAAACAAAGGAACCAATCTACACAATTGGCGGTTATGATGAAGCGTACAGTTTTACAACGCCATCGGCGCCACCACTCGCCATGAAGGGTAGCGAAGGATGGAATTCTACATCCAGTACGCCTTCCCGCGCCTTTTCGCGATGCGTCGTGAGCTCCTGGACACAAGAACGCGAACCGAGCAGATCCCAAAATCTGACGGAACAGTCGTGGCTGCCGGAAACGAGGGAGAAGCCAGGCGCGTCGATCGAGAGAGACGTGACACCATCGAGGTGCGCCAGCATGGAGTGTGTACATTGTCCTGCAAACAAATTAGAATGCAGCTAGTGACAAGAACGGTGGACGAACCTGTTGTCAGATCAAAAATGCGAATGAATTTGTCCTCATGGGCAGTAACGAGGATTGACATTGTAGGGTGTGAAACGATGCGGTTGATCTGGGTGGCAGGCGTTCCATCTACAAAGGGTATGAGCGATGATTCGAGGCAGGACGACGATGAGAGCATACCGTAGCTCATGTCACTTTCTAGCCGCGACAACTCCCTGCCAGCCTCAATGTCAAAGACTTTGACGATGGCGTTCTGGTAAGCGACAGCGACCTTCTTGAGGTCCGTCTTAATAGCCTCCACAGCAGTCGCACCAGGCGTGTTAACGTTGTCGTGCAGATCGTTAGGGTTCTCGACTCCATGCCATCCCCACGTCAGCTTAAGTGAACCACCACCAGACGGTCCGCTCACGTCCCAGACTTTGACAGAACCTTCCGCACCACAACTGATCAGTGTGCTCTCATCCCTGACGAGCGCCAGATCCCACACGGCATCGGTGTGTCCAACAAGTTCTCCACGCGACCGCGTTTCGTCATATGGAGCATATGTCGTGTGAGACGGCGAAGGAAGTGCCCAGATTCGGATCGAGGAATCTAGAGAAGCGGAATACAGCAGTTGTTTGGAGGGAGAATGTATCAAGCGTGTAATTGCAGCAGAATGGCCGCGAAGCGTCAATTGGGGTTCAACTTCGGTCGTAGCGCGTGCCCTAAGCAAAGATCAGAACCAGTTAATGTCATGGCTTCAGGGGGCTCTTACGCTGAGGAAGCCAGGCTGGCAACATCCATTCTCCAGATCTTAACAGTGCAGTCATCCCCTCCAGTCGCCAGGCAAAGTTCCGTTGGATGGAAAGCAAGTGCACGGACAGCATCGAGGTGACTGAAGGACAATGATTAACCACTTACCCTTGCACATAGTGAGAAGACAACGTACTTTCTTAGCGTCCTTTTGGCCTTCCACAGTTTAGTTCCTTCTCCCTCTCCGACTAAACTGGACTCCTCGTCCTCAACCTCAGCTTCCTCTTCCTTTGCCTCCTCTTCCTCTTCTCGTTGCCTCTCCCATGAGCCAGGATCAGCGCCGGTGGACTGTTGATACTCCCTTGCCGCCCGGGACTTTTCAGCAGCTTCATGCGATAGGCGAAGTTTCTCCTTCCATTCACCATTGTCATCAGGACGGAAAATGGCCGTCAATTGACGGTTTTCAAAATCAGAATCTCTTTCTCCGCCGGCTTGTGTTGGTGACGAGAGTTGAGGTTGACTTGGATTTTGGGGCACCATTTGAGACATGTGGGATTGCTGCTGTTGGACCATTCCAGAACTATGACTGTTCCTTTCAAGGATAGGCAGTTGGGAGTTGCCACCGGTGTTCGCAGAGGCTGCAGAACCTGGGAGTCCATTGAGAAGCGGGAACTCTTTGCCGGCTTCTGGTAGTACTTTTCGCGGTCGGCCGTTGAATGCAATTTGTTCGAAGGAAGGAACATTGGGCAAAGAAAGTGGAGCAGAAGGATTGTTCAGCAGCGGTCGGTTTGGTAAAGGGTTCATTGCTTGAGGAGACGTAAGATAAGAAATCTCTTGCAGGCACCTGATTGGTGTCAAAAGAACGTCATGGTAAGGGTACGGAGGACCAAAAAACAAGTTACACAAAACGCACTGCTTCAAGTAATCACGACTCCGTGCTCTACTCTTCGGATCTCTTCCCAGCGGCGGTTTCCCGAGACTGGCAATTGTTCCACCAGCAGGAAGGTTGGCCCAGTTTGAGGCTCCCCAAGAATGCGGTCGCGTATTAGGTCCATTAGAGGAGTTGCCGTTAGGGAGCCGTGCGTCTGGTAAGGGAGAGTCTACATATGAATGTTATTTGAGCTGTCAATGCGTTCGAGGCAGACAGGCGCACCTTCGCTCCTGGGTGAGCTACCACCGCTCTCCCCTTTCTGGCTCTGTGAATCCTCTTTGGAAGCACCGACATTCGCTTGAATAGAAGAGAGTTTTGTGGGCGGTATTGATGCTGGTTGTGAAAGTTGTTTGGATCTTGAAATGCCTCGTCACGTCAACTCGCACCGGCTGGGAGGGGAAACCACCGACCTTTCGACACGCAGGGCATACTCGAGCATCTTTATACGTCTCATGAGGTCGAGCTTGACGTTTTCGAAGGACCTCCGTTCTCCTTCCAGAAGCGCAATACGAGCCTGGGATGTGTTAACCGACACGCCTGCAGGCCACGGGCGAAAGAAAACAGACCCTCATTTCTGCACGTTCAATCTCCCACTCATTTCGGTCGCGTTCATAACGCCTCCATTCTGTTTGGAGATAGTGGAGGACACTGGAAAGTGTGTAGTCCTGGCCGTTCTGAGGTGGCGGCGGGGGTATGTTGCCTTGCTGGCCTTGTTGGTGTTGTTGACCCTGTTGCTGCTGCTGGTTCTGCTGCTGCTGTGGGTTGGGCTGGAGACTCTGCAGGGGGCCCAACATGAGGACGAGGGGACGGGATGGTTGAGGACGAGGTTTGTTCTCGACTGTCCAATTACTACAGCTCAAGACAAACACGCGCAAACTCCCATTTCAACGAAAGGCTACTAACTACTACTTCTTGCCAGACCTGCGTTCATCTGTTATCCCTGCACCCACCAGCATGAGCGGCCTACTTACTTCTTGATCCCCGACCCGCCCATCGGCCCACCTGCACACCCTCAGCGTCGCCCACCCAGCATGTGCATGCAACTTACCTTTCAGCGCTGCACGGACCAAGTTCAGTAAACGGCCGACAATTATCATCGAGCATCCTCACCCTTGTCCCGCGCAGCCTTCAACGCCTCCGCCTCCTGCTTCTTCTTTTCCTTGAAGGCGATCTCATCCTCGGTTTCGTCCTTCTTCTCTTTCTTAGGGGCCTGCAAAATCTCCTCAGCTTTCAGTCCCTCCGTGCTATGGGGGCGATAAGAACCTTGAGAGGCTTGAGTTTGCCGCCTTGTCTGCTGGACATGATGAACGAGGAGTTGGTGAGGATTGCTGGACGATGATCGCTGCAGGCTGTCTTTTGTTGTCTCCTGTCCTCTTTGCAACACATGCACAAACACGACCACCAGCGACGGTTGCTCTCAGGCTCAGGCTGCTCTCAGGCTCAGGCTGCTCTCAGGCTCCCATGCCTCACCTCGCTACCCTCCTCCTAGCCGTCATCACTGCCTATGCCATGGTGTCAGGACAGACACCCTTCCTTTCCAGCTATGCATGGACCTTGCAAATTGATCCAGTCTGGGACGTGAGTGTCGGTTTACCGCCTCCCCAGCTCCTGTTCAATCCGTCCTAGGTTCTTGGGCCCTTTCCAGTACATGCTCGGGAACAGCATTTCATCTCGCCCTCCTTCCCTTTGAACTGTAACGCGTCGTACTTGATCAAAATCTTCCGGTCTCCTTGATTGTCTCTCTCAGTGTCAGAACCAATTGATTATCAACAAATATGGCCATCATCGTATGCTGATGGTGGCACGGTTGGCTGGTCGAAAGCCAACATCGGCGTTGACGGCTACCTTGAGTTATCCTTCCCGGATATACGGCGAGTCATTGCCCGACAGTCAGGAACTCAGAGCTTATCATTTGTGACTTCAGCTGGAAGAGCCTGCGCTCATACGAAGGTTGGGCTGCCCTGCAGCACCATGCAGTTCTTAGAACAACGTTGACTTTGCACCCTCCTTCCGATCCAATTGCCGGCAGTCCTCGCCTGTTGTTTGATCTTAAACAGGTGTCGTATTTTACTATAGTGCCCCAGCACGGCAGTCCAGCCTCTCCGGAGTGGCATGCAGGAAATATCTATGACATGGAACGTGCACTTCCTGAGTTGGTTGAACTTCCTACAGATCCTTCCCACTTGAGTCCAACGAAATATGACCTTTTCGTTAGTGGGGATTATGAGGTTTCTGGTCCTCAAATTCAGGCCAAACTGCTTGACTGACACTTTTATTTCAACTTAGATTAGGCTCTTCGGCGATCCTCTTGTACGCAACAGTGACGTCCCAGTACAGAGACTCGGCATCCGTGTTGAAGTCTTAAGCAGTACTTCTCCAGTCGTCCATCAGAAAACCCAAGACGTGTCGTGCGACTTTTTAGATGGGTATGCCTTTGGAGATGCGCTTGGTATCGGAATTCAAAGTGCCGCTGGCTGGTGGACGGTCAAAGGCGTCTCTGCTACTAGCAACCAAACGGTAGGATCTTTCTGGGAATACTATCTGCAGGTCTCACCTCACAGATTGCTATGATACAGGGTCTCGATATCCTCCTCAGCGATGTTTCTTTCACGATTGCTCCATCACAAACAAGGATCTTGCCTTTACGCATTCACCAGACGACTCCGTTCTTCGGCGAAACCATCATATTTGACCTGACACTAGAATCTGGAACCGACTCCCAGATACTGTCCATTTCAATGCCCGTCACTCAGCGCCGTCTTCGTGAGATAACCGGACGACAGGTCTTGAAAGGGTCATTTTTCTTTGCGAGCTCTATGCCGAGTTCTTTTCTTACTATGCCACCTCCCATGACAAATGTTTCCTCAGCCTATCCGCCTATGTTGGCCTTACGTTCGTCATAAATTCGTGGATTCGTTCATGAACTGACTTCGGAATGCTACTAGATGGTGCAGGTGTGGATATCCTCGGACAGCCATTTTGGCCTGAAGCACTCCCTGAAAATAAGTTCAGTTGGACTGTCATTCCTACAGGCCGAACTTCTTGGGTGGGATATGACACTTCTCTCCAACGGAAATAAGTCGCTCACTTGTTCTCGCCGACTCTTCAGGGCTTGGACTGGCACGGACCTAGCGCCAGGGATGCATGGGCTTCACTCGATGCCCTCTCAGCTATGACACATAGGCGTGAGTTAAGCCTCCCAGAGGGCTGGGTGATACCTCCAGATACCAAAGTCATCGTGATCGGCCATTCGAACGGCGGTCAAGGGACATGGTATTTTGCATCTCGATACCCTGACAAAGTGATTGCTGGTGAGCCAGGTGTCACTGTGGGTGCTACATGTAATCTTTTAAATTTCCATTAGCTGTTCCTGCTGCTGCATTTATCAAATCCCAGGCATATATACCATTGTCCCTTGCTAGGTATGCCTGTCTCGCAGTCTAATGCCACTGACTGTTGATTTTTTACGCGGTGTAGGAGTGGCCATTTCATTGACCCTTCGCTACGCGCCATTCTGGAATCGTCTTTGACCCCAGACGACAATGACCTGCACTTGTCCAACCTCGTCGATACACGGGTTCTGGCATTTCATGGGTATGTGCTCCAGAGCCCGGCCTGCTACCTGCTAAATATCTTCAAATGTATAGCGGAGATGACGAGAATGTCCCTGTTCGGCATTCCCGCGAGTTAAGTTCCGCTTTGAAAGCGTGGTACCCTTCGGCGAATATATCGTGAGTCAAGGCACGCTCACACGCCGATTCCCAGCTGTTCATCTTAGATACAGGTTCCAGGAAGACGCTGGCCAAGGCCACTGGTACTCGACTGTTCTTGATAATCCGAAGACTCTAGCCTTCCTGGACGCCGTTCTCTCAAATCATGACAACGAGGAGCCACAGTCACAATCATTTACTCTAACGGTAAGCCTACCTCAGGATCACGGGTCTCTTCGCGGATGGAAAATTGAGCAACTGGAAACTCCAGGAAGGTACGCTAAAGAGCGGTATACCAAAAACCTTTTGACGTTTTTTCGCAGACTTGGGCGGGTGCATGTAAACCGAGTCGGCGACTCTAGCTTTATTGTGGAAGCGACCAACGTGCGCTGCTTGACCGTCCCGACCCGACCCGCGCCGCTTCGTGTCACAATTGACGATGAAGCCCTGTCTCTCACCGGAACAGGACCTGTCCATCTGTGTAAAGATGACGCAACGGGGAGTTGGCAGGTGACTAGGACAAGTGCACCATTGCGAGCTCGTACTGACTTGCGTTTTCGTGTGAAAAAAAGACCAGACCGACGGCGAGTGTAGCACCGATTCCTGGTCGTCTACAGTCAGTTCTATCCACTGCAGCACCGCTAGTGGTCATATTCTCTGCAGTTTCAGAGAAAGAGAACCTATCAATTGCGACCCGTCTGGCCCATATACTCAATCTATACCACAGGCTCGACGTTGAGATCACTTCCGAGTCTGAAGCCATCGAGAGAAACCAGCTTGGGACCTGGACATCCGGAAACATTGTCTTTATTGGGACTCCTGCCTCGCCTCTCGCCAGGGTAATTCTTGGGCAACAGAGAACTCCCGTGCGGATTGTCAGTTCCGTTATGCACTTTGGATCCCGGCGTTTTTGGAGACCAGGTCAGGGTAAGCACCTCCCGTCTCAAGTTGAAGCATCATTCATTATATTAATGAACTATCATGACAATTATGATCTAGCTATGCTATTTACGCACCCTCATCCCTCCAGGACAGATTGTTTTATGGTGTTTTTACTCGCCAATGACAAGGCAGGGCTAGAGAGGGCTGCTCGCTTGTTTCCATTTCGTACGGGCGTCGCAGCTCCAGATTGGGTGGTCGTCGGGGATAGGATGGATGCCTTCAGTGCGGGAGGGATCGAAGGGGCCGGGTAAGCGCCCATGCTGGCGTACTTGAAATTTCCCAGGAGCTGGCTGACGATGATAATTCGCAGTGTATGGGACGCGTTCTGGAATTTGAGCGCCTCTATGTCATGGTTCTCTCATTGAGGAAAGGAATCCGAGAGGCGCGGGTTGTTCTGGCCATCAATGGTTGTTTCATAACTTATAAGTGCCCACCTATGCACATGCGTTTTTCTTGGTGACGAATCACCTCAATGCTGTTAGTCACGATTCCCCACAATCAACAACGCTGGTTACACTATTAATTCCGAATGATTTAAGTACTGATAACCGAGTGAAAATCAACCGCCCTCCGCATGTCCGACAAACCAAGTTGAGAGAAAACCTATATGTACAATGCGAGATGCTTATCATGCTTCAACTTGTCATGGCGAAGAATAGGGATATCAGAGCGATCAGAGCGAGTGAGAAGGGGGAGGCGAAGGGCGACAGGTGGGGGCTAGAGCTGAGCGCGTCCGCCCGACCGCCGTTGTTAGCTGTGGTTCTCAGCTCTGCGCCACACAGACCGGATCCATCAAGCATGTCACTTGGGATCAGGATCGTCGGGACGCCGCCAAGCGTGTACTGTGCGTCGAGCATGCCCTTGGCGCCGACCGCCCACTGTTGGCAAGTGAGGATGCTGCATGACACGACAGTCAGCACATGGTCTAAGGTTACGCAGGAGTGAGGACGCACTTGATCATCGCGGTGCCCGATGCGTAAGGAGAGGTGACGGCGATGTGGGTGCCGTTCTGAGGCTGAGAGGAAAACATTAGAAAGGTGTGATGGATTGAAGGCGCATATGCTCACAGGAGAGCCAATGTTGGTAAGGATGGAGATGACGGAGCCCTTCATCAAAGCAAAGCCGTACGGACTAGTGGTCAGGAGTTCGGCCTCTTGCTTGACCCAATCAGTGGTGTTGACGAGGAAGTTGCGGAGCTAGATGAGTTCTCGCCTCAGCGGCCGGGTCTCGATACACAGAGAGGGGTCAAACCTGGTTGAGAGTGGCCATGAGCTTGTAGGCGTCGGTCTTCGCATATTCCGAGGGCCAGAGAGGCTCGCGATTGAACTTGAAGGAAGCGGCAGTCAGACTTCGTGATGAACAGGCGGTCAAAAGGCGCTTACCGGATCAGCGCTGCCGCTGAAGGCCTGCTCCTGTCCATAGTACACGACGGGGATTCCATCAGACATGAAATTGAACGTCATGGCATTGCTACGAGCCCAGCTGAGTGAAAAACACGTGCGCGAAGGATCGAAAGGACGTACTACATGCTCTGAGGATCGACCGAGAGGTTATGCCATCGGGGAAGATCATGGTTCTCGAGGAAATTACCCAAGAGGCCCACATCCTACACCGTGAAAGATTTAAGAGACCATGAAACCCATGGTGAGACGCGCTTGGTTACCTTGAACTTTGTCCTGGATTCTTCAAAGACGTGCGCAACTGCCGAGACGTTTGCTGGGCCAGGGATCTTGAAGGCCTCGACGAGGGCGGTATACATAGGAAAATTGAGCACGGAGTCCAAGGCCTGTGCTCCCTGGTATTGTGCTATGGGGCTGAAGGAAATCAACACGAGGGTTGGTCATGTAGATCCGGGGCTTGCTTACTCGACTTCCTGGCCCCCAAAGACTTCTCCCATGCAGAAGACGCCAGCCTTCTCACAGAATTGTGGCCAGAAGTCCATCTGAACGTGCCTAGAAATAGAAGGGCCGTCAACTTGCGGGGTTATGGAGGGCTCGGCGGAAGAACGCACTTGGCGGCTTGGAAAGTTCAGTCAGTGCGGCGCACGAGACACATGAGCAGGAGAAGGAAGTACCATCGATACGTAGACCGTCGATTGAGTACTCCTTGACGAGGTTTGTGATCCATTCTCCGTATCGAGAGATGACAGTTGGGTTCCGAGTGTCGATGTCCGGAAGTGGGACCCTTTCGTCGCCCATCCAGCACTCTTCCTCACTGGTGGCGTTGCCCCATTGGATTGGGCAGTAGGGGTGGTAGAAGGACTAGGAAAAAGCGTTAATACGGGGATAGAGAAAGGAAATTGAAATTGCACCAACAGCATCCTTGAAGAAATATTTGGAATAATCCGGGGTGGTGGAAGTTGCCATGACGTTGTTCACGACGACGTCGACCATGAGGTACCTGGAACTGAAATTAAAGCCAGGGGAATTGAACGCATAATTGGATGCACACGAACATATTTCGACGGTGGAGTTCGGCTGAGAGGGCTTTGAGGTCTTCGGCTGTTCCGAAGCGACTATTGAGTTGGGATATATCAGCCATCCAATAGCCATGATATGGGTCGCCATAGGCTGAGCGAGGGCCTTCATAGTTCTGGTTGACGGGACTGATCCATACTGTTGGGGAGCGAGATGAGAAGAAGGGATAATGTGGGGGGTGGGCGGACGCACTTGCCGTGAATCCAGCATCCTGGACGTAATCGAGATTCTCGCGAATACTGAGTGTCATCAATATATTAGAGGACAGGGCAGGAGATATTTGACTGACGAGTTCCAGGTTCCGCCACAAAATGTTTGAGCACCGGGATCACAGGTGGAAGAACTTGATCCCTGGGGAAGAGCGAAGCGGTCGGTAATTATTCTGGGGACAAACAAAAAGTCGGTGTCGCGTTGGGGAAAGAAAGACATGGACTGACTGGTATATTGACCGGCCACGCCATTCCTCTGCAGTTGCAGCGAAGGCGACGGGGAGAGAGGCGGCGAGGAGGAGCCTGAGGGCAGCGTAGACGGACTTCATCGTCCGGCGGGGGGTATAGGTATGAAAGAGGGTGGGTAGAAGGAGTGGAAGGCCTAGCGTAGCTATGAGACGAGAAGAGGAGGAAGAAGAGACAGAAGCGAAAGATTTTCCATCTCGGGGGTTACAGACGAGCTTGGCTGGTTCCACATGCTAGAGTCCAGCTGACCGGCTAAGAATGCCCTGATGAATGTTGGCAACCGCCAGACCGGTGGGAATCCTCCAGAAGATTCAAGACAGAATCAGCCTCTCGTCGTTGTCGGACTCGGTGTGCGTCCAACTCTGGCAGGCCGCCACACTCTGTCGGGGAAATGTTTAGTGCCTTATAAGGTCAACGTCTCGTTGCTGTGCCGTTCTAAGGCTCGGGATCGTCTTGCAATGCGAAACAAATGGACAGTACAGCATCATCGATTGCACCCTCTTACATCGGGCCTTGAAAAAGAAGCTGTAGTGGAAGTTGTATTTCACCTTGTAAACCAACTAAAGGCATCGGCATTATCGGCATCTTAGCCCTTATAAGGACTAAAGACATCCTGCTCTCGGCATCTCCCGCCATTACATCACCCCGACGACCATGTCCCGCCCAGTCAATGGCTCCGCGTTCACTCTCTACGGCTGGTCGGTCTGCTTCTGGGCCATCCTCAATGCTTTCCAGGTGCGCTTCTCCAGCGCCACCCTCACCCCCGCTGATGCCGTCTTCAGTATGGCTATCACATCTCCGTGCTCAATCAGATCCAGGCCGTCCTCTCCTGCAAACTCGTCTCACCAAACCTCGCACATGCCCCTAGACTCTCCTCATGCATACCCATGTCCGACCTCACCTTCTCCCTCGTAACCGCCATCTTCACCGTCGGTGGTCTCGCCGGAAGTCTGCTCGCCAACTCCTTCATCGACTCATGGGGCCGCCGAGGAACTCACCGATTCTGTGCTATTCTTGTCGCTCTGGGTGCCGCTCTCATGGGCCTCAGCAGCAACATATACTTCCTTCTGCTCGGGAGGTAAGTTTATATTTGCTCTTCTCCAGCCACCGCCCACCCATTCCTGCCAGAGTCATAATCGGCCTAGGTAACGGTCTCAGCTTATGTGTCGGCCCTATCTTTTTGGCAGAGATAGCACCCTCAAGTATCAGCGGAAGTATTGGTCAGTTCTCCCTTTGACCACACATTTGCCGCATCCTGAACAATAACCAGGTGTCCTCACACAACTCGCCATCGTCTTTGGCATCATGTTAACCCAATTTATCGGAATAAACTTGGCAACTCCCGCTCTGTGGCGCTTCGTCTTCTTTATCTCATTTTGCCTCGCCGTCCTTCAGGCCTTCTCTGCTTCAGTTGTCGTCGAGTCTCCTGCATTCCTCCTTAAGCAAGGCCGATTGGAAGATCATAAACATGCTGCATATAGACTCTGGGGTACTTCCATACCATCTCTAGCATGTGCGGTCCTACATGTCTCCTTGCCTGTATATGCTAAACGGCCCAATAGCCGAAGAATCTCTTTTGAATGAAGACTTCGAAGAACTCCGAGCTGCCTCTCCGGACAATGTCACTATTTCTCAAGTTTTTACTTCCAAGGAATTACGGAAACCTCTGCTGATTGTGTGCTATGGTATGCTGGCGCAGCAAGTGTCTGGTAAGATGGCCCTCCCTTCAAAATGCTTCCAGTTTGATCTAACGTCTATGCCAGGGATCAACGCAGGTAACTGCATTTCTGAGCCTCCCAGGACACCTTTCTTACGTGGGGTAGTCCTCTACTATAGCAATGACATTCTCGCAAAATCTCTGCCAGAGTTTGGCCCCTACGTGTCACTGGGAGTAACTGTTATCAACGTGATAATGACATTCCCTCCCATCATCCTCATAGAGGTAATTCCTCCTTCGACAAGCCTTCAAGTACTGACCTACCACTGAAACTTAGAGGATGGGGAGACGCCCCTTACTCCTTCTCTCTACACTTGGAGGAATGGCATCGGTGGTCGCGCTTGGCTATGGCCTTGATTCCGGTGCTCCAACATTTTCTAGCCTTGCCATCATAACATTCGTGATGTAGGTGCCTTCCATGAACCGCTCTCTTGCCAGAAAGTTAACGTGAGAATGTAGGTCTTTTGCAACGGGTTTGGGACCTATTCCTTTTGTGATGATTCCAGAAGTTTCGCCACCATATGTAAGCTGCCTGAACAGTGGCAAATTTTGAACTGATGTTGTCCTAGGCCGTCTCTGCGCTATCGTCTGTCGCTCTATCTTTGAATTGTAAGTGCCGCACTGTGGTTCATTCCTGCGGCGCAGCTCATGCGTGGACTCATTCAGGGATCGTCAACTTTATCGTTGGCTTTTCATTCTTGCCTCTTCGAAATGTTCTAGCAGGCGGTGACAGGTTCAAGGAGGGTCGCATCTTCTATCTTTTCGTCTTCTTGCTTGGGTTTTCGGCCTTTTTGCTGTTCAGGGTATACCGGCCGTAGAATACCCTACATTTCTCTAAGCAGAGGTTTCGCGCAATGAAAATTTATCGGAGTTTGAAAAACTGAGCGGAGACGAAATGATCGTGCCAAGCGCAGGAGTCGACGCAGACTCACTCGCTGCCACTCTGCACATCGCCAGACCCCGTGTTGGTGGTGGCCTCCTTTCCAATTTCTCATTTACCCTCCCGACAATCCTTCAAAACGGCGACAGGACCTGGAAGCGTTGCCCGGCGCTCGGTGACCCCATCCAGGTCGTCCCACATGGACAACCCGCCGGCGACCAACATTCACAACATCGTGAAGACCCAGATAGTTTTCCTACTGTCCACCCTGACCGAGGAGAACTATGACAGGAATTTGATGGAGATACGATCCGTACGCCCTACCAGCTTTTTTCTTTGTTTGGTTTCCTCACCTCTTTATCCAGCTTTCCGAGCACCATGGAATAGATATTTATCTGCACTACATACGACGTCTCATTGTCCATTCGCAACCGCGCCTCGTCCCGAATCCTCCGCCCTCCTCATTCGACTCTCCTACATCAGTAACGTTTCGCCTTCTCGTGCAGGAAACACAACGACTCGCTCGCGACCCGTCACTCGCAGATAGGTTTAGGGATGGGGTTGGTGGGGGTGAAGGGGACATTTTCAGGCTTTTCGATTTGGCCCGATTCGTAGATCGTGTCGGCTTGCGTTCCCTCGAGCGCCTCGTTCTCGCGTCCGCCATTGTTGCTGCCCCGACGCGCAAAGAGCTTTCCAACCAGGCGCTGACCATGATACGCGCGGAATTCGACAACGCGGTCCTGGAGCTGTGCCAGTCACCCCCTCTGGAACACGCGGACTTCACCCCGGCGCAGGTCGAGAAGCTCATGAAAAATCTTCTGGCGGACACCCCTTCTGAGACCCCAGCTCTAGATCCAAACCAACGTCACGTCCTCATTACTGCTGCTCAAACAAAATTAGGAAAGGACATTGTTGGTCCCATCCTTCTCCATATCTTCCCAAAACTGAGGTAAGTCTCCCTCTGCTGCTCTCTAGTTTGGAAAACCTGACCTTTCCTTCAACAGTCTCGGTCCGAATACGTCCCTTGTCCAAGTACTGATTCAGTTAGGGTCTGAAATTACGAGCGACCCAGAGATAGTCAGGGGACTTTTGGAACGATTTGGCATCACGGCTTCCAATCCCCCGCACGACACTCACGTTGTGGAGGTCATTTCGAGTATTGCACGTGTCGCAGCCGAGGGGACTCCCGTGTGTGATGTTGCATCGCTTGTCAGGGCTTTTGTTAGCTACGTAAGTCTAACGCCCCTCATCATCACTAGCATTCTCTAACTGTTCTGTGTCAGGATGTCGACTTGAACTGGCCGAGTGTCATCAAATCATTTGACTCGCCTGACCGACATGGTGTCGATACCGCAACATTAAAGATTCTGATTGCCATCCTACTCAACTCTCCTCGTGACGCCGACCCACATGCTGTAACAGGTTTCTGGGAGCCGTGGTCTAACCCCTTGTACCAACTTCGTCTTCTCGATGCTCTCCTCTCTCTTCCTGCCGATACCTTCAATTTCGTTCAGCTACCTGGCCTTCGGATCGTTACAGTCGACGACGTTTCGATTGCTAGTCCAACTATCAAGTCTCTGGCGGCCAATGTTCAAGGGCAAACGTGGAATTCGCTCGAGCTGTTTCAAGTCTTGGTTCGACTGGCTGATTCAGAAGTAGCAGAGATCCGGAATTGTGTGCGGGAAATGCTGGATAAAGCGATCAAAATTAGTGCTGAAATTGTGCACATGGGCCTACTTCAAGTGCCTGTGAGCATCATTACTTTCCACCTTTTTGTAAGTGCTAACCTGGAGGCAGGAGCCAAAATGGGGTGACATACGCTCGGAGTATTCCAACAAATTGCTCGCCATGTTCCTTGCTGGTCATCCAAATCATCAACTTGTGTTCATGAGAATATGGCAAATCAAGCCCAGCTATCTCACGAACGCCTTCTACAAGTTTTATGAAGACAATCCCCTCAATATCACACGCATATTGGATGTTGCTCAAGATTTGAAGGTAATTATCCATGTTGCTTTGCCTTTTCTCAATTGTTCATGATGTAATGCTTTACTATTTAGATTCTGGATGCCTTGTTAGATGTTCGTCCATTTACATTTGCGCTCGATGTGGCGGCACTTGCCTCGCGACGGGAGTATCTGAACCTCGACAAGTGGTTGGCAGACAATGTAGCCAACTATGGTGCTGAGTTTCTTCGTTCTGTTGTCGACTTCTTGCGCGAGAAGATGGAGAGCGAGAAAGCTTGTCGCCTGTCTGACCCCTCAGTCGAGAGCAGGACCATGTCTCTTAATCCCACTACCATCACGATCGTCTTGCGTGTGCTCCGCAACAAGTACGTTTGTGTTCCTGTCCCTTCTGACCTTTTGCATCTAACTTGCATAATTTATAGTTCGGGTCTTTTGACTCCAGAAGCCTTGAATGAGTGCATTGAAGTCCGAAATACTTGTTTACAAGTACATCCTCGCCTCATGAGCCTGATGCCAAATGCTGAGATCGAACCTGGCCTGACGGTCATCACATACTCCAACGAAATTGAAGCGGAGGTTGACGGGATCTACAAGCAAATGTACGACGAGAATACGACGATTGATGATGTCGTGGAGATGTTGAAGCAATTCAAGGCGTCAAACAATCCTCGCGATCACGAAGTGTTTTCATGCATGATACACTTCCTCTTCGACGAGTACAAATTCTTCCAATCTTACTACCCCTCCCGCGAGCTTGCCATGACCGGCTATCTCTTCGGATCCCTCATCCGAAATTCCCTGATAGAATATATTCCCCTCGGCATCGCAATGCGCTATATCCTGGATGCCCTCAATTGTCCCCCAGATACCAACCTCTTCAAGTTCGGCATTCAAGCCCTCAGTCGATTTGAGGTTAGGCTTGCTGAATGGCGACCTTTGTGCGAAGCTTTGAGTCGAATACCCCATCTCGCGGATGCCCGTCCGGAGCTGATAACTGCCATCCATCGAATCCTCAACACACCTGCAGCGACGAGCGACAACGGCCCGAATCCTCGTCTCATTAATCCAAACACCCCCTACGAAATCATTCCCCCCTTCACCGCCATACAACCAGACAACATATCCCAACCCCTTGAAGTCCCTCCAGAGGAGCTTTCCGACCGTATCTTGTTCATCATTAATAACCTCGCCCCAACCAACTTCGACACAAAAGTGCAAGAAATGAGGGGACAGTTCGTAGATCAATATTCTCGATGGTTTGCTCATTACCTCGTGGACCAACGCATCAGCACTGAACCCAATAACCACCCCCTTTACCTGAGGTTTTTGGATGCTCTTGATCGTCAACCCTTGTTCAAACTCATTCTGCAGGAAACTTTCTTGAAGGCCTCTGCTCTACTGAACTCTGACCGTAGCATATCTGGTTCTGATCGCAATGCATTGAAGAATGTTGGAACCTGGCTCGGTACCATCACACTGGCTCGGGATCAGCCAATAAAGCACAGAAATCTCTCCTTCAAGGACCTTCTTCTCGAAGGATATGACAGCGGACGTCTTGTTGTCGCCATTCCGTTCGTTTGCAAGACGCTGGAGCCCTGTGTCAAATCAAAAGTCTTCAAGTCGCCCAATCCTTGGCTGATGGCTGTTATCAGCTTGCTTGCAGAGTTGTATCATTTCGCTGAGCTCAAATTGAACCTCAAGTTCGACATTGAAATCCTTTGCAAGAGTCTGGAACTTGACCTCGATACAGTTGAGCCGACGACAATTCTGCGCAATCGACCTCTTGAATTGACAGGACTGCCTCTTCCGGAATACCCGGAAGATATTGGCTTGTTGCCTATCGGTGGAGAGAATACTGTTGTTCAGATGGGCGATTCTCAGGTCCTTGTTCTTGCGGGGCAGACTGAAAGTCACCGAGCACTTGGTTCTCATATTGAAGCCATCCTCGCCAATCTTGTCCATCTTGTCCACGTCACTCCTCAATTGGCTCCTTTCAATGCGAACCCGACTTTCAAGCGTGCTGTGCAGCTAGCGGTTGATCGAGCAGTGCGCGAAGTGGGTTTCTGCCTTAATTTTTCAAAAATTCTGCTTATCTTTGATATCGTAGATTATCCTTCCTGTTGTGGAGCGGTCTGTCACAATCGCAGGAATCTCCACCCGCGAGCTTGTGGCGAAAGACTTCGTCACAGAACCCAACGAGGAAAAACTACGCAGATCTGGTCACCTCATGGCCCAGAAACTGGCGGGCAGCCTAGCTCTCGTTACTTGCAAAGAACCTCTCAAGAGCAATCTTGCCACGCACATCCGCCAGCATCTCATTGAACACGGCTTCAACGATGTTAGTGGCACTTATATGATGTCGCGATGTGATAGCTAACTGGGTGCACGCAGGTTGTTCCCGAGCCGGTCATATCCCTTCTTGTGCAAGACAACCTTGATATCGCTTGCTCTGCTATCGAAAAGGCAGCCATGGAACGGGCTGTAACGGATGTTGACGAAGGATTTGCCCCATCTTATGAAGCACGAAGACGCCACCGTGAGGTTTGTCGGTTTGCATTCCGCGTAGCAACAATTAGACTTCATTAACATATCTCTAGCTACGGAATGCCCAAGCATTTTGGGATCCATCTATTCCTCCTTCCAACTTCTCCGCGACATTGCCTGACCCTTTGCGTATCAAGTCCACTGGTGTTCAGCCGCACCAGGCCATCGTATATGAGGACTTCGGCAGGTGCCTTGCTAAGTTTATGTGACGCTGTCTCATGTTTTTTTCCCACTGCACAGACTCCAAGCAACAACCTGCCAGCCGGCCATCTTCAGCAGTTCCTTTCACGAGTGCCGTTCCCTATTCGCAATCCCCAGCACTTGACCATGCGCTTAGTCACAGTATTCAAAACCATCAAGAGGCAATGGAGCGCTTTGTGGTACGTGTCTTCCTTACCTTGTTCGATTAATTGTAGATTAATGTTCTATCAGGTCCTTACTCGAGACCTGGAAGCAGTGATGATCCAGTATCCGAACCAGGCGTTGGCCACCCTTCCCGCCAACCACGACATCCGGCACCTTGTTCGCCAGGTCATGTTACTTGCAGACGAGGCCACTGATAGAGAGCGGACACCTTTAATGATGTCTCAGAAGATTGTACAGTTGTTGTACAAGACGCCTTCCCCTCTCGGACGCGAGGTGTATGTTGCCCTCTTGGACCAATTGTGTCGCAATTTCGAGAACGTTGCGAAGGAGGCCATCACTTGGTTGCTGTATGCTGAGGATGAAGTAAGTCACTGCATACTTATGGCTGAAGCACAAATTCAACCTTTTCTCACTTAGCGCAAATTCAATGTGCCTGTCACAGTTACATTACTGCAAAGCGGCCTCGTCAACATCAACTTGCAAGACCAACAGCTGGCCAAGTTATTGTATGAAGATCCTCGACCTTTGCTGCAGAATTTTACTGCGAACTTAATTCGAGAGTGCTTATCTTCTGACCCGCCAGTGGCATCGCAGGACCAGTTTGTCTTCTCAATCGAGATTCTCAGTCAGCTTGCCCAGACAGGAAAAGCAAATGAAGAGTATGTTAGATTCTCTCCTTCACTGCAATCCTCGATTGACCCCCTTCTAGGGTTACACATCTTCTCGACGACCTTCGAGGCGTCAGACGACCTCCTGGCTCTGTTTCGTCAGACTCCCCTTTCGCAGTTCAGCCACAAGTCAGGCCAGAGATGGAGCAGTTGCGTGAAAAGCTATTCAACTGGTTCCAGCAATGGATCAACATCTTCCAGCGTTCTCATTCTCCTGAGAAGAGCTTCGTGCCTTTCATCACCCAATTGACAAAGCAAGGTATCTTGAAGATGGAGGATGTTTCGTCCTTCTTCTTCCGAGTCTGTGCAGAATCCAGCGTGAATAGCTACATCAAGTGTACAGCTACCGGAGACGACGATTATGCCTTTCAGGCGCTCGATGCTATGTCGAGGCTCATCGTATACATCATCAAATACCACGGGGATGCATCTGGAGTCAACAACGATCAAGCCAAGGTTCATTACTTCACCAAGATATTATCCATCTTCGTCCTCGTCCTAGCGAATCTTCACGAAGAACAAGGCCCTGGTTTCCAACAAAAGCCATTCTTCCGCTTTTTCTCCAGCCTCATCAACGATCTTCACAGCATCGAAAGTCATCTGGGTCCTGTGTATTTCCAGTTGCTTATCGCAATTAGGTGCACTCCTTTCTTCTTCTGCCTTCAATGCTTTGACATTAATTTCCATCTCCAGTGATACGTTCAGCTCGCTGCAGCCGACATACTTCCCTGGGTTTGCCTTCTCATGGATGTGTCTCATCTCGCACCGATTGTTTATGCCCAAACTTCTTTTATCGGAAAATCGAGAGGTATGTCCTGTCTGCTATGGAGCCTCCGTGGTTCTAAAGTTTAACCCATTTATTAGGGCTGGTCGGCATTCCACAAGCTGTTGTTGTCACTGTTCAAATTTCTAGCACCCTTCCTGAAAGACGCGGATTTACAAAATGCAGCACGCGACCTCTACCGCGGCGCACTTAGGTTGCTCCTTGTTCTGCTACACGACTTTCCAGAGTTCCTCAGCGAATACTATTTCACGCTCTGTGACGCTATTCCCCCGCGTTGCGTTCAATTGCGAAACATCATCCTAAGCGCCTTCCCTCCAGCCATTATCCTTCCCGACCCTCATCTCCGCAATATCAAGTTTGATTCCATTCCTGAAATGGGCCCCATCCCTCCTATCCTATCTGACTTCACCTCCGGGCTCAAGAATGGTGATCTCCGTGGATATCTCGATCAATACCTCCTGAATCGAGGGACTTCTTCCTTCCTTCCTTCGTTGAAGGAGCGCTTGAGATTGAAGACCAACGATAACCCTGAAGTCTACAACCTCTCGTTGATCAATTCCCTCGTCATGTATATTGGAGTTTCGTCTGTTGCACAGGCTAAGGCCAGGAGTGGCTCGTCGCTCTTCGTGGCTAGCGATCCGGGGGTTGTTGCGCTGCAATACTTGGCAATCAACCTCGATATTGAAGGTACGTAACATCAGTGATTTAGTGATGTTGGAATGTCACATTCAGACCACCTTTACAGGACAACACCACCTTCTTAGCTCCATGGTCCTTCATCTCCGTTATCCCAATGCACACACGCATTGGTTTAGCTCACTTATTCTCCACCTGTTCCTAGAGGTGAACGACGAGAGATTCCGTGAAGTTGTGACCAAGGTGCTCCTTGAACGCTTCATCGTCCATCGCCCGCATCCGTGGGGCGCTTTGGTCACGTTCATTGAGCTCTTGCGAAATACAAAATACGAATTCTGGAGCAAGGATTTCATCCGCATCGCGCCAGAAGTTACGATGTTGCTGGAGAGCGTAAGATGGTTCTTTTATCATGCTGAATTCATGCTGAATCGTCTGAACTAGGTCGCACGATCCATTTTCCAACCCTAGAAGCTTTGTCGCTATAATTCTTGCTATCTTTTGCACATATCTGTCATTTCTATCTGGGCCCTTTACACCTGCATACTGTATTGTATCAACAACTGTGTCTCATCGACGTTGCAATGTTCTTTAAATCCAAGTATTCTATTTGTGACCAGCCTTTTTGCGAGCGAAGCGAGCATCCATCGGCTATAGGGGTGGGAAGCCCGGACAAGTAAATACAAATTGACCGGTGCAGGATTTGGACCCCCGGACAACTCGGGATTGCTCATACGCCTCAGCACATCTCCGTTTGCGTATCATTAAGGTAGAAATAGAATTAGATTTATGGAATTGAGATATGTATCCGAAAAATATCACGTCTTTTGCACCCTTTGTTGAGAATTTGTACACAACAGTCCTGTAGAGCTCGGAGGCCGATTGGCATGCACCGTTCTCCTGCAAATTCTTGCGGATTCACATCGGGTGAAGTCAGGTATGACAGAATTATCAACAGGGGTAGACCCTGTTGGCTATTTCAGAGTCAAATTATCCGATGGGATGATGATTGATAATCAGTGTTGAATGTTGCGTAGAACGGTCCATTTGTACATCTCCGGCATCGTCTCGACCATTATGCACATATATATTGATGTCCTACATTACAGTAGGTGACAATATACGAGAATTAAGAACTACAACTGACGTGACGAAACTCTGTGTGCGCAGTGAGCCTTCCCCCACTGAATAGCGGATCCTTACATAATTAATGTGACTTGTGTCCCGTGAGCTTGTGACGTACGCGGCATTCAACGACATGGCAGTTGTTGCGGTCGCGACTTGATTACGGCGGACACTACAGTCAAGATGCCTCGCGAAATCGTCACAGTGCAGCTTGGACAATGCGGCAACCAAAGTATGCTTTACTGAAAGTCTGAAAGCGGCATACCCTCCTGACATTGTTGCCGAAGTGGGTTCTGTTTTCTGGCAACGCCTTTGTGCTGAACATGGGATCAGCAAGGATGGGATTCTTGAGGAATGGGCAATCGAGGGAGGCGACCGAAAGGATGTTTTCTTCTACCAAGCCGATGACGAACATTACATTCCCCGTGCCATCCTCGTCGATCTCGAGCCAAGGGTACGTCTTCGTCCCAATCTGACGAACATGCCATGAACACTCAATTAGGTCATTAACAATATCCTCACCTCACCATATGCAAATCTCTACAACCCAGAAAATATTTTCGTTTCCAAAGATGGAGGTGGTGCAGGAAACAATTGGGCTCAAGGGTATTCTGCTGGGGAGAGGATATACGAAGAAGTTATGGAGATGATTGATCGAGAAGCGGAGGGCAGTGATTCTCTCGAGGTGAGGTACTTGTGCCTATGGGATTTCGGAGAGTGCTAACCTCTTCCAGGGGTTTATGCTTATGCATTCAATAGCAGGGGGAACTGGCTCAGGCCTCGGCTCCTTCCTACTGGAACGTCTGAACGATAAATTTCCCAAGAAGCTAATTCAAACGTACAGTGTGTTCCCTAACGCGCAGGAGGGCGATGTCGTGGTGCAACCGTACAATTCGCTGCTTACTCTGAAACGCTTGGTAAACCATGCTGATTCCGTCGTGGTTCTGGATAACGGAGCACTTGCACGTATATCAGCGGACCGTTTACACGTCCAAACGCCCTCGTTTGACCAAACTAACCAACTGGTATGTGATTGCGTCCATTGGATCTCGTCTACTAACGAGGCTTTCCAGGTTTCGACGGTTATGGCTGCAAGCACGCAAACTCTTCGGTACCCAGGTTATATGAACAATGATCTTGTTGGAATCATTGCGTCTCTAATTCCTACGCCTCGATGCCATTTCTTGATGACCTCATATACCCCGTTCACAAGTGATCAGATCGACAAAGTGCGGCTTTTTTATATAATCTCAGAGAAACCGTCTAATCATGGACATCAGGCGAAGCCTATCAGGAGAACGACAGTCCTCGATGTCATGCGCCGTCTCCTTCAACCCAAGAATCGTATGGTTTCAACTACACCAAGCAAGACAGCGTGCTATATTTCTATTCTCAACATTATCCAGGGAGACGTGGACGCGACTGATGTTAGTGGTTTAGCGTCATTCGTTTGATCTATCGCACTCACTCGATAAGCTAGGTCCACCAATCCCTTCTACGCATCCGCGAACGTCAATTGGCCAACTTCATACCATGGGGACCAGCGTCGATCCAAGTCGCTCTTACACGCAGATCACCATACATTACCACAAATCACCGAGTGAGCGGCTTGATGCTGGCCAACCATACAAGCATCGCATCTGTACGTTTGTTTATACATGCTTTGAGTGACCGATACTGATAATTTCGTATCACAGCTTTTCAAACGTATGCTAGATCAATTTGATCGGCTTCGGAGACGAAACGCATTCCTGGAGCAGTATAAAAAGGAGAAGCTGTTCGAAAACGGATTGGAGGAGTTTGATGATGCTAGGTAAGTGCGGTGTCGTTTGATGACATGAGAATGTCTAATCTCGGCGCATTGCTAGGGCTACCTGTGAAGAACTGTTGAAGGAGTACAAGGCGTGCGAAAGTCCTGAATATATTTCCTATGTGAGCCTCTATGCTGCGTTGCTGGATACAAATTCTGATACCACTGACAGAACGAGCAGGCATCATAATCTGCATCACAGTTGCTACATACAGTGTTATTCGTGTTAATCACTAGTGTCCGACAATCGCGTACTGGTACTGCGCATTTGTGACATGAACAGACAGCATCTATTATTTAAGGTCTAACAGCATACAAAGTCTAAGGGGAAACGCACAGAGGACACAAACCAAGGGGATTATGTCTTCTTGGTCTCAAGCCTTTTCCCAATGTCGGACCCTAGACGATAGTTCAAGAGCTTGCGAGATATGGTAGGGCTCAACAGGACTCACCACGAAGCTTGACACCGAGAATACGTTCGAGCTTGCCAAGAATCTGAGGATTTGGGATAGCCTTGCTGGACTCGTAGTCCTGAATGACTGACGGCTTCTCGTTAATCTTCTGAGCCACGTCCTTCTGAGAAAGCTTGAGTTCAAGACGAGCAGTTTGCATGGCCTAAGAAGGGAAGGGAGGTGAGCGGGGTGATAGGCAGGGTCGACAAGGGCGGCAACTCACGCGGCCAACGGATGGCGCGATCTTCGCCGGCGGGGCGACTTCGTTTTCACGGTCAAGCTTCGCTATCCGTTGGTGGTCGGTTCCTAATGGGGAGTGAGGAAGGTGAGTTGTGTTGATACCTGGACTGGGCTGGACCTGGCTACCTTGATGGGCTTTGTTTCCTCCTGCTGTTATCTTTTTGTCTGTAGCAACGACGGCCCCAGACCGTCTCGCCTGGAAAGAAGTCTAAATAAAATTGCCGATCTATGAAGAGAATGTGCCTACAGCTGAATGCAGCGCGGATGAGCAACGGAGGCAGAATGGAGGGTGCAGGACGTACCATTGATGTCCGAGTCCTTCTTTGCGACCTTTGCGACCTGGCGTTTGTAGCCGATGACAAGCTTGGTGTCCCAGTCGTCGCTCATTGTTGTTGTCGTTGGTGGTGGATGGATGGAGAGAAGTAGAATGCCAGCTGGTATTAAAGCAGTGCGCTGACTCGGAATGACCTTTGCTTGTACTTGTTAGGATCGGATGGTGTTGTTATGGCAGTGCTGGTACAAGATCATTGCCCAGGCCGCCCTCCGTCTCATCTTCTCCCCTTCCTCCCTTTTTCTTTCGCCGCTAGCGTTGGAGACGTTGACCGTCTTCGGTTTTCTTCACTCTTTCGAAAACGTCCACTTTCCTGCATCCGGCTGGGTCCTCTGGGTAGAGATCCTTTTTCAATCCACTCGTGCGTCCGTTGCTGTTCTCACTAGCCAATGCTCTCTAACCATGTCTCAGCATTCTTTCATTTCACAGTCCACACACAATGGTTTCCAAGCGCTTGATGGGTGTTTGGGTCGGCCTCGACATCCTCCTTCTCGCTGCTGGTGCTGTGGCATTGGCGCTCTCGATCGTCTGGCGCGCCCCAAATGTTCTCATGAACATGGTTTTATCTAATGCCGACCTCACGGGTGCGCAGCACTTCCCTCTCCACCCGTCCCTACTCATTTTCCCTCCAGCTGGTACCATACTGGGTGTTGCATTATTGGTCACTTTTATGATCTCAGTAGCGGCCATCGTTCAACGCAACCACGTCACAAGCGGCCTTGTCATTCTCAACTATGCCCTTGTACTCGATGCTATCGGCGTCCTCATCATTGGCACCTTCATTTGGTTCTTCACCCTGGAGGAACGTGCCAACTTCTACAAACTCTGGAAGGAGGCGACTCCCGCAACTAGGATCATTTTGCAAGATCAAGTGCGTCTATCCTTTCATTCGGTATCTTATCCCCATTCTAAGCAGGCTCGTTTAGCTCAAATGTTGTGGCTATTTCAATGGCACCGATGTTGTAGAAATTGGGGGCAGTTTCTGCACCTCGGAAGCCTTCGTTGCCAATCTCTCAGCCGAAGATGTCAACAACTTTTGCGTCACTCCTATCACTGGTTTCGCCGACGTGACACTGAACAACATCTTTACGTGAGTGCGATTTGCTTAGCACGTTCGATTCATCACTGATTGCGACCTTCTTCAGAACGGTGAATATTTGAATACTAAGTCAAGCTTGTGGACTTCGATTGCTCATTGTTGTGACAGGTTTATGGCTATATGGCGATTGTGTTGTGTCTTCTCCTTGCGTCGCTCTGTGTTATCAAGAAGGTATGGAACCGCCTCATGCCCTGTATTGAGGTTACTCATGATTTCCGCAGAGGCAAGAGGACGAAAGATTCAAGAAAATCGACGCTAAACGTGGTGGAAGGGGCTTCGTGTAATCCCTTACCCGCATTCTTCTCGGTATATTCAGGGTTTATACGATGTTTTCGCTGTTCTGTCCGCTTACAATAAGGACACATTCAATCTTTTAGCGCAACGCCCCGGACGTTGGCTCGGGCTTCTGGATGTCGTCGACCTATGCAAGACATGGGCATTAGAGATTATTCTTTACATTGTATTCAATAATACCCCCTCAACACTCTGTACAATTGGGAATACCGTGTGAACCAGACTTTGAGGAAATCACTGCTTTGGGAAATTGTACTACCTTCCTCAGTACTTACCACCATGTCACTAGTATTTTGGAAACCCGGAACCGTCGGCCCAGGCAGTAATCTCGACAGAGCATCCGAAACAGAAGAAAATGTTATCCCGTCTGCTCCAAATAATTCGTACAGTCAACGGGAACGCCTTCCGATCTTTAAGCATCGTATGTTACATTTCGACCATCTGTGTGTGGATCTCCAGTTATAATTCTGCTTTCGAAATCTTTTCAGGGGAGAAGCTACTATATTGTATCGAAAAGTATGGTGTAGTTGTCGTCGTTGGACAGACAGGCTGTGGTAAAACTACTCGTAAGTCTATTCACGCCGTCTGACCGCTTTGTTCGCAATGATCACCAGAACTCCCGCAGTATCTTCTTCAGGCCGGCTGGGCAGATAATGGGCACGTTGTTGCGTGCACTCAGCCCCGTAGAATTGCTGCAACGTCGGTAGCAAGCCGAGTCGCCAATGAAGCTGGAACCAAATTGGGAGATGAAGTGCGTACAGAGATCTGTCTTGGTTATTCGGTTAATGCTCGTCCAGGTGGGATATACCATTCGTTTCGAAGATGTCAGCAGTAAGGAGAAGACGCGCCTACTTTACATGACCGACGGGATGCTCTTTCGCGAAACTCTGGTCGATCCCCTGCTCAGCCGTTACAGCGTTATAATGGTGAAGCTAGCATCCCATTCAGCGTTCACAACAGTTATTAACGCCCACCTGCTCTATCAAGGTCGATGAAGCCCACGAACGCAGCGTATATACCGATCTTCTGCTGGGGATATTGCGAAAGTATGTCTGTCATCGACCCGTTTCTCCGAACTTCTAACAGGCAACCTAACGCGTCGACTAGAATTCGCAAGAAGCGACCATCCCTTCGTATAATAGTCTCATCTGCGACCTTAGATTCAACAAAGTTTCTCGATTATTTTTCTCAAGGGACTTCTCCGGAAGAGGCCACAATCATCAGTTTGGAAGGCCGCATGTATCCTGTGGAAGTAGCCTACCTCCAAGAACCAGCCCCGGACTATGTCCGTAAAGCAGCTGAAGTTGCTTGGAATATTAATTTACAGGTGAGCCAAACCTATGATGTTCAACATAAGTGGTTTCACAACAAAGTTGACAGCAAGGTCCTGGGGATATTCTTGTCTTCCTTACTGGACGAGAAGATATTGATAGATGCCTGCAGGAATTGTCAGACATGATACCTACGTTGGTGCTAGGAATGCTCAGTCCGTCTTTCAAGGGCTAATTTTTCCCCTCAGCTTACCCTCTCGTGCAACTCGTTTGATACCGCTTCCACTGCATGCTGGCCTAACAACGGATGAACAACTTCGGATTTTTCAATCAGCTTCCCCTGGAACAAGAAAAGTCATTATATCCACCAACATAGCAGAAGTATGTTCTTTTTTTGTGGCTTGGTCTCAAAGACTACCTCTGAACGTCTCGCAGGCTAGCGTAACGATTGACGGCGTCAAATTCGTCGTTGATTGTGGTTTTGTCAAAGTAAGCCCAAAATTTGCAGAGGCCTATCTTTGACTTATGGGTGACCACAGATTCGTGTGTTCAATCCTACAACGGCCTTAGCATCGCTAGCAACAGTTCCGATATCTATGGCTTCTGCTACCCAACGGGCCGGCAGAGCGGGACGAACTTCACCTGGTGTCTGCTACAGGCTATATCCCATGTCGGTTTTCAAGAGGCTGCCAGCAACAACATCCCCAGAAATCACACGGACCGACATGACGACACCCATTCTGCAACTCAAGTCACTGGGGGTTGATGATCTCATGAAATTCGATTGGGTCTCTGCGCCTCCTGCAGAAACTGTCCTACGAGCTCTGGAAGGCCTCCATGCTGCTGGCATGATCGACGAACATGGCAGACTGACCCCCATCGGCGAACAAGTATCGGAATGTCCTGTCGAGGTGGGGATTGCGCGCATGGTAAATTGTTCCTACCACTGATATTATCGTGTACTAAACGTGTACTAAACCCATACCAAGTTGTTCCAGTCGAAAGAATACAAATGCGGCGAAGAAATCCTAACTATTGCTGCAATGACGGCGGTTCAAGTAGGCAAAGAAGTCTCTTTCTGCTCTCAGAAGGCTAAGAGGAACGTAGGATGTTTTTGTTATTCCGGATGGGGCCGCCGGCGCCTTGGCCGAGCTAGAAAGAAGGAAGTTTACAGCAGAAGAAGGGGTGCGTTGTGTTCTTTATCCAGAAAGATCTTCATTCTCATGTGTTTCTCAGGACCATTTCACTCTCCTCAATGGTGGGTGCTCTATTTTGTAATTGTATTTGGTGCTCACGTTTCGAAACTAGCATACAACGCATTCACGAGATATGGTCGATCCTCTGGCTGGTGCAAGTCCCATGCACTGTCCTTCCGAGCCATGTCTCGTGCAGTCTCAATCAGATCGCAGCTGAAAAAATACATGCAAAGGTTCAATCTGCCGCTCGAGAGCTGCGAGGGGGACTCAAAGAGGTTAGCCCAATGTCTTGTTAGTGGCTATTGGCGGAACGGTGCTCGCTGGATGGCAGATGGGACATACCGCTCTGTTAGAGGAAACATGGTATGCATGCATTTGGTGTCGCCGTTCCTCTCCTTACCATTTGCAAGGTGCTATCCGTTCACCCAACCTCGGTCTTGTTCACAAGGAAGCCAAGAACTGGGTGGGTGGTATTTCATGAAATGGAAGAGACAAAAAGGGCACAGTGCGTCACCTTGTTTCGTGTTTCTTCGGAGTGGCCTAAAACAATAGCAGAATTCGTATTCTTACTGAAATTGAGCCTGACTGGTGAGTTCAAAGCTGCACCTCTCTTTGTAGTTCTATTCAATCTTATTCTTTTGCCTATAGGTTACTTAAGCATGGACATACCTACAGCGACATAAGGAAGGGATAGAAACCCTACATCTTCTCATCTTTAGACCCCTCGTGCGTTGTAGAGCAGCGAAATCTGTTCCTTCGAATTTGTGAGATAGTTTAAGAGCACTATAGGAAATTTGATAGGAATTTGAAATGTCAATATACCAAGCACATGACGCAACGGGAAAGCTCCCGTTCGCTGCCGCCGTACTTTAAGCTTACCATTCTAGTTACCTCCAGCTTCAAGCCGACCATTTGAGATGGGCTCAAGCCAATCAACGTCCAACTCTTCAGACGAGAAGGTCTTCCAGAGTGAGACTCCCATTTCAGTGAGTCTCTTTTACTGGACTTCTCGTCAACGTCGATGACCTAGTGTCAGTTCTCACCAGAGGTTGTGAACCAACTCTCCGACCGCCTTGAGTCTCCTGAAACGACGCCTGAACGGCAGTCAATTCTGGACTCACACATTGTAGCAAAGATCCGGGACGAGCTTGAACACCTGAAGAGGGATGAGGAGGTCGTCCGACAAGAGATAGAACGGACACTTGAGAGAGAGAATCTAGACCGGGAAAAGGCTATGGCTGGCGAGGCGTCAGAGGGAGACGGGAGTGCAACTGGCGATGTTCGAAATAGTGCGGCGCTACTTGGCGACCTTGAAGAAGTCCGGGCCAAGATTGAAAAGTACCAGGTCAACAAGAAGTCGGCTGAATACCCAGAGGTTGAGGCTAGTGGTGCTGCTGTATCTGAATGTTACAGGTCCGTCCATGCTTTCTTTTCCATTGGTTCTTGGCTTCTGACTGCTCGCAGAAAAAACAACGACACGCCTCTTAATTGTTGGCCTGAGGTCACTAGATTCAGGGCGTCCGTAGACAAGCTAGAGGAGGTCAGTACGGTTCTCCTAATTCGATGGGGATTCGTCATTTCTGATAGAACTCCTGCAGCAATACTTCAAGTCGTTACAATGATAGCCAACTTATTCAATAGAGAATTTTACACACTTTCTTACCTTTTTTTTTTTCAAAAGGTTCAGGTCCGCAAAACCATGACGCATAGTACGGAGCTCTTGCCAGATATGATATGTAAAGGTAGGTACAGAAAAAAATACATAAAATTAATGCACTACACGGGCAAACTACACATTCTCCTCCATTGCCGCGAGTTGAGCTTCGTTGTATGCCTCCGCCTCCGCCATTAATTTATCCTCCAATTTCGTCACCCGAGCCTCCGAATCCTGCTTCTCGCCTACCAGCTCGGCGTAACGCATCTGAAGCATCTTCTCCCTATGTTCGAGTTTCTCGACTTCCTCGCGAAGGGTGTCAACTCTCCGTGGTCCGACTGCGCTCTCGTTGGCACGCAAACGCGAGAAGGCCTCATGCTGCACCTTGGTCTTCTGTAACTCGTCGAAGGCGTCTGTTATCCGCTTGGCGAGGGCTTGTGCACGTATCTGGTATCCACCCAGCGTAACACCGAGTTTCTTCTCCAACTTGGCCGCCTTGTTGGCCTCTTTCGTCATGAGTTCGCGGTCGTCGGCGAGCAAAGACTCGTATCCTGCAACACGAGCCTCGAACTCGAGAGAGGACGGGTCCACCCAGGTCTTCGTTGAGGCATCGTAAGCCAGCTTCTGTCGGACAGAGGCCCATGAGATGTCATGAGGAATGGATTCCGTCTTAGACAGTTTGAGGAGGCCATCACGAACTTGCGCAGGATTTGCAGATGGGAAACCAACTAGCGTCGCTAGTTCGAGATGGATCTCGGCTTTGGCGGCCTCAAGAGCGTCGTCATCAGGCATGGTGTACGTCGACTGGGATGCGCCAGACTTCGTCGTCCCAGGTAGTGGATGAGCGATCGAGTCGTGTAAGAGAAGTTGTGCAAGCTCGGTGTTGAGGAACTGTTGCGCAGATGCCATTGCAGGATCTGATTCTTCCTCATCCTCCACGCTGAGGTTCTGCAATAGTAGAGAGACATCCACATTGCTCGGCCGAGGCAAACCTCGCTGAATAGCCTGTGATCTTCGGGCCAAAGCCTTGCGTTCCTCTTCTTCTTGCAGACGCTTGAGTTTGGAGTCCCTGTCCGCAGCATCTTCAATCGACAGTGAGTCGTTAGTCTCATCCTCCATATCTTCATCGTCAGGAACCAGCAACTCAAAGTTGTTCTCTGGTTTAGGCAAGTTCATGAAACCGGCCTTGAGAGTGCGCTTTGCGGAATTGGCACGGAGGCGCTGGTCGCGCGGTGTCTGTCCAACCGCGGTAGAGTAATCCTCAGGATTGATAGACAAGTTGTCGCGGAGGGGCGTTCGGAGGGGCGTCGCAGAGACGCCGACCACTCGTGGTGTAGCGGACCCATCTGTGATTACGTCTCGCATGGGAGTGGCTAGAGGGTTGGGAGTGAATGCGACTTGATGACGAGGAGTAGCACCCTCGAAGCCAGAGAGGCCGCCTGGGCCAACATGCAGAGGAGTGTTCTCGTCGCCGAGCAAAGGAGTCTGCGCTGCAGTCAAATTTCGGAGGTTGCGTGCCTCCATCAAAACGTTATCGTCTGGAGAGATAGATTAATGGTGCTCCGTAGAGGTGAAATACTGCTACTCACGTTGAGGAGCTGTTCTTGGCGTCCTCGCCATCCGTGCAGCCTCCAGGCCCTCGTAGTCGCTAAGCAGTCTCCCGCTAGCATCACTGCCGCTGCCGACCAGAGCCTTTGCGTTTTCGCCAGCCTGACCAATTTTGACAATATCTGCCAACTCTGTTTCTCCAACCTGGGCTTCAGGGAGGATGAGCTTGTTCCGCCGGCCAATGGATTCCGCTTCCTTAAGCTTTTGGATTTGTGCGTCACGGGCAGCGATGAACTTGGTCTGATGGCCTGGCTCTCCTTCCTTTCCGTTAGCATTTCTCCTCTGCCTCTTCTTCCTCTCTGCCTCTTCCTCCTCCGGCTTGCGCTTGTTCTCGAGTCTGCGCAGGGATTGGCCGACAGGTGCAGCAGCGACGCGAGCTTGCTCTTCTGAAGTATCATAGAAGCCGGGTGCCGCCTTCTTCTCGAAAGGAATATCTGCATTGTACTAAATGGTACGTAAGTATTATGTAAGATCTAGGAAAATGAAGAAAAATGCATACATCCATGCCCTTTTTCTTGGTCTTATGACGCATGCTGAGGGAGATATTAGCTCGTGAAGAAACTGGAGAGGACATGGAACTAACATGATGCCAGCAGCCTTGAGCTCTCGCTTCTTTTGCAGGACCGCCAGCCTGCGAGCTTCTTCGAGCTGGCGCTCGCGAGCCTTGCGTTTAGCCTTCTTGCCCTGGGTGTTTGCCAGCCGTGCTCTGGCTTCAGACAACATTTCCTTTTCTGCATGACGTGTGAGAGAGTAGAAGCAGATAAAAGACGTAAAAGACGTGATGACTCACCATCCTCGTCCATGTCAATGGGATCTGGTCTGGCAGGTTTTGTCTCTGGGTCGGGGTCTATCTCGCCTGGACGCAGTCTCCGGATATCGTCTACACTAGGGCCAATATCGTCGGAAGGACCGGCGAGGCCGAGCTCTTCGTTTTCCTTCGCCTCCGCCTCATCAAGGAGTTTCTGGTAGCGCTCCAAACATTGCGTCGCTGTTCTGCCAACAATGGGAGCAATAGTTCGCCATTGTGTTGGCATTAGTTTTGCAAGGTGGAGGAGTTTCTCGTCTTCAGTCTGCAGGCCAGTAGTTGAGGAAGTGCGGAGTGAGGATGAGATGTGAGACGCACCTTGGACCATTCTGTTTTCTTGATAGATGGATCCAGCCATTCGTACCAGCGCGCCTTGCACTGCTTGGGAGTCTTGCGAACAAGAAGGGAAGATATACGGGCCCTGCGAGGTGTTGAGAAAAGACGAACGACGAGGAAAAGGAATAATACCATTGGTTCTTGCCATATTTTGCAATGGCGGCCTTGAGGACCTCATCCTCCGTGTTCTAAACAGAAAGTGAGCACGGATCTCGGGGCAGCGCAGTATTACCAACCTTCCATACGCCTGTAAGACGGAAAGTGAGCGCAGGACCAAGAAAGAGGGCAGGGCGACGTACCTCCTTTGATGATGGTTCTGACCATCGTCGTTCGACTTGAAGTTGACGGTGACGCGCACTTTGCCAGCTGGTGTGTCACGTGGGGTGTGAGTGTCGGCGTTCACCGGCATCTATGTGGTTGCCGGGAGGGCGAGGGGTTATCTGGCGGATAAGGCCGAAAAACCCAAAATTAATTGTGATAGTCGCCGGAGCAGGCCTGGTCGCGCTTGCCTTCTGCCCCCCACCGCTCGTCGGCTGCCTGTGTGCTGCCCGTGCCCCGCTGCCCGCTGCCCTCCGCCCCGCGCCGCACGCCGCCCGCTCCACCGCCCCGCTCGCCGGCAACTCGACTGCCCGTTTGATCACCGCGCCCAATCGATTGAAAACCGGACTCGGACCACCCTCGTCGTCGCCCCATGGATCCACAGCTCGACTCGGCTCCAGAATCAAAGTCCGTCTCTCTCTCTTTCTCCTCCACCAGACATGTACTCACCTCACAGAACACCAGGCCAAAGCAACCTGTCGTCCGCGGGGCCCGCGCCTGCACCGTATGCCGTGCTGCAAAGGTCAGCGCCACCAACTACCTCCCATTCAGCCCCCGCTTATCCGATCCCTAGATGAAGTGCGTCGGTGCAGAGGACGGCCAGAGACAGTGTCAGCGCTGCAAGCGCGCCAATGTCGAGTATGTCCTCTTTTTCTTCCCTTTCAACCAACCATCCCCTCACCCAGCACCCAGCTGCATTTTCGAAAAGCACAGACGCGGCCGGAAACCAGGTTCAAAGTGGGTGTCATCTCCTCCCTTTGACCCCCCCTTATCTATTTCCCCTTCGATTTACAGGTTGTCCGAGGCCTCCAAAATGCTTCGTCGCCTGGAGAAGGGCCTCAACTCGGCCAAAATCAAGTCCCAATCCACAGAGGCAACCTCTCCCTACTCCGACGAACTGCGTCCCACCTCCATCCCAGAAACGTCCTATTCTGTCGGCAGTTCTGCCGAAGCATCTTACCCACCTCCAAACCCTCATTTTTCCTCCGCCGATATCCAGCCCCAACCTCTTCCGTCCTACCAGGAGGACAGTGCTTCTCACAACCTCGACATGGAGGATGACGATGATGACCTCGATCGAACCGACGAAGCCTTTTACCCAGCCAAACTCATCAAGAGGGAAAACCAGCGCAACTCGTTCTTCAGAACAATACTCAACCCAGAAGAGACTCCAACTGCTGCCCCTCGTCGAAGCAGTTCCCTCACTCCTCCTCAACATGTGTCACCCGCACCCACTGGTTTAAGTGATCCGATCACGGCTGGTATCATTACAGAAGACGACGCAAAGATGCTATTTGACGCTATTTTCTTGCGCCTCAATCCCTTTGTCAACCTCCTCGATCCCGCTCTGCACACTGTCTCCTACGTTCGTTCCAAATGCCCCTTCCTCTTCACCACTCTCGTCATGGCCGGCTGCAAATTCTTCAAGGCAGAAAAATTCAAACAATGCCAAAAGCTGGCAAACGAGTTTGCCGTTCGGGCTTTCGCCGAGTGCTGGAAGCGTGTCGAAGTCGTACAAGCTTTCGCGTGCATGACATATTGGAAAGAACCCGACGATAGCGTCAGTTTTAAAGTTAATGCTTTCTCCCTTCGCTTGTTCTAATTTTATACCCGCCCAACAGAGGACCTGGACATTTATTGGTTATGTCTGTATTCCTCCTTGATATTCCTCTTTGCCGTCCTGATGATCCCTGGTTCTAGGCATGTCGTATGGCCGTTGAGCTCGGTCTCAACCGTTATGTTGCTAATCCATCCCCCACGGAGACCGACTTCCAACGGCTCGAACGCCGTAACCGGGAACGCACTTATCTCGTTCTCTTCGTTCATGACCGAAGCTTGAGTATGCAAACCGGTCGACACTGGATGCTTCCGGAAGACGAACTCGTCAGAAATGCAATGACATGGCATGAGGCAGGCGGCGGTGTCGTCCGGCCAGAGGACGTGGTCATTGCTGCTTTTGTCGTGTTGCGCCGAATAGCTGTACGCGTTTACCTTTTACCCAGTGTGTAGGTCTATGCTGACATACTGACAGGCCGAGACCACGGATATTTTCTACAGCACCAAGGGTTCATTGGCCAACAGCAATTCTGATATTAATTATGAGGTCGTTCTTTCCAACTGCAATGCCCGCCTGACCCAATGGGACAACACCTGGCGACACGAAATGGAAAAGGGTGCGTGTTGTCCTCGTTGTTTGACGCCTTAGATTGATCACCTACTGCAGCCGGAGGAGAAAAATTCCACTTTTCATTCCTCAGCTTTTTCCGACTCTATGTCAGGCTGTTTCTGAACAGCTTTGGGATCCAAGCGTCTCTGCTTCCTGTGAGTGCCGGAGGTTTTGTCGAAATTAGCGCCCATGGCTGACTGGCGCCCCTCTAGGGAAGCCGCCAACCTCCGAGCTTGCAGGCACTTACAATGTGCTGTACAAGTGCTTTGGACTCTCTAAGGATCATATCTCAGGATTTTCATGATATGCATGTTCTGGCAAGTGACATTCCTCACCGCAGAGACCAGTTTTTGATACCGTTCGCATACAGCGCTACGGCCAAGATTCCATCACCGTGATGACAGCATACTCCGCTGTCTTTCTACTGAGGGTACGGTTCCTTATCATATGTATGTCGGAACCGACATGTCTAAAGGCCGCGATAGCTCCTTCGAGGGCCCACCACTGGAAACCAATTGGGCCCCAACGCAGCGCATGAAATCCATACTCTAATCTCCCAAACCGCCGACTCGTATCACGAGGCGTCTTCTTCATCACATTCGCCGGTGTCTATCTCTGCGTCATACCATGCCCGGTTCCTTCGCGCGCTAGTCGCCAATGATATTTTTAAAGCCCGGCGACATGAGCGGGAACGGAACGACAACAGTATGCCGATTGATCCCCGACTTCAAGGTAAGGACCCGACGCGGCTACTTTTCTAAAAATGAATTCAACACAATCGCTTATTCGACGGCTTTACTAGGTCCTCCGCAGACACATGGCACAATTCAGACTTCGCCGACTTCTCAGGTCTACTCTCCTCAGGTTCACCGGGTGGTTGAGCAACCGCCGCAGACCTTCCAATTTCCAGCTTCACCTCACCTACCTGCACACCCACACGCAACCCCTCATGCCCAGGAGTACCAGATGGAGGTGCAGGCAAGACACACCATGGGCAACGGGCAAACGAATGCCCCTGTTCACTATCCCAACGGTTATGTGCCCAGCACACCGCAGCATGCTTCCGAGCTTGATGCTCACTATTGGAAGAACATGTTCCTCGAGCTTGGGTTTGGAGAAGGTGTTGACCCCAACACCATGCCGAGCGTGATTCCGAATAACAATAGCACGAACATGAATCGAGCCATGCCGCAGCAACAGCAGCAGTATATGGATGTACCCCAGCATCACACCACTCACCCACACCAGCAGCAACATCACCCACACCACCAACAACCTATGCACTCTCACCCACACCAAGGTATGCCACCGCAGGGACAGATCCATTACCAGAACATGCACCCCGCCTACGGGCACTGACTGCCTTTTGACTACATGTTTTCTTGTACAACTTATGCGTACTGATTCGGGGAGTTGTAAGTGTAGTCCCCGGACGCATGTAATTGTAACCAACCGCACAGCTATTTGCAATTATGTCTGATTTTTGTTTTCTTTTTTGTCATCAATACACCTCTCTTGTTAATTACCAACGTCATGTATCCACACCAATAGAAAACACAATGACTGAGCGTCCAATTGCGGCGGCGATACGTGGGATCCCACTCATGGAGAGGAAGTCGAAGGCGCGGATGAAGTGCGGTCTGGGGCGGACGACGAAGGGCGTTGGGGCTGCATGCACGAAGTTGCAGTTGTGGACGTGAATAATGGCGCCTTTGGTAGGAGATTGGGTTGAGATAGCAAAGTGTTCTGGGTAGGTTGGACACCAGCGGAAGATCTGGCCGCCTTCAGGGAAGGTGTTTCCTGTGACTGTCGGCGTTCCTCCTCGCAGCTTGGAGATGTCCCACAGAGCGAACTTGGCCCCATATACACCTCCAATTCTAAGAGATTGTTGAGCCACAAGGAAACATAAGAAAAGCGAGAACGGACATATCAATAGCGTCGACCCTCCAATCGACCGACGCAGCCCACTGTTTCGTCGAGCCCATGCACGCTGCGGCCAGGGCGGATGGTTCCACGAGCTCGATGACACTCGAGTGGCGCAGCGCATCGTCGCCGTCTTCGGGATCGGTGCGCCAGTCGGTGAGGAAGAGGGAGCCGTGGCAATCAGAGACGAGGAACTCCTTGCTAGTGGCGGGGTGGGCGCGGATGGAGGTGAGCGGGTGGGGAAAAGGGATCACGTAGGCGGTTGGCTGGGGCCGGGCGTTCTCCTCGGGGGTCATGGCGTAGTCGGGAGTAGGGCTGGGAGAAGGGAAGGTGGAGGGGATGTCGATGGAGGGGTAGAGGTCCCAGACCATGAGCATTTTGTCGTCTGTGGGATGGGTGAGGTTGGGGCAGTAGTGGCAGAGGGAGGAATGCGTACTTGACACAGTCGCGACGTAGCGCGCGCTGTCCTCGTCCCAACCGCCACAGAAGACCATATCGTTGACCTTGCCATGGTGGCCGCTGAGCCCACCGCCGAAGGAGAAGATGTACTCGGAGGCACTCGAGGACTTGGTGAGGAGATGGAGGCCAAAGTCAGCACCAGCGCAGGCGAGTCTGCAGTCTGTTAGTCGGAATGCGGGCGCTGAGATAGCGGACGTACTCGATGACCCATTTGTCGCCTGCAGATGGCGAGACGGAGCGAGACGACCATGCGAGGGCGGTTATGCGCGACCCAACGTGGAAGGACGCGAGGGGGAGACACGCTGCGTCTGTCTGCCGCCCGATTCAGCTCACGGCGTTCAGGAACAATTTACGTGGATACGCACGACTTGTAGGACGTCAACCGAGTGCTCGCCGCCGACGGCAATGAGGTCTGTCGCGTCCGCGTTGCGGCAGGGAGCCAGCGCGTAGACGGCTGTTGGGTGGTCGTAGGAGAGATCGGCCATGGTTTGTTTGCTCTCTCCCACTTTCATGCCGGCAAGAAAAGGCCCCAACCCCTGGCTCTTCCTCGCTCTCTCCGTCGCATCTGCTGCTTCATTCTTCTTGATCGTCAAGCGCAGAGAACAGACGAATCCGGCCTCAGCACTCCCCAGACAGGCAGACCACCCGCTTGTTCCCCCTAGGCACAAGCAGTAGAGAATGGCAGAACCAGTGTTCGATAGCAACAAGGTCACTGTGATCTTCGTCCTAGGAGGACCGGGTGCTGGTAAGTATATCTGCTACTCTATGCGCTCATCGTGCTCAGTGCTTCGCAGGCAAAGGCACCCAGTGCGGTAGACTCGTCGAGGATTTCGACTTTTGCCACCTCTCCGGTTCGTCACCCTCAGCCCACTAGGCGCTCACATCCTGATAATCGATTAGCTGGCGACCTGCTGCGCGGGGAGCAGAACCGCGAGGGATCGGAGTACGGTGACCTCATCCGGACGTGCATCCGCGAGGGCACCATCGTGCCCATGGAGGTCACCATCAAGCTCCTCGAGAACGCCATGGCCGCCGCCCTCACCGAGCGCACGTCGGGCGAGGGCTGGACTGATGGAAAGGGGCGCTTCCTCATTGATGGCTTCCCTCGGAAGATGGACCAGGCGCTCAAGTTTGAGGAAGAGGTCTGCGTGTCATCGCTCACTATCTACTTTTCTACTACGGAGGAGGTCATGCTTTCGCGTCTGCTTGAGCGCGGCAAGACGAGTGGGAGGGAGGATGATAACGTGGAGAGCATCAAGAAGCGGTTCAGTGAGTGTGAGCGCCTCTTTGTCGTTTACTCCTAATGTCGGTCCAGGGACGTACCGAAGCGACACGATGCCCGTCATTGAGCACTATGCGAAGGAGAACAAAGTTGCGGAGGTATGTTTTGGTCGATATTTGTTGACTTGCGCTCAGGCTTGTTAAGATCGACAGCACGGGCAGCATCGAAGAGGTCCACAAGGTGGCAAGCGCGGTAGTCAACAAGGTGTTCGCAGAGAAGAGTGCTTGAAGATGTAATAGAATTGGACATATAGACTAGAAATCAGTTGTATACAGAAAAATGGTGAGAGAAGGTATCGACGGCGGCGGTAGCTTTCCCGTGAGGAGGAATGGTCGATATGGCACCGTCGGAACAGACAAGATGCGCATCAGGATCAGCATCGTCCTGTGGTCATGGATGAGGGTCAAGTAAGGAATGTAGGATGGGACTTACGGGAGTCCATTGCCAACCACCACAACGGAAGTACTCGATGACGGAGACACCATGAACTCCAGAAGCAATGTCGCCTTGCTCGGTGTAAACGAATTCAACGTGCTGACCATCTTGGTAGGCGCCTCCGAGGACCTTCCAGGTCTTTGCGACAAAAGATGAGCGAGCGTCGGGTGTATCTTGGTGGATGGTGGGGTCTCTGAGGGGCCGGAGGACGACAATGTCGAAAGCCGGAGCAGAGGGAGGGATGGCCCTGGCCAAAGGGGCGATTCTAAAGGCGGGCTCTAGACGATCGACGTTGACGGTGGAGAGGAAGTAGGCAAAGGGGCCTTGGATCTCTACAGCGGGGGAATCATTTGAGGAGTCTGGATGGGGTATCAAGGACTTGGAGGAGGGGTTGTAGATCTGAACAAAGCCGAGAGAGGATGGAGTGAGGTTGAGACGGGCGTTGTACCACTTGGTGCTGTTCTGCTGAGCAGCAAGTTTGAATCTAAGAGGAATTAGTGCGAGATATGGGAGACGGAGGTGGGATGACACCTTTCGATGCCGGGATGACGTTCTCGCAAGGCCTCCGAGTCATGGAGGATGGAGGCGTGGAGGGCAGTGGAGACGACGACGGAGGCGATGGAGGTGCTTACGGGCGCGTTCTGGGCCGAGATGGTTGTAGTAGCCAGAGAGAGGAGGGTGGTGGTTGCCTTGTTCTGGAGGAAGGCATGAAGAGATTGGAGCTTGTAGGCGAGATCGGGGACTGGGGGCGGAGGAAAGAGGGAGGAATAAAGGGCATTGGCAGTTCCACAAGGGACGAGGACAAAGTGGACGGGAGTGGTTATGCTGGCTGCGTGGAGGGCGTTGAGGATGTCGTGGAGAGTGCCGTCGCCGGAGCCGAGGACGAGGGTGAGCGGGCGTGTTGCATGCTCGACGACGACTCTGCCCGCATGGCCTGCGGAAGTTGTCTGGACATGTACAGCGGTGTGCTCGTTGAGACGGGGGACGACATGGGCGGCGAAGAAGGCGGCTGCGGATTTGTCGCCGCAGACGGGATTGACGAGAACGAGGAGCATGGCAGTAACAGATGCAAACAGGCGCTCTTATATCAGTGACACATCGACTATCATTGTGGAACTTGTAGAGAGACTAATGCCCTCTCCCAACAATGCGCTACCTCTCCGCCGTCCTCTCGACTCTCTTCCGCCTCGCTGCCCTCGTATTCACCCAGATTGTAAGCGTATTGCCTTTGCGCCTATGCACGCCCTGACCGGCTGTCCAGATCCCCACCCGCCTCGGTCCTCCTCTACTCCCCACTCTCTATCTTCTCCACCTTGTATCCGCCTACCTCTTCCACCCAGAGCCCACTCCCCCCAAACACGAAAAGACAAATCGACCGCAGACTCCCCCCCCTTTTGCCCCGAGCCCTCTATCCGTCCTCATCCTCTCCCTCCCCACAACTTCTCGCCTCTTCACCGTAGTCAATGTACTCATAAATACTCTGCTCGCCCTCGCCTCGGCAGACCTCATCCTCACACCCTTCCTCGACACCGCCTCTGACATCACCTTCACGCGCGTTGGAGCCGTCTATCCTGACAGTGTAAAAATTCAAGCTCGCTATCCCTTCCACCACAATCTACTGGTCCTATATCGTCAATTTAACACTTCGGACTGGAAATACGGTCCTCGCCTTCACCCGACCCAACAATCCGACTGGGTAGACACCGTCCGTCTCGCAAACCTCTGGCCAAGCACATCCTACGAATGTCAGTCCCTCTCCTTTCCACTTTCCTGGTGTCTTACTTGTTTTCAGACACTATTGCCGATATCAATACCACCATTCTGCCCATTGCTTCAGCTCCTATTCCTTTCCGCACCTTTTCAGACCCTCGTCTCCATTCCGGCTCCCGCTTCCGTTTCATTGCTACCTCCTGCACAACCCCAAACTTCCCCTACAGAGGCCCATTCAACAAGCGTACCATTAGAGGCTTCGACTTGCTCGCCGACTACCTCAAACCCCAGTCTGTCAATGCAACTGACGTAAACAAAAACATAACGACCACTGTGCAGCCTCACATTGTCAACAAGCCCTCGACTGATTTTCTCTTGTTCCTCGGCGACTTTATCTACGCCGATGTCCCTGTATACATTGGAGACGACAAAGAGGCATACAGACGTCTCTACCGCCGTAATTATGCTAGTCCGAGCTTCAGGAAGATCTACGAGCAACTACGTGAGTGCTTGCTTGCTTTACATCCTCCACTGTTTTAAATTGTCCACAGCTATCATTCACGCCTATGATGATCACGAAGTACGTTGCTTTGTCCCTCCCTTTCTTTGCTGACCTGGCTTCTAGTTTATCAACAACTATGCCGGAAACTCGGAACAAGCTCCTCCATTCGTCAATGCTTCTGGTGCCTACAACATCTATGCAGCCAAACCAAACTATGATCCTATCCACCCTGACCAAACCTTCTACAATTTCCAGCACGGAGATGTCGCTTTCTTTGTCATGGACACCCGCCGTTATCGCTCTCCTTCGAACGGTCCAGACCAAACCTACCTCACCATGTTGGGCGAGGAACAGTTGACTGCTCTCTTTGACTGGCTCCATGCGGTTAGCAGCTCTCTTTTGGCATTTGCACATTTGCTGACAACTTCTTTCAAGGTCAACGAAACTGCGTCGTTCAAGTTCGTCGTCTCCTCGGTCCCCTTCACCTCTCTCTGGACGCATGACGCCCAGATCGACTCTTGGGCAGGCTATCCCCTCGAGAAGGCCGCTCTATTACAGGCCTTCCATAGTGTTCCTAACGTCGTCATCATCTCTGGCGACCGCCACGAGTTTGCCGTAGTAGAGTTCAACACGCCTGACCCGCGCAAGCACATCGTCCGAGAGATCTCAACTAGTCCTCTGAACATGTTCTATATTCCATTCATTCACACCCTTCGCCCGAGAAGTGAGGAGGCTTTCAATACGACCGTGTCTGTCTCGCTTTCCGAGGACGGCACGGAGACGATTCAGAAGATAGAGCAGGTGCCTTTCGAACGCGCCATTTCCTACATCCCGAATGGAAACTCCAAATGGTGGGTCCATGGCATCATCCCCCGCGCCTTTCTCTCATACTTTTCCAGGTCAACGTTCGACATCGATACAAAAAACAGGAAAAAGCCCACTCTCCGCCTCGAGACCGTTATCGACGGAAAGCCTGCGTATCAGTAAGTGTCCAACTCGTTTGGAAGTACACAACTCTAACTGCGACTTTGACAGCCTCCAGATTGTGGGCGAATCTGCAAGGCCTCCGAACTTTGCGGGTCTTGGATCCCTCTTGCCAGGCAATGTCATGGACATGTTCGACAAGCTCGGCTTTAAACCTGGACGGTGGTTCTGATACATGAATGATCTAGAATTGTTTAGATATTATATATTTCGCTTCCCAGACGATCTATCTATTAGCGTTCCTCTTCACTCTTCTTTTGTGAAAAGCGCTGTTGGACTTGGGCGTAGTGCTCCATCTCGGCCTGGCTGACGCTCGGTACCAGCGCCTTGAGGGCTCGGTCAAAGTCTTCCTCTGAGACGTAGACAGTCATGTCTTCGGGAGATGCAAGCTCGGCAAGGTAGTATTGTGGCGTGACCGGATGAGGGTGGCCGTGTGCCCGCTGGGTGTTCAGGATGCCTACAGAATATGAGCGCAAGAAAGAAGCCGAGACGAGAACAAGCCTACCGATTTTTTCTTCGATCATTTCCGCCTTCCTTGACATGGCGTTAAGCATGGCATCAGAACAGAGAGCGTAAAAGTCAGCGCCGGTGTAATTGAAAGGACATCGTTCCGCGACGTTGCGTAGGTTCAGGGTAGGGTCAAGACGGAACTTTCGCGTTAGGGCTTCCAGGATGTTAAGCTGGGCTTCATGTGTGTCACTGACGCCGAGGTACAGCATACGGTCGAATCTAGCGCGATGTTGATCAGGGTAGGCCGTGTAAAAGACACAAGAAAGCTCACCTCCCAGGTCGGAGCAAAGCAGGATCAAGGAGGTCAGGTCGATTGGTAGCCCCAATGACGAACACGTCAGCGCCTTCTTTCCCTCCTGACATCCCGTCCAGCTCAGCGAGGAGCTGACTGACGATCCTGTCCATCACACCCCCCGAGTCGCCGTGGTTCCCTCGCTTCGGCGCCACCGAATCCAGTTCATCAAAGAAAATAACACACGGCTTCGCGTCGCGCGCCCGCTGGAACACCCGCCGCACGTTCGCCTCGGACTCGCCGATGTACATGTTCAGCAGCTCGGGGCCCTTGACGGAGAAGAAATTGAGCGAGCACGAGGTCGCGACGGCTTTCGCGATCAGGGTCTTTCCCGTTCCAGGAGGCCCGTAGAGCAAGATCCCTGAGAGGCGTTTTCAGTCAACGGGGTCGATGGGATGGAGGACTGCTTACCTGATCTCTTCTTGAGGCCGTCAGCGAAGAGCTCGGGATGCTCGAGTGGGAGTTGGATGGTGTCCAGGATGTCGTTTTTGACGTGCGCCAACCCGCCGACGTCGTCCCACGACACAGAAGGGATCTTAGGGGCCCCGATGCTTTCTGAATACGATTCCCTGGCCTTGCCTAGGGCAACCTCAAAGTCGGCCGCGCTCAGCGGAACGTTCACCAGGTGAGAGTGACCCTCGACCACACTGAAAGCCATCAGAATATAGCATTATCTTGGAAGACCGAGCACATACTTTGCTTTGCATGCTCGTTCGATCGACGCCGTTTTGGCCCTCGCAATCAAGTCTCGTAGATCTCCTGCAAGTAAGGCAGCCGTCTGGGCTGCGACGTTCTGGACGGAGACATCTGAGGCTACGTCATGTTCTGACAATAAGCATCTCAATATCTCGAGGCGCTCTCCTTCGTTCGGGGCCTGAGTATAGATGTCAGAAATCTGGGCGCGTTCAAGTGGATATATACGAACTTCAAACAGAATCTCTTGCTTGAAACAGCTTAAAAGACCGGCATGTACACGACTACTCTCGCTCGTGGTACCAACAACAACGACAGGGTACCCTGCTATCTTCCAACTGCTTTGAAGACCGTCAAGGAGGTCTCTCATGGCGTTCACGATCGTTGACTCTGCGACACCTATCAGACGGACCGTCGGCTAACGGAAAGCAATTCCTACCTTTGCTAGGTTCTAGCGCCTGAGTGGTCTGAGATAGTGCTTCTAGGTGTCTCAACACCAGCAAGCACGGAGAACAACTTGCCGCCTGCTCGAAGCGAACTCGCAATAAAGCTTCTGTCTTCGTGTCGTTCTCCCCGAGGATATCATAACAGTCGACCTAAGTAGGATGCTGTCAAAACGAAGCTTTGTTCCAGGAGACTTCGTCGTGAATACCTCGAACAGATGGAGACCCAACTTCGCCGCGACCCAGGATGTAACGCAGAATTTACCAATGCCCCGTCCGCCTTTGAGAAGAAAAGACAAGTCTAGGTTGTAATCAAGAGCACGACGGGACAATGCCGCTGAAGTTAACGCTAGCAACTTGGCATATGGGCTCTTGGGACCCAGCAGGCGTGAAGAAGGTTGCGCCTTAAGTTGGGTGAAAAGACGTGCTTGGTCTAAACATTTCGGTCAGTCCAGGACATGTACTAGTGTGCAAGAAAGGCATACCAATATGCATGTAAGTCCCTGTATCAGGTATCCGTGATTGTTCTACACCGGCTTGAACCATTCGAGTTACCGAGGCGTCTATCCAACATCCGAGCTCGCCCAGAGTCGACCCTGTATAAAGATCCTCCGTTGAAGAACTTGATGTCGCAACTACATCGTACTCGATATTTGTAACCTTGAAATATACGACGGCGTTTGAACGAGGAGAGCAGGTTGGATTACTTGAGGAACACTGTCACGAGACGAAAGGACAACCTTACAGGAAGCATTTACCTTGATGGAGTGTATGCCTGCCTGCTATTGGACGACGGTTCTTCGGTTCTGGGTTCGTCTGAAAACCAGCGAGACTGGTCCGTATCAAGCGAGACAGCAAAAAGATCGCCCTGCTTCATGAGCCTCTTTCCAGAGTCAAAGTATGCCTTCAAAGAATCAAGAAAAAGGCGTTCATATTGACGATTTATGGAAATTGGCGAAGCAACTCGGGCAATCGTGATACTTCGAGCGGTTGGTATTGGAGGGTCGAGGGATCCAAAGGGACTCGGACGAATGTGTACAAGAGGATGCTTGTTGATCAGTTCATCACTCTCATCGCCAAACATATTTCGAAGCAGCAACGGAGATCCTGCCATGGAACCACTACGAAAAGTTAAATCGGCATTCTTCATATGGTCAAAGACGGCAAACTTACGTAGACTCCAGTAAGTCATCTTTGGCGACAACCCTGACGAGGCGAAGGAGAGACGATTTTCCGGATGCGATGGCCTGCAGTCTGAGAATTAGAGAGGCACTAGAAACAGTTGGGAGGACCGACCCAATCACCACTCTGTATGCCTATTCGCCCGAGGTCGGCGACGCGGAGATAGAGCGTGTAATGGTCTTCCAACGAGGAAATAAGGGTAGATAACGTCTTCGATATATATAGGGACTGCGGGGGACTGGTAGAATATCCGTTGGCATTCTGCTGCAGATGAGGTTGACGGAACGTAGGATTCAAGACGGTGCTGCCGAGGAACCCTTCGTTAATCTCAATCGCGTCTTGATCATCGTCGACCTTGACGGTTTCGGCATCACAAGCAGGGTATACCGAGTAAGATAAGAGCAGTACGTTTGTGGTTCCGGGCTGGATACATCCTTGAGGAACGGGCTCGAGCAACTCCAGGCGGTATTGCAACGGAATAGGCCCGCTGCTCGGGAGAGAGATTATATCTCCTTCTCGACTGATTTCTTCATCTGCGAATGCCTTTTCAACAAGGGATGGATCCCCTTTGGCCTGTATGTATGCGTCGTCGGAGAGTGCGACCACGATGACCGCGGTGAGGATTGGCAGTGTGGCAGGCTTCAGAATGAGCTCGGCCGATAGATTTAGCTGGAAGACGTGGGGGTATGCGGCTATCCATGATTGTGGCACTAACAGGGGATGGCTTTGCTCCTGGAGAAGGGGTATAGGCAGGCGAAAGCAAGGATTTCACGAAGAGACCTACCTCGCTCGCGATTGTGGCCCGACACAACAAGGCATTACGTTCATCTGAGGTTGCGATGGTGAGGAAGGTGGTGAAAGCAAGATCGGAGGCGAGGGAGGCGGAGAGGGAGAGGGCGGAGAGCGGAGACGGGGCCCATTTTGCGGGGACAGATGGCGGTTGGTCAAAGAAGAACATGACCGGTCCATCAGTTGCCGGTTTATCACATACCGCCATGTCCCATCTCAAGCCCCTCGTTGACAACTGGCTGCGTTTGGATCCAGTATGTCCCGCCGGTTCGAACGCCTAGCTCTCTATCGTATAACTCGCCCCTAGAACCCCCACACCAGGAAGGAAATCCGGGATCTCTGGGATGCTGACAATCATGAGGAACTGGACAAGCGCCTCAGGTACGTCCAACTTCTCCCTCCATGCTATTGCTCATATAAACAGCAAACGCATCGAGTTTGGCACTGCTGGTATGTTTATTCGCGCCTCTGAATATCGCTATCCGTTGAACCATTGTCCAGGACTGCGAGGACGGATGGAAGGCGGTTGGTCACGCATGAATGGTTTGAATATTCCACGACCACCCGATTGTGCTTAAATAAATAATCATCTGCTAGATCTTATTATCATTCAGACATCTCAGGTCTTATATCCCTGTCCTCTCAGGTTGTTTTCACTAACAACATGCAATTTCAGGGGCTCGCCGAATACGCCTTGCAGCAACTTCACCAAGCTACCTCCCGTGGTGTTGTTATCGGATACGATCATCGCCACCACTCCGAAGAGTGGGCCCACATAACGGCAAAGGTTTTTCTTACGAAAGGGTTCAAGGTTCATCTCCTCCATGGCCTCAATCATACTCCTCTGTAAGCAGAGATCTCAACTCCTCGCAATTCCATACTTAGCCCAGGCGTCTGCAGAGTTCCTTTCAGCATAAAGAGACTTAATGCGTCCTGCGGAGTTATGATCACAGGTACATACCTTTCCCCTCGTTGTACCATGCCCATTGTGTTCATAAAGTGCAGCAAGCCACAATCCCAAGGTACTGCATCGTCCTTAAAGGGCTCTCTGGTCTATACTAAACAGTATGCTCAGCAAGATAATGGATACAAGGTCGGATGATCGTTCAGACATTCTTCTATCCCTCTTACTTATTGCAGATTCACAGGTCTACTGGGAAAATGCTGTTCAAGTGTGTTCTCGTTCAAGATCACGTAGAGCAAGTCCTTGACGAATTTCCGTCCCAGATCATTGGTCCACATGATGAAGGTATATCAACTACAATCATGAACAACCTTCAGCCTCTACCATATTCCACCGATGACCTGACCTCCTTCGAATTTTGTGTCGATCTCACCGAGGTCTTGCGGAAGGAATACTTTGATTCGCTGAAAGCCCTCAACATCGTTCAGTGAGGCGCATCGTTGGGTTTCATCCGCCATGTGTTGACTCTGTGCGCCCAAGCAATCCCCCCAATACATTCAACATCAAATTTGTAAATACTTCCATGCATGGAGTCAGTGATGTCTTCGTGAACAGGGCTTTCACGACCTTTGGCTTCCCTCCCTATGTACCAGTTACCGAGCAGCAGCTACCTGACCCCGAATTCCCTACGGTTCGCTTCCCCAATCCTGAAGAAAAAGGTAAGCCCATTTTTGCCAACACATCTTCCCCTGCTCATTTCTTTGGCCCTAGGAGCGCTTGTGAGTGTTTTGGTGCAAATTACTAAATATCCTCATACCCTCGACAGGATATGGCTCTGAAGACAGCAGACCGTCTTGGAGCAGACTACGTATTGGCTCAGGATCCGGATTCAGACAGGTTCACTGCAGCAGAAAAAAGGTAGTCGGATTCATCTCTTTTCTGCCGCATCCCACCAAGCCGTTTTCGTGTTCCTAGCCCTGAAGGGTGGGTCCTATTCAAGGGTGATCAGCTAGGAACCCTCTTCGCGGACCAAGTACTTCAATCTTACAAATCGTCTGGAAAGCCGATCAATCAACTGGCCATGGTCGCATCGACCGTAAGTTCCAAAATGATAGAGGCTATGGCTGAAACCGAGGGATTCAAATTTGTGGAATGCTTAACTGGTATGTGTGTACCTTCCCCAGCAGGGACTGCAGACTCAGCAACGGACGTAGGGTTTAAATTTATCGGAAATACCGCTCTACAGCTTGTGGAGAAAGGATATGAAGTACCTTTCGGATATGAAGAAGCTATCGGCTACATGTTCGGCTCCCAGATTCGGGACAAAGATGGAGTTGCTGCAACAGTGCGTCATACCCACCAGCGTTCTTCGAATGAATCCCATCATGAGCATGTCAAGGTTTCATTCGTCAATCTCGCTCTTTCGCTACGCGCACGTGGGCAGACCGTGAATCAACACCTCCAGGACCTGTACTCCAGGTCGGGACCCTATTCATTGTATCCCGATGGAGCAGACACTCACTCTTTCACCCAGATATGGCTATTTCGAGGTAGATCTAAGAACATCTTTTAGGAAGAATTTTGTTATCTTACAGGCTCTCCATACTAATCAGACCTGCAATAGCTATTTCACCTGCAATGACCCCAAGGTAACTGATACTATTTTTTCGCATATCCGCAACTACCAGGCCAGTCAGTTCGAGATATTAGTCAATGGTCAAACCTTCATGCCTCGTTCCAATTTTAGCCTGAAAAAGGGACAAACCGACTATATCCAACCACCTTGGCTAGTCTCAACATCACGCGAGTGGTAGATCTCACCGCAGGATTTGATAGCGGAAATCCGCCCGAATACAAGCCATCGTTGCCCCTCTCTTCTGGCCATATGATCCAGTTTCGGGCGGGTGATGACGAATCACATCTTGTCCTTACTCTGCGGTAAATCATCGACTGGCTCTTTCAGAGAAGATAATCTAATGCATTTACTATTAGTACAAGCGGCACTGAGCCAAAGGTATGTTGTAGTGACTGATCAAATAATTTCCTGCATTCATCGATCGAACAGATAAAATACTATCTTGAAGGAAGGGGAAAGGATTTGGCCATCGTGCAGCCACTGCTTTCCAGAGCAATTGCCGATATATCTGATAATTGGATTCAGGCAGAGAAATATGATTTGGGAAGGGTGTGAAGTGGAAAATACGTGAACGAGACAATATATAATACACACCAATACCAAAAAAAAGAACTCATCTACGGGCAGGGGTTCCTGATGCCAATTCATCTGCAAATACAACTTCCGAGACTGTGAAGAGTTCAATAGTCTTGTCGGGATCACTTGGTCGTCCCTTGTTCAACCAGATCCACTTGAAGCCGACATGGTAAGAGACTGCTGCTCCCCAACGTGCAGTGAGGCTGTTGGAAGGATCAGACCAGCCAGACCACTCCATGTAGATTGGCGTTCCATGCAAGCAATTACTAGGAGGGAAAATGAGCATCAAGGCATAAGGAAGAGGAATTGTGTACATACAAGTGAAGAAGTTTCGGTAGAATCACCTTGCCCTGGATGATAAAATTGAATGGTAAGACACACTCGTGTTCATGGACGACCAACATACACACCTCTTGTGGGGTGCCCTTTGTGTGGATCTGAAACCGTAGCTCTTCTTCCTCAGAGATGAGTTCGTTTCCGAGACCAGTGAGGTATGTATCCAGAAGGCAACTCGTTATTTCATAATCATAACTGAGAGGCTCGAAGATGTCGGGTCGGTGGTCCACAATAGCCCACCAATATCCTTGATCTCCCAGCCGTACGTTATCATAGCGTCCATGTCCATGTCCACCTGGAAGTCCATATTTCGCTCGAAAAGCTTCTGGAGACAGAGCAGGGAAGTCGTCAAGTTCATGATAAATGCGCGAATCCATCAACCGTAAAGACCGAAGCTTCTCCAAGTCCAGCAGCATGACGCAGGAGCATATTCTGGAAGCATGATGCCACTCTGGTGAGTCTTGGTCTGGATGACTGGCCATGACAATTGCTGTTGCGGGGCGCAAAGTGTCGAATACATCCCAAAGCAGGGCGGGATCGGCGATGAACAATGCGTCCGTATCAACGAAGATGGACCTTTTGACTGTCGGCGGCAGGATTTCATGAATGAAAAGTTTCATAAGGCCGGCTGAAGGCAATGCGATTCAGCTTGCTTTAGGAACATACAGCGATAGACCTACGTAGACCAGCGGAATGATCTGTCTTTATTGAACCTTCCCGTTCGACACGATCAAGCATGCTTTGCCAGGACGGTTTATAAAACCAGATTCGCACATGGTGCGACGGTCGCTGTACCAGTGCCACCCGCTTTCGTAGAAATTGCTCTGCTGTATGATCGCAAATTATATGAATATCTGTGGGTCGAGTACCATAAAGAAGGATCGACTAGTGACGTTCAGGCTGGGTGAGACTAGAGCGAACTGGCAGACATACCTTGACCAAGAGTGCTCCCTCAGCAGCTGCATCCTCTGACCACATAATGAAGGAAAATACGACAGGATCGACGGTGGAGTTGAGAGGATGGGAGTTTGTGACGGTCCCAGGCTGAAATGGTGGGGTGGCGGACACGGAGCCAGGCTCTGGAAACATAGACAGCTCCTTTATGAAAAAGAGTGTGCTCGTGATGAAGGCGACGAGGAGAAGAGACAGAAGTCCGCGCCGACGAGAGCATGTGGAGAGAAGGGGGAGAGCATCGTGAGGCAAACGGTGAGATTGGGCGGATTGACTGTCGGGCTCGAGATGGGCGCCAGCCATATGGGGGCTTGAATGGATAAATAGAAGGGAAAGGAGCGGCTGTAGCTGGATAACGATGCGGTTGTTGGAAAAGAGGACAGTCCGGCATGATGCGCTTCAACATTAATTACGGAACCGTGGAGCTAGATTCAGATACCATGCCAAATTGAGTTCTAGACTACTCCTAATACCCTCCCTCGGCGTCTACTGTCCGGTGCGACGCCATTTGCCGCCGCTGTGCATCCTCAAGCTTAGGGCAATTCGAAATGCCATGGCCGAGCCCTAAATCCAAGAGTCAATGCCTGTCCAAAATCAAGGCCAATAAATGAACTTGCCTCCACAAACAGGACAGCCAGTCAGTGAGTTCCCTTGTGCTGCTCGAGGATCATCAATGGTAGATAAGAATGGTGGAACCCTGTTCAAGTTAATAAATGCGCAGAAATCCACAGCTCGCCACATACTTTTGCCCGGCTTCAATGAGGAGGTATTTCAAATCAAGCAGGGTTTGTTCGGAGGTGTTCATGTTCACAAACGTAGTCGCAATCCCGGTTTTTCCGCTTCTGCCAGTCCTTCCAATTTGGTGAACATAGTCTTCAATCTCCTTTGGCATCGAAAAAATAATGACGTGTTGGATATCGTTGAAATCAAGACCCTTTGAAGCTACTCCGGAAGCAACCATAACGTCCTTTGCACCTGACTTGAACGACTTGATAGCGTATTGCCGTTCCTCCTGGGCTGTAAGAATTCAAGTTTGTGGATCAGCACCTGCCCAACTTGCGCGTGCGTGGGACTAACATTTGGAACCATGGATTGCAACGGCCTCGACCCCTTTTAACAACAGGTATTCTTGTATATCTTTTTGAGACGTCAGCCTTGCACCAATAGAAGAGCCGTCATGCTCTCACCGTCTACTTCATTCTTGTTCTCGCTGAAAATGATAACAGGTGGTGGGGTCTTCTGGAGGCATTCGAGGAGGTAAACCATCTTAGCTTCTTGTTTGACGTACTCCACAACTTGCAAGACATCAAGATTGGCGGCACCAGCACGACCAACGTTGACGAGAACGGGTTTGATAAGTGATTCACGCGCGAAATCTTGAATTTTCTTTGGCATGGTGGCAGAGAAGAGTAGGGTTTGGCGTTGATTCTTATAAACGGTTAGGATGTTGCGGCGAGTGAACCACGTGAAGCTTCGCCTACCTTGAAGAAACTCATAATGGTTCGAACGTCGTCTTCGAAACCGAGGTCGATCATTCTGTCGGCTTCGTCCATGCACAGATACTTGCAATTGTTGAATGTGAACCTTTTCTTTTCCAGCATGTCGATCAACCGTCCGGGTGTCGCAACAACAATGTGTAAGCCTTTGCTGAGGACGTGGCTCTGGTCGTTCATAGAAATTCCACCAATGCAAAGCAGAGCATTCAGTGGCGGATATTTGGCGTCCTTCGCAAGCGCCGCACACCAGGTCACGACATTTTCGTAAGTTTGATTCGCCAATTCACGCGAGGGACACAGGATAATGCCAACAGGACCCTCACCCCGGATAAACGGGAGCTTCATCTCTTCCTCGAGTGCCATCATGATGAGGGGAAGACAAAAGGCAAGGGTTTTACCGGATCCAGTGAATGCGATGCCTATTATATCGCGTCCTGAAAATCTAAGAAATTGGGGACCTATCTGGAGCAGATAAAGAGGAGGACTTACGCAACTGGAATACCTTGGAGTTGAATGGGCGTCGGGTTGACGATACGTTTCGATCGAAGGTGTTCCACAATTGGCTCCGGGATTTTCATATCCTATATTTTTACAGACTGAATGAATGGCCCACGGAAAGACAAGCAAAAGTTCATACTGAGAAGTGTTCGATGGGGGGAGGGATATCGTCACCCTCAACCAGGATATGGTATTTCTCTCGTAGTCTGTTGTCTTCCTCCGGCTTACGTTCCCTGATGTAGCGAGGAGGGCGCCAACTACAACAACGGGTTAAGGGGATGGAACAGGTGGTGGAAGGTTACATACCTCGTCTTCAGAGGTTCCATGTATTGAATCCCTTTCGCTAATTCCATGTCGGAAGCGAGCTTCCTCCTACTTTTAATCGCCTCCAGAATCTCCGCATCAGCCTCTTCTGCCTTTTCATTTGCAGTTTTCTTCGAATCTTTAACAGCTCATCAATCCATTCAAAGAGGCGTGAACATAGAGACGCACCTTCAGCAGCTTTCCGCGAATGAACCTCTTGCGCTTCGAGTAATAGAGTCCTTTCTTTGCGAGCCTTTTCCCTCCTTATTTCCTCTTCCCGCTGAGCATCTTCTCGTTCATCTAGCTCCTCTTGTAGTTTCTTTACGTTCAATTTTTCCCCATTCACACCAAGTGACGACAATCGGGCGAGCTTTTCCTGCCTGCGCTGTGCTATCGGAACATATGGTTCGTACGAGCCGTCTTCATCATCCAATTTGTAAATAGCAGGAGAAGGTGAGCGAGGCCTGCGACGCTTTATTGAATCCATGGGTAGAGGTGTGAAGTGAACTCCCAACGACGGCTGGTTAGGAGTCTGGGATTCCGACATGGAAGGAAGGAAGGAAGGAAGTGTATTAACCGGCAACAAGGTCCCGTTCAGGTAACGGCCGGCCCGGTAAGTAAGGAAAAGTGCGCCTAAGTACGAATATACATACTACTTCTCATCTTACTCCGGACACTAACCCCATCACCGCGCGATGATCTAACCACAAATGCAAGAGGGTCCTTGGCTCAATCCAAGGATATGTGGGTGGTAGGATCACGATTAAAACCCAATGGGAGTCAAGCTGGGTTCTCCCACACTTGACTAGAGATTTTAGATCTCAAACTCATCGTGATCCGGGACCATCTGCATCTGCCAAAGACGACTCGACGGTCTCAGAAGGTTGTGCAGCAGGTGACACAGAAGTGAAATTAGTCATCATTGTCGGATGTGCTAGAATTCAAACAAAAGCTTGCTCTCAACTGATACACATGCCCAACGCCAGCAGCTTCAAGCCTTTCACCCTGGCACTCATCCAACTGGGGAGCATTGGGCCCAATAAGGCCGAGAATTTGCGTCATGCACGCGAGATGATTCTTAAGGCTGCTCTTGGGTCCGTTGCGACAAAGAAACCTGATCTCATCGTGCTCCCGGTGAGTGCGCTTGTTGGCCGAGATTCTTAACAGAAGTTTCTGACACAAACCAGGAATGCTTTAATTCACCCTACGGGCATGTACATTTCCCGGTGTACGCAGAGAAGATAGGGTTTTCCCCGGGAGCGGATTATGATGTTGTGGTCAGTCCGAGTGATAGCGTGAAGATGCTTTCGTCGGCAGCTAAAGAAGTGAGGGCATGGGTGATTGGAGGTATGTTGTGCTGCATCGGTTCTAGTTTCTTACTGAGCAAGGACTGTAGGTTCAATTCCAGAACGAGACATCGCGGACGATACAAAGGTGTACAACACCTGCACGGTGTATAATCCAGATGGTTGGCACATCTTCCGAAAGGCGACACGACATCCTCTCATCTTGAATAGGAGAGCTCGTGGCCATGCATCGCAAGGTCCACCTCTTTGACATCGACATCCCAGGGAAGATCAAATTCAAGGTCGTGTCGACGACTTTGCATCGGATACCCGACAGCTGATGAGACGTATTCAGGAGAGCGAAACGCTCACAGGAGGGACGAGTTTGAACTACTTTGATACAGGTGCGTAGTCCACCGCAATCCTTTTCCTATTAACTAGTCGCAGACTTTGCGAGGATTGGGTTGGGCATCTGCTACGACATACGATTCCCGGAGATGGCAATAATTGCGGCGCGGAAAGGTGGGCCTGTCTCCATGCAGCTTAAACGGCATGCTTATTGCGCGTAGGGTGCCATGTACTGGTCTACCCGGGCGCGTTTAACATGACGACGGGCCCTCTGCATTGGGAACTGCTCCAGCGAAGCAGGGCGGTAGACAACCAGGTGTTCATGTCAATGTGCAGTCCTGCACGGGATCTGAGTGCAGGGTATCACGCTGTGGGTCTTGCTCTTCTTGTCCACTGGCGTGCTGACTGAGATGCATGGCAGTGGGGACATTCGATGGTGGTCGACCCGATGTGAGTGAATCGAATTGTATTGGTGGTGTGCACTACACAGTGTCGCAGGGGCCGTGTGCTCGGGGAAGCGGGGGAGGGCGAGGAGATTGTGTACAGCGATATCGGTAAGTGGCGGCAGGCTGGGGGGTTGTGCGCTGCTGAAGGACGCTACAGAGCCGTCTGCGCTGGAGAGTGCGCGGGCGGGGATCCCTGTGACGAAGCAGCGGCGGTTCGATGTGTATTCCGACGTGAGCGCACAGTAGACTACGCTTTCCGGATTTGTAAGTCGTGTAGAAAGTTGTGGATGTTTGTGGAACGATCATCATTTTGGGCACAAAACCGCCAGCGCCGCTCACTGCCTCACATCCTCTCCTCCTCCCACTAAGTATGGTCCGCGAAACGTAGGTCTCTCTCTCTTTCACCTCCTGCATCTTCTCATCTTCCCAGAAAATATTACGATCTTCTTGAGGTTTCTCCCAATGCATCAGAGTCTGATCTTAAGAAGGCTTACCGCAAAAAGTACGCGCTAACCGCATGATTCGACCCCATCTCACTAACCCGTTCGCAGAGCCCTCCGACTACATCCCGACAAAGGCGGCGACCCCGAGCTGTTCAAAGAAGTGACTCACGCGTGAGTCCATCCGCCACATCTCGCGTACTCCGTGTCCTTACTTTATCCTCTTCATTGCTCAGTTACGAAGTCCTCTCAGATCCAGACAGACGGAGTATATACGATGCGCGGGGTGAGGCTGGCTTGTCGGAACAGGGTGGAATGGGTGGAATGGATCCTCAGGTGAGTCACTTGTTTTTATCTTACCCACCTCTTTTCCAACCCTCATTTCCAGGATCTCTTCAGCCAACTCTTTGGCGGTGGGGGCGGTTTCTTCGGTGGTGGCGGGGGTCGTTCTGCTGGTCCTCGCAAGACTAAAGACCTCGTCCATCGCGTGCACGTCACCCTGGAAGACCTATACAAGGGCAAGACAACAAAACTTGCTCTCACAAGGAATGCCATTTGCTCCAAGTGCAAGGGCAAGGGCGGAAAGGACGGCGCTGTGCGGTCGTGTGGTAATTGCGGTGGTCGTGGCGTCAAGGTCACTCTACGTCAAATGGGCCCCATGATCCAACAAATCCAGTCACCTTGCGACGAATGCACAGGGACGGGAGAAATCATCAATCCCAAAGACCGCTGTACGAATTGCAAGGGCAAGAAGGTTCTGCCCGAGAAGAAATACTTGGAAGTACATATCGACAAGGGCATGAAAGGCGGTCAAACCATCCAGTTCCGCGGCGAGAGCGACCAGTCACCAAACGCGGAAACAGGAGATGTGGTCATCGTTATCGAAGAGAAGCCGCATGATCGTTTCCGCCGGCAGGAGAACGATTTGATCATCGAGGTCGAAATTGACCTTCTAACCGCGCTCGCAGGAGGACAGTTTGCGATTAAGCACCTAGACGATCGAGCACTTATGGTTAAGATCGAGCCAGGGGATGTTGTGAAGCATGGTATGTATTCCTGTCATCTTTACGTTCAATAAGTCTGACCTCGACCCACCTGTAGGCGAGCTCAAGGTTATTCATGGTCAGGGAATGCCTTCGCAGCGACACCACGAACCGGGCGATCTTTATGTCAAGTTAAGCGTTAAATTCCCTGATACTATCGACGCTAGCGCGATTCCCCTGCTCGAACGAGCGCTGCCGCCACGGGCACCCGTGGAGACATTTGACAAGAACATCATCCTAGAAGAGGTTTCTCTTGACGAGACAGATACCCGAACACGAGGAGGTATTCACGACGAGCCAATGGACGAAGACCATGATGAACCACGGGTTCAGTGTGCGAACCAGTAGAGTGCTGGTCGGGTTTTCTTTTTGGAAGACGCTTTCACTTTGAATTTTTGCATTTTGTAGATTCGTGCTTGCTACATCGATACACATGTCACTAATACCTACGCATCTTATTACACGTCCCAACTAGTCTGTATTGTCGCCGCATGTTGAGTATACGGTCCAACTAGACCAGATGGACTCTACGGACCTTCGGATTCAGTTTGAATTCTTCGTAGTCCTGCCTGTTGAAGAAGCTGACTTCGGTCTCGTTCTCTGAATCGATAGTCAGGACAGCTAAGGGTCTCGAAGACTGGCCCGAACCGAAGTCAACCTGCGCTAAAGTCTTGGAGTCATCATCAAGGATCCATTCGTCGTGGTCAAGATTAATTATAAGATTAGATGTCTGGAAAGTTCGATCAGCGAGCAAGCACTCGAGCGGGGAGACTTCCGCACCTTGGACCCATGTGCCTTCGTATAAAGCTTGAGGGTATCTAGATGCACATTTCGATACGGCTTCCAACCCGGCTGAGTTTGGACAGCTACAGGGCAGTGAGACGCCGAAGGAGGTTGGAAGGGAGGTGCGAACGACCTTGGTTGGCGATCTCCTTGAGACGACCGACGGTTGTGGTGAGGAGGTTGATGTTGTGGAGGACGATACTACGCTCTGTGCGATATCTGAGGGACTTTATGACGCGAACGGTGATTGTCGCGTCCGTGGGAGGGCGGGCATCGTTGGAAAGCGAGTCGGACATATCCAAGGAGCACGAGATCAGCACCACCGAAATTCTGCCGCATATATCTACCTCCAACCACAACATGTTCCCCCGCAGTCCCACCCATGGCCCACCCCTTTCTCGATGCCAATATTCCTGACCTCGTCAGAAAGCTCAAGGTTGAAGAGAAAATCTCTCTTCTCGGTGCTCCCAACTGGTGGAATACCACTCCCATCCCAAGGCTCGGCATACCCTCCATTCGAATGAGCGATGGCCCAAATGTAATATTTGCTCCCTTCTCGTTCCTGCCCCTCCTCATCTCCGCGCAAGGGCGTCCGAGGCTCGTCTCATTTCGTCTCCACCCCGGCCCAGTGTTTTCCTGTACGTTGCTCGTTTTTCTTCCGTCAGCCTCACCTCATTGCCCTGTCCAGTGCGCGACCGCTCTCGCCTCGACCTTCGACCCCGAGTTAGTGACTAGGGCAGGTGGCTTCTTGGCTCAAGAAGCAAAGATAAAATCCTCCGTTATGTTGCTTGCCCCCACGTGCAACATCCAGCGCACCCCACTCGGTGGCAGGGCATTCGAGTCCTTCTCGGAAGATCCTCACCTCTCGGGTTAGTAATTCTTACCTTCTATTTCTCCGTGTCTGACGCCATCCCTCTAGGTACCTTGGCAGCTGCTTATGTCAATGGTCTTCAAGCCCAGGGTGTTGCTGCTAGTTCGTCTTGTTTCCTTCCAAGGCATCCGCTCTACTCATTCCGCGCAACCAGCCATCAAGCACTTTGTTGGCAATGACCAGGAAGTTGAAAGGACGGCAGCAGATTCGGTCATGTCTGACAGGGCCCTTCGTGAAATTTATCTGTATCCGTACGGCTCTCTTAGCTCGCAGAAAACCCCAATTTTATTCTTTTTGAAGATTCATGCTTGCTCAGAGGCTTGCGCAGCCAGCAGCATATATGACCTCGTCAGTCCTCCGCTCATTCAGTGGTCTGGTTCTGAATCTGATCAGAGGCTCGGTACTAGGTATGGGCGTGTTAGGGGCACCCACTGCTCCGAAAACAAGGAGTTATTAACCAACGTTCTCCGAGGAGAATGGGGTTTTAAAGGGGTCGTCATAAGCGACTGGTGTCTCCTTTTCCTATCCTTGTTACAATGGATCTGACTCTCTTCAAGGTTTGGAACCTACGGCGTCGACCAACCCATCAATGCCGGTCTCGATCTTGAAATGCCAGGTCCTGCCAAGTGGAGAACTACGCAGCTCGTTCTCTATTGCTTATCGTCCCAGAAACTGTTTACTTCCACTATCGACGAACGTGTGACCAACCTACTCGCGTTTGTCCAGGAGCGAGCTAAAAGGAACCCTGAGGTTGTCTTCGGTGATGGCATTGAAAGGTCTCGCGATTCCCCTCTAGTCAGGCAATTTTGTCGAGAACTTGCTTCGGAAGGCATTGTTTTATTGAAAAACGACCGAAGCCTCCTTCCTTTACGCCAGGGAGCACCAGTTAAGATTGCCATTATCGGACCTAACGTGAAGGAACGTGTCATTGCAGGTGGTGGCTCTGCTGCACTGAAAGCGACATACGTTGTCACGCCCTGGCAAGGAATCAACGACGCTGCCCCGCCAGGTTCTATCATTCAATATCATGTCGGATGCTACGGTGATTTTCTTCCTTCACCGAATAGTCCATACTCTGAATGACGTCCCTAGCTCATAAATACCTACCTACATTGGAGACTTATTTGCAGACTCCTCAAGGCAAACCCGGGTGGCTTTGCACCTTTTATACTCACGACGAAAATGGGGACCCATCTCAACCCGTCGCAGACTTCATTCTCAACGACACACGCGTCAAATTGAACGACTTCCTGCCAAAAGGCTTGACACATACCTGGTCGATCAAGTTGGAAGGAAAACTGACGATCGACAAAAGCTGTCTGTTCGAGCTGGGGTTAACTGTTGCGGGTAAGTCGTTTGAAACCCAGCAAATTTCGGCGCTTATTATCAATGAACGAAGGCCGCGCAAAGCTTTGGATCGACGGCACTTTGATTATCGATAACTGGACCAAGCAAATCCCCGGAGACTTTTTCTACGGGTAAGAGCCCCAGACCATGATTTCACAATGAGAAAAAAAAGGTGCTGAAGGCACATTAGCCAGGGTACTGTCGAGGAAAAAGCCTGTATCCAGCTTGAAGCTGGTAAGCCAGTCAACGTTCTTGTACTCTATACGAACACAGCTGCACCCGACGGGGACGATGAGAAAGGCGAGGGCCGCCTGTCGCAGCCTGCCTTGATGCGTGGAGTGGTCAGCCTATCACCTGACTGCCCGAAGGTCGTTGCTCACTCTTCTTGTAGCGTTTGGGTGGCTGCGAGAAGATTGACGCGGAACAGGCCGTAAGAGAGGCCGTCGCGTTAGCAAAGGAAGTCAGCACAGTTATATTCATTGGCGGGTTGACTCCCGAATGGGAGAGTGAAGGATTTGATCGTCCTTCATTGCAACTTCCGGGCCGTCAAGATGAAGTGATTAGAAGAGTCGCGCAAGCCAATCCACGAACGATTGTCTGCATCCAGGCTGTAGGCATCTCCGCTTTGTGTCAAAATGCACATCGCTGATCTTGCTTCTCTCAGGGATCCACTGTGTCCATGCCCTGGATCGAGGATATCGGTGCTCTCCTTCAAACGTGGTATTTGGGGAATGAGACGGGAAATGCCATTGCAGACGTTCTGTTCGGCAAAGTCAATCCAGGTGGACGCCTTCCGTTGTCTTTCCCCGTCAGAAAGGAGGATATCCCAGCACACCTCAATGACAAAAGTGAACATGGGAAGATCCAGTGAACCTTTTGTCTTTCGGTCTCGCTTGGTGGCTTACTTTCCTCAAAACAGCTATCGCGAAGACCTTTTCGTGGGTTACAAGTATTATCAGGCACGAGGGATCGCTCCTCTTTTCCCCTTCGGGTACGTCGATGGCCTACTGGGTGACCCAGAATTTACCTTCTTTCGTAGTTTCGGGTTGTCTTACACCACGTTTTCATTTAATGACTTGGGTATAGCAGCCTCGCTTGAGGGACCCAATGCCGATTCCCTCCATGTGGACGTCACAGTGAAAGTCAAAAATGAAGGAGATGTCGTTGGGTCCGCAGTCGTCCAGCTTTATGTTTCGCTTCCCGAGACGGGCCTTACTACACCCAATCTCCAACTGAAGGGATTCACGAAGGTTCGAAACCTGGATGGAGGGGCGTCCTCCAGTGTCACCATGCATCTCGACAAATATGCATTCTCATATTGGGACGAGCAGAAGCATGGTTGGCAAATATCTGTGGGCAAATATAACTTACATGTTGGATCGCACAGTGATAACTTAGCTCTCCACGATTCTTTCACGATTGAAAGACCTCATTCGTGGAATGGGTTATAATGATTTGTGTATGCAGTAGTAATATTGGGGACTGGGCAAGTTTGTCACAAGATTTGTATTGACCATTGAGAGTTACATAATGACATGTACAATTGATGCCAGTAACACTTGGAGTCTTGGACTTCGACAACCAGTTTATGTCGGCATCGTGGCATGGAGTGTCCGCAATGTCGGCCAGCCACAAGGATCCCAGAACACTAACCAGCCTCTCAGAAGTGCTATCATGTCTTTCGGCCTTCCAGTCTGAAGAGGCAGAGCTTTCTAATTCGTTGGCCGAATTACTCAAGGCCCAGGAACCCATTGTCTCCTCGTTAGACCGGCTTCAATCCTTACTCCCTGAATTCAATGAACTACAACTAGACGCGAGACTTCTGACCACCAAGGTTTCCAGCACTGCAAAAACCGCAGAGCGGGTCGGAAGCAAAGTACGCTCTCTGGATGAGGAAATGGGGCGTGTACGGGAAGCGGCAGACCGTGTCGGGCAGGTAATGGAACTCAAGGTGCGCTTCTCGGCCTCCTCCACGAACTGCTGTTTATTATGCTTGCTAGTCCTCCTTATCCGCTCTTCAATCTTCCATTGACTCCCAAGACTGGGAATCTGCAGCGAGACATTGTGCGCGTGCGATGTCACTGCCTACAGAAGTCATCTCGGGTCCTTTCGCAGAAATTGCTGTTGTAGGTATGCTGAAACGTCATTCGAATGCATGCGCTGAATCCAAAATCTTCAGCCTACGTCCGATAGTCATCTGCCTCCTTCGCAGACATTGCAGGCTGCGAGAGAAAAATTACTTGTCGTCTTCCGTCAAAAATTCGAAGAGGCCTCCCGCTCGCGCGATTCCAACGCGACGAGCCGATACTTCAAATTATTTCCTGCAATCGGATGGGAAAATGAAGGACTTGAAGCTTATGCAAATTTCGTCGTGGACCTTGTTCAAGTCAGAGCTCCTGCAACGACAAAAAGTACGATTCAATCGTTAGTTGAATCCGCATCTAACATTGAGCGTCTGACAGCCTCCTCACCGATGTATTATATCACCGCTTTAACGTCCTTGTTTGAAAGCATAGCAATGATTGTTGACCAACACCAACCAGTTGTGGAGAAATATTACGGTCCTGGAAAGATGAAAAGCGTTGCCTGCCGCCTGCTTGACGAGTGTGATCGAGTCACAAAAAACTTACGGACTGGATGGGAGGAAGACAGAAGTATGCAACGCAAGGTGCGACCTTTACTTCAATCGGTATTCCCACTTTCTCAGTGTACCCAAAGCTTGCGGAAATCACGAACAACCCCCCGATGCCTCTCTACTCCTCCAATGCCAATGGTCGACGCCAACCTGCTGCAGAAGAAGTTATTGTAGATCCTCGGGAAATCGACAAAGTTCTGTCGGAGCTCGCGGGGATGATAGGCCGCTGGTATCTATTCAAGAAATTTCTTTCAGAGGCATTGAAGGTATTTCCCCCTTTTATATCTGAAAACGATTTGCCCCTTGACCCGTTCTTGTTAAGGAAGACGTTGCAGGAGACGATTCACCTAAAACCCCGTCTTTCCCTGGAGAAAAGGTTGAGAAGGAAAAGCCGGCCGAGATAGATTTACTATCTCAAACAGCGTCGGAAGCTTTGTTCGAGGAGTTAATCACAATATACTACGTCCCTTTCGAAACGTGGTATACTCGAACGATTGTCGACAAGGTAACCTCATTCTTTCATTCTGACCTATGATACTCTGATGCATATCGTCTTTGCTGTACAGGCACATAGGCTTTCCAAGCCCGACACGCTACAATCCCCCATTACAACCACAACCCCCGACGACGTATTCTACATCTTCAAATCTGTTGCTTCGAGGCTCTTGAGCACTGGATGCTTGGGCTGCGTCGATCGCATGGTAAAACAGCTCAAAGACGTCTTTGAGAGGGACTATGTCACTGTCATAAAACGGAAAATGGATGATGTCTACAAGAACTCGGGGCCCATGACTTCCAACGCTCGACCTGATAGAATTGAACGGGAGAACCGAGTGTCTTTCATTGTCAGTGTGCAACCACATCCGATTTCGCAGTGACTAACACTGACTGCAGATCTTGCTGAACGATCTTGACGTTTCGACTTTGCATTTGGAAAGATTGATCCAGGACCTGGCCGAAAATCCCTTGATATCTCAACACTTCGTTGAAGACGAACAACTTCTTGTCAAGGAGAGAATTTCATCCTTCTCTCAATTAACCTTGAGATTGAAGTCGTCTTTGCGGGTGAGTGCAGTTTGGGTCACCGCAATTGGCACCATTGACGTTTCATCAACAGTCCGGAATAGAACAACTCTTCAATCAATTACTGCGTCCAAAATTGCGTACCTTTGTCCTGGATATATACAAGGACATTACGTATGTCTTGGATGAAGAAGCATACTCATCGACTGACTACCAAGATCTTACACGCAAGCGCTTTATGAAAGTTTGGGAAAGTTTGGTGGAGGGATACAAGGTCTCTTGATCTTAGATTTCTTTCAATTCGCATCTCTTGACCGTCTGCAGGACACATTTTCGGAGGGAAATTACCGTTTGTTCATTGGCCTTGTACTAGATGTCCTCCTACGGCCTTGGGAGAAGTATGTGATGAGCTTAAAGTACACAGAGGTGGGTCAAACTTCCTCATCAATAATGAGTTTCTAAGCCCCATCAGCTCGGCGCTGTACGATTCGACCGCGATTTGAGAGCGATAATTGCCTATCTAGCCTCACAAACGACGTTTGGCGACATTCGAGAAAAGTTCGTAAGATTGCAGCAGATATCCACTCTGTTAAATTTGGATACCGTAGGTCCAGAAACTCATATCTAATACAACATCGCTCATGCAGTTGTTCAGGAGGAGGACGTTGACGAATTCTACAATGGGTCGGGCATATCCTGGAAAATAGGACCGCATGAAGCACGAGCAATTGCTAGTTTGAAGACATAATCCCTAATACTTATACACGTTGATTCCGACACTTGCGCAATAAGATAAACTCTAGCCTCGTCGGAGGGCGTCCAATCTTGCCTGAAGTGCATCTTCATCAGACATAGCAGCGCCGCGCGCAGTCTCACCACCAGCTGAATCAGCACCAGAAGAAGGCACAGCTCCCGATTCACCCAGGGCGACAGGCTGTTTGCTCGCAAGTGGGGAGGTCATCGAAGCAAGCCCCGTTGGGGCTTCCGTCAACTAGTGTTCACTGGGTCAAAATATGCCCAGCAACAACGAATATAGAAGTTCTTACTTGTTGTGATAGATCAACACCGATTTCGTCGAGGACTTGCTTCAGTATCTTGTCTCCCTCTTCTTCTTCGTCCTCCTCTGCATCCATGACATCATCCACAGCATCGGACATCATCTCTTCCTTCATGTCCATCATCGAACTTTCCTTCTCAAATTCGTTCATGATTCGTTGTATTGAGGGGAGGTTTAGCCCACGGTTCATAGATGCCATCGCCTATCCAACACGTTAATCACTTTCGCAGGGGTGGAGGTGAACAACTTGCTCGGGTGGCGCCCCGCATAGCTTCAGCCATTTGCTGATTACTCCGCAGCGTTTGTATTCGAAGACTGACGGCTTGCAGCTGGGTGCGCATCTGATAGAATTTGTGGACGTATCGACGCGTTCTGACAAGGTCCTTTGCCATAACTTTGCACGCATTCTGTGAAATTTCAGTCGGAAGAAAGAGGGTGCCCATGAAGAAGTAACGCACTAATTGACCGGCCTTTGCGCTCTTCTTGATATCCATTACAAGCTTCTTCTCGCTCTGTTCGAGTTTGGCGCGTTCACGGTCAAGCTCGCGTTGGGCTTTCGTGAGGGAGCGTTGGTGTTGGCGCAGCCTTTCCGCGGGAGTCACGGTGCGACCGAACAGAGTTTCCTACATGGACATGAAGGCGTCAGAGGAGTACGAAGGGGATTTGGGCTCACAATGATGTTCATTGTATGGAGAGAGGAAGGAAGAGCGGTCAACACAGCTTTGCCGCGAACCATCACCATGGACCTGCCCCAGATCGGTGCACACTGTTCTCACTCCGCCTGCAATGTCCTTGATTTCCTGCCTATAACCTGTTCATGCGGCGCACTCTACTGTTCTCAGCATATCTCTCCTGACCATCATGCTTGTCCAACCTTGGCTGCAAAGCAAGCTGTGTCTACATTCTCTGATAAGATCCCCCGTTGCGATCTTGCTGCCTGCTCCAAACCCAGTCTGCAAATTTATAACGGAGATGCGAATGAGACGTGTACTCATTGCCACAAGTCATTCTGTGTTGAGTATGTGCATTTCCACCGTTGACGAACTCCAGCTTCATACGGGGGTTAAGGCATCGGTATGCAGAAATGCACCACTGCCCTTCACTACCCCTGCAGGACGGTGTTATGCAGGAGAAGATGTCTGCAACAAAGAAACAGCTGCTACCGCCCGCGTTCTCTCTTCCGAAGCGCAAACCACCGAAGGACCCCATTAAATTGGCTCAGTGGCAAAAAGTCGAAGCAATGAAGATGCGGCATCGAGCGTCCCCCGCTGACCCCAAAGACAAGGCAGCTAGCCTCCCTCCAGATCAACGTTTACATGTTCGTGTTACCCTGGGAGATGCCGAGAAAATATTCTGGGTCCGCAAGGTCAGTGTGACTGCTGTCAATGGCAGGTTTCGTGCTCTGAATATTGCTTCCAGACAGTCATAACGGGACGGGCTCTTGATCTTCTGGCCCTCCATTTCATTCCAGCGAGGTTGGTACTTCGCGACTGCACTCGCATCATCATGTTGACTTGAATATTCACGAAATAGTCTCTCCAACTCTGTAAATTGATAGAGAGCGCAGGGGGTGTGTTTGATTGTACACCATTGCAGAATGACCTATTGTTGGAGAAGCAGATCAAAGATGGTGAAAGTCTAGCCATACGTTCGTTGTGAACCCATAAGAATAAATACAATCTCGAATTAAGCAAAGTACGACCTTGGAATAGGGCATTGCGAGTAAGGCTACAGTCTAACAATGCGAGGTATACGAATAGAGGGCATTAACGCGTAGAGTAGATGTCGTGAAAGAGTCACTATGATACGAGAGCAGCCAAGCGCCGCAGATGCGAAACGTTAAGGTATGCTGGTACATACGTTTCTAGTCCAGAAACTTCTCGAGGTAGAGGCAGGTCGTAATTTCCTACTTCCTCTGTTTCCGGAGGAAGGAGCAGGTGGTCGTTTCTGTCATTAGCTTGCACCCGAGAGGCAACAACGCGGAGAATCTCAGGGGAAATGGGATTCTGGAGTAAAGTTAGCAGATGCTTCTAAGAGAAAGTATAACAACGAACCTCATAATCGGCGACGTAGTAGTTCGTGCACATCCGTTGAATCTGCATAGGACTGAGCATCCAGCAAACATCGTATATAATCTCTATGTCGGCAGGTGTGGCCTGAAAGGAGATGTTAATGCATTCGGATAGTGTATCATACGCCCTCGGAGAAATACCGACCTTCTTCAGCTGTAACAACTTGGTGGCCTGCATCAAGTGTTCTAATTGCAGATTACCCTCAGGCATGTCATGGGATTTGCACCATTCTTCTATACGAGTAATGTTGTATTGGATTTGCATTGCTATATGCTGGTCAGAGTCTGGTATTCTTCACAGCAATGAAGAAACTAACCTCGCTTCCAAGACGAAAAGTTCCGCCTCATGAGGAGATCATTGAAGCTGGCCACCCCAATGAGCTTCAGCAGCTCCGTGATGACTTGATGGACAACAGATTCCTCCATGTAATAACTTTTCAGACTCTTCCACACCTTGTTGAGGAGGTTTAGGATGTCGTCCATGCTGTAGGCGGGTTGGCTGTTCGAATTCAGCAGGCGGTTGAATAAACGATTGCCGCCGTCGCTGGCGGTGAAGCCTGGAAGTGACTGGCTCTCAATGAGCGCTGGGATCACCATCTTCGACAGCTTCTTTTTCGTTTCGAGCATCCAGGTATGGTAAATGTTGTACTCCAAACTGTCAAGATCATGTTTCACGACAGAGACGAGCCTTTCGTAGTCGTTCCAATCGAACGGCCTAACAGCATTTTCCTCACCTGGGCCAATGCCCTGCAGCATGTCGCTTTCGGCGACACAGATGAAGGACAGCATCTCGTGAACATTTGATAGCCAGAAGATTCCGGGGACGATGGCATCCTCGCCGGTAAATGACTAAAAATCTGGTAAATAAACTCGAGCGCACGTAAAAGTGAAGCCTACCATAACGTGTGCTTGGATTGTCTGCATAACATTCGCCAAAAACCTCTCACTCTCCGGAATAAGACCATATTTCCACATCTCGTTGGTGACAAGGCTAATCAAGTTTGCAGGGAATAAAATTTCCTTAACCGCTGACGGATTTGTGAGGCTTGGAGCAGGGATCTTGAGGCCACGAATTAGGCCATCTAGAACATCTTCATCCAGGCGCTTGACATCCTGCATAAGCCGAATTTTCTCCTCTGCGGGATCGTCGAAATCGCGAATATCGGGTAGACCGTTGTACTTGTATCGCAAGAAGTTGTCTTCGCCATTGAAAGCAACAGAAACCGCACGAGGATTCAAGGCGTGACTTCTCTTGATGTCACTTAGGATGTCATCAGAGGATGTGCGAGGATCCGAGGGTGCAAACGAGAAAACACCGGCTGAACTATGTCTACGCTGATGTCCACGATGCTGACCACCGGGAGCCGCGCCGCTCGAGTGCCCATTAACCTCGCCAAGACGGAGAGCCGGTGCAAATGTAGGAGAGAGGGGCGGTTCGCCAGCACGAGAGCCTCTTGTGAGGGAATTCAAAGCGTTGGCTCTATTCAGTTGTTCGCGAAGACTGCTGACTTCATTCTTAAGAGTCATAATCACTGAACTATCTTCCTGATTGCGAACGGGGGCACTGTCGATGGTTCGTTGTTGTACTTCCAGCTGGGATGCTTGACGCAGGACTTCCTCTGTGAGTTTCTGAATGCTTGCTTCCTTTTCTGAGGCCTTGGCGGTCGCCTCCTCCAGTCGCTTCTCGACATCGGCTTTGGAAGCAAGCAGTTCGTTCCGTTGACTGAGTTCAGATTCCATAATTTGGATGCTGAGTTGATGTTGTTTAGCTCGTGCGTCAGCTTCTTCATGGCGATTGATCCATTGCTGAAGCTGCTGTTCGAGTTCCGCGAGTTGGGCCTGAAGTTTTTTCTTTTCGACTGTGCGCTCTTGAAGGCTTTGGGTAAGTTCGACAACTTTATTTTCCAGGCGATACGAAATTTCCTTGAATTTGGAAACTGAGCGCGCTTCGGCCTTCAAGGCCTTCAGCTGTTTTCGGGCAAGACGGCGACGGATGCAGGACTGGATATAAACAACGTGACGAACATTGTGCTTGAACAAGCGACGGGATAACCTTTCGAAAGTATCAGTAAGGTGACGAGGTCATCGGCACGGCGCAAACATACACTCCTCGGAAGAGGCTTTGTAAAAGTGTGGCAGCTCGAGCGCTCCTCTCCTCCACATAGCGCTTCCGGGTTTGAATACCACGCACCCCTCAATGTCGAGAGTTAGAACAGATGCTCAACTTTGTGATTCAAAAAACACTCACGGCTTTGGAACAAAATCACGCCATGCCTGATGCCGACAAAGTGTTTCCTCTGCAAGAAACGCCTGATAGCTGTTTGGAGGCGGATTGCGGAGGCTTCGCGGCGTATTCTCTCTACAAAACGTTTCGCCAAAATACCGCGCCACCAGGTTTGGATCTTGATAGTGGCGGTCCGAAGTCTCTGGAATCGCTTCACGGCGAGCTGCCTGCGAACATTTTTTTGAACAACGGTTACCATCGCGTTAAGGCGGTCCGATCGGAAGGACTCCAGGGCAGCCAGCATTCCAGCTCTGAAGAAGATTTTGGTGAGACCATTTTGATACATGTCTGGATCTGCGATGGTCTTGTCGAGGATCTTGGAACAAAGCCCACGAAGATCCATAGATTGAATCATAGGCTGCCAACTCGAGGATGGGACTAGCATGTAGTACCTAAAAGTGTGTCGGATAAGAATGCAAGATTAATTGGGCCGGTGGGCTCACCTTTCAGCGAATTCCTCGTAAGTCCAGCGAGTCGGATATCCAGCACAACTGATCCGGATTGTTTCGAGAACACCACAGGCCCTGAGTTGTCCTAGGACTTGCTGGGGCTGGAATTCCCAAGGGCGCTTGAGCTCGTTGGGCTTGATACAACGAATGTAGTGCACATTTGTGGTGCTAAGGGTGTCCATGAGAGCTATCAAGGATGCCTTAAAGATCGAACCCTGAGTCGGCTTCTTATTCACAGCACCTGGCCTTTTTGTAGCATTTCCAGTAGTATTCGTTTGGGAGACGAAGGATTGGCGACCGGGGTCAGGGATGACGGATGATCGACGAGAACCACCACTACCAGAATCTGAGAAGGCCGGAGAAGCGGGTGGCGGCCCATCAACGCCTCTCGTCGAATTAAGAGCTGCATCGAGAACTTCCTTGAGGAAAGGATTTTTTGTTGCCGCAAGGAGGGCCATTTGTTCATCGGGTACGGTGTCGCGATTCTTTTCTAAGAAGCCTTCCACTTCATAGGTGACATCCAATGCATAGTGAGCAATAGTGAAGGCGGAATTTCCGAAGCGGGGCTTTTTATACACGTTTTTGTAGTCTGGTTTGGCTAAAATCTGTGTGTTCAACTTCTGAAGGAATGAGCTGTCGGTGCCGGATGGCATTCGAGATTCCTCATCAAGGAGAGCTAACACCCCGAGTTTGCCTTCAATGACATCGATGCAAGGTTGGTTATCAGAGAAATCGATAAATTTCCATTTGATCTCCTCTTTGACGTATTCTTCTTGCTCGAGTTTGAATACATGGGAGTTGAACTGAAAGAACGGATCAAAAATTGAAGCAATGGATACGGCATACTACGAACCTCTTGTTGGAGTTTCTCATTTGCATAGTTGATACTAAACTGCTCAAACGAGTTCTGATGGAAGGAGATCATCAGTGATTAAAAACTGGGGCTGAACGAGGGAAAGCTTACCTTCTGGAAGTGTTCAAAGCCATATATATCGAGCACACCGATGAACATCTCAGCTCGCTCAGCAGCATCACCATTTTCGCCTGCCAGGCTTTCATTCACAATGGCGACAAGCCATTCAAACATGCACGCATACACAAATTTGGCGACGCTATCTCTGACAACAGTCGCTTGAGCAGCATTGAGTGACGTGACGATTTTCTCGGAACGAGTTTGGATCTGTTTCTTGATGGTCCATTTCTTGAAATCAGCGAGATTTACTCCAAGGAAGCGAGTCGCCAGAAGCAAGGCCGGGTCATTGTCATCTACCGCGGAATCAGTTCGAGTGGAAGTGATCTTGACATTTCCTAGATGAAGGAGGGCGGCCAGGAGGCGGAATACTGCCCACTGTTTCTCGACGCTAATGCCAACAGTAGAAAGGGCCTGCTGCGTCGCTCTGAACTCCTCTGCATCGTCAACACCAGCGATTGGAGTCGACGATGGACCCCCTTGCTTGAGATAGAAGAACTTCGTGATATCAGAGTCTAAACCCAGGTCTTTACGCTCCTTAACAGGAGCCCCGGCACAGAGCTGGTAGAAGATATGGTAGTTGCGTTCCGTCAGAGGTTGGAAGACTATTCGCGAGCGCTCCAGAAGATAGGTGCGGATTCGGGCGCCGACAATCTCTTGTTTTCCATCAAACAAAATCTATCACCCGTGTCAGAGCGGCGTTTCGACTTGATGATTCAGACAGACCTGGATGTATTTACCGAAGCGAGAAGAGTTGTCGTTACGGGTTGTCTTCGCATTTCCAAAAGATTCGAGGATAGGATTCGTAGCCAAAATCTGTCGTTCTATTTCGCTGGAGTCGTCCACCGAAAACTTGGTTTTGGACTTTTGATTTCCATCAGGCGGGTTCACTGAAGCAAGGTAACGCATTATAAACTTGGCCTACAGACAAGGGCATGAATCAGAGACTTCAATCAGGCAACTTCAGGGAACACAACGCACCGACTCTGTTTTTCCAGCACCGCTATATATAGTTCAGCTTCGCCCAACCGATACTTGATGACAACTCGCACCTTTCTCCTGACACAATGATTGTCTGTCCAGTCCCATCCTTCCTCATCGCAGTATAGGCATCCTCCGCAATGGCAAACAAATGCGGCTCCAACTCCCCTCTCTTTCGGCCGCTGTATGCTTGGATAATCTCTGGACCATACAGAGTGACGCGTTGGAACGGGTTGACGGCGATCAACACGATACCACTGTAAGTGTAGATGCTATGTTGCGCGTATCGATTCCGAATTGTGTGCAGAACTACATCAAACGAAGGAGTTATGAGAAGGTGCAAAGGTAGCACAACGGTGCCATACCCGAGGGCTCATTCAAATGAGAGAGGGTGGCGAGGTCGTCCGCGGTCTCCAGCAGAGGGGGGTTGCGTAACGGTGGAAGGCCCTCTTTTCCTTCCTTGATCTCCCTTCCTGTTGTATTTATCGTGACTTCCTTGAGTAGCAGACCGAATGAGAATAAATGCGTGAAGAAGAAAAGCGGAGCAACATACCCTGCTGCGTTCGTCTGCGAAGACCAGCTTGATGGTGTCGTCGCTGCCTTTCGTGACAGAAAGAACTTCTGCAGATATCCAAGCATGGTCTTTGTCTTCGAACCAGACACGGGTGCCCCTGCTGTATATATTCTCGGCCATGTTGGCAGCGAAAAGAGCAACGGCTTGTCCCGCAAGAGGTTGGAAGGAAAGTGTTGTTGGTCCTTGTTATCCAACGTGATGTTGGACTTGAAGTGATCTTGCCCTTATGCTTTGATGTCTGCTGGAGGTTGAGCACTAATTTACGGGCTCACTTTGGCAGGAATTTGCATGTGTGCTGCTTCGAGACTCTACGCCCTCTGACGCCGTTCCCCAGGTTTATATTGTCCGCCGTCGATGTACCTGACCCAGCGCGGGTTTGAGTCACGTGGAAAGTCAGGATGTAGCTATTTGACGTTGCTTGGCCCGGTCGAGACGGGATAACAATTGGAATGGACCTCGTCGAAAATGGAAGTACAGTCGCCGTCGTCAACGGTCCTCTCCACCTCCGTCCACCTGTGCCGCCCCGTTGCAGATCCTTGACGTTTGCGCGGTCAGCTCCGGCGTGCCTGAGGCAGCGACCCCTCTGTTTGACGTGCCTCCAGATCATCCATTCGAGCACTCCGGCTTGATTGCGAGGTTTGGGTATCAACGCCTTCCCGTATCTAATTATTGCACTTGCTGGTGCTGAATCATGGACACTATCTTTGGGCGCAAAAAGTCGCGCCCTCGACAATCCTCAGTTTCTGGTCAAGACCTTGGCGAACGCTCCATACCTTATGACAAGCTCTCGCTTCCTTCCCGGTCCCCCGTTGCGGTTGGGACCGTGAACCAAGGCATGAAAGGAATCTCTGCGCCAAATACGAACCCCGCTCTGACGGCGACGGGCACTGAATTAAACAAGTTTACTATGCAGCGAAGTCGGATGGAGAGGGAGAAAGTTTACGAACGTTTACGACAAGATTCGCCAACCGCGTCTACCTCTACGGCCGATTCTTCGACCTTGTATGATGGTTCCACAGAGACACTGGCGTCTCCGCAGAAATCCACCATTTCTCTCCCTCAAACGTCCCGAATCCGAAGGAGCGAAGCTTCGACTACATCAGCCAGGGGTCAAAACCTGGATTTTGGCCAATACCAACCGCATGGCACTCCTACCTCTGGAACTATTCGACCAACGTCAGGCATGACAACACGATCGGGAAATCGAGACTCCAAATACGCTGCCTCGCTTGCATCCTCTGAGGGAGGCTCTCACAACTCGCACCTCTCTCACTTGTATCATCGGCACCAGGGTGAAACTTTCTGTTTCCCTCGTCCAGAGACTGACGAGGAAATCGAAGTTCTTTTCGAGAATGTCCGACGTACTAGAGATTTGGCGCCGATGCCCAACCTTCCTCTTGATCAAAAATGGCATGTGGTTTACAACGACGAACATATACGTTGGAAGGAAGAGAAGCTAAGGGAGGAGCAGTCTCGAAAGCGAACGGAAACCGGCCAATCGGGGATCCTGACAGAAACGCCAGAATGGTATATTCAGAAGTTTCTTGACAAGACCATCACACAGAAACAAGCCTCGAGCCTCCTTGTGTCGCTTCGCAGCAGAGAGTTGAGGTAGGTAACACAACTAAATTGTCTTGTCGCCTTATTCATGATTCGCAGCTGGTTCGAACAATTTATTGATCTTCGTGGGACGTCTGTTCTAGCGCAAACGCTTCAACACATCAGTCGGAAAGGATCTTCAAGGCATGTATTATGTTTGTTGATCAAGAATTACCTCGCTGATTTGATTCACGTTTAGACGAGAGACAGATATCCTACTCGAATACGAAATCGTCAAATGTTTGAGGCAGATATTAAATATCAATGTTAGGTCTTTGTGTTATCGAAGTGAATTCAAACTAATCTCGTAACACATTGACAGGCAGCGGCTAACGATGCGTTGAATCACGCTTCCTTTGTTACCCAAATCGCATCCTCTCTCAATAGTCCCCACCTTCCGACGCGCAAAATCCTTGTCGAATTGTTAACCTTTCTTGCCGCCAGGAAAGAGGGCGAAGCACATGACCTCGTAGTAGCAGCTTTGGAGGTTCTTAGCACCTCCAACAACGAGGCTGGTGGATGTTATGCCTACTGGTTCAAGTCGTGGGAGCAAAGTATGTCCGGCAGAGGGAAAATGGGAAGCTTAGTTGGGGCCAGTGAAGAAATCAAGCGAACAGGAGGCGTTGACAGCTCCTTGAACGAGTATACGGTAGGTCAAACCGTTATGGCGTTTCAGACGCAGTCGCTCACTGCAGCCCCAGCTCGCAAACCTGTTTCTTCTTAACGCCATTTTAAGCCATGTGGATGACTTTGATCTTCGGCTACACCATCGATCCCAGATGGAATCTGCGGGATTGAAGCATATCCTGGAGTTATGTTCGACCTTCGGCATGTCGAGCATCGACAAACGAATCAAGATGATCCAAACGCTTTTCGATGAGGACGAAAAGCAGCTGCGTGAGCGGCTGGACCAGGAGATTCTGCGGGACTTGACAAATCCTCAGGATGTTTTCAATGCGATATACGCTAAAACACAGGGTACTCGGGCTAGCAATTATTTCCTATCCATGATGCAGCACCTCCTCCTCATTCGCGAAGAAGGTCAGCCAATGGTTCATTATTACCAACTCCTTGACTCGATCGTGACGGATGTGGTATTGGACAAGAAATTGGCTGGTGCAGAGCAACGCATGGGCCACTCCGTTGAGCGGATAATTGCCCAATTCAACGAAGCAGACCGATACCAACTTGCTGAAGATGAAGCTGCAGAGGCACGCGCCCTTGCAGTTCGACTTAAGTTGGAGAAGGAAGCACTAGAGGAAGAAATATCTCAAGGTCAAGATGGATTTGTTGGGCAACTCAAGGCCCGAATCTCAGGCCTGGAAGAAAAGCTTTCGGTATCCCGAGAAACCACTTCAAGATTGCACAACCAATTGGCAAGTCAGAAAGCTTCGTACGAAGACAGGATCGCCCAACTCGAAGCACAAATCATGGAACTCTTTAGGATGTTGAAGGAAGCAGGGACGGGTGCCATTGAAACCATTTTGGATGGCGGCAGCATGGATCGCAAAGCACTCGTTCAATCACTAGAGCGCAGCTTCCAGCGACATAAAACGATCAGCATTCTCGAAGGCAAAAACAGCTTCCGGCGAAAGAAGGCCCAAGCAACTGAAGGCACATCTGCGTTTGACGACGACGACGACGACAATGATAGTCAAGCAACCCCTGTGAAGTCGGGGGTTACGAGAACGCAAACTGGTCGAGCTTCGGGAAAGCAAGGCTTTCAGGCGGTCCCTGGTGGTGAAAAACTCGTCGACGAAAGTGGAAGAGTCTCACAATTCATGGATGCAGACGAGGCGGATGCTCGTGAGCAAGTGCAACAGCAACTAGCGGCAGGCGTTAAATTAGTAGGTTCCTCTTTCCTCCTCCTGATATCATGTCCTCACCCTGCTTTAGTATTCCCCTCAAATTGGTTCAGTATCGAGCTCTCGCAGTATTCGTGGATCGCCTCGACGGACGGAAAGACCTCCGCTGGGCGGCGAATCATTCAAGTCGAATCATCTCCTGGCTCCGAGAGGCGACGAAACGTACTCAAACGAATCCTACAGTCGGTCATCCTCTCCGGTTAACGATGATGAGAGTGATTTCGCTCGATCTACTCGCAGTGGTTTCAGCAACAGGACTGAGGACACGGCATTCACTTCCATCAGTTCTAATGGCTCTGTTGATAATACTAAAGTTGCACCGCCTGGATCGTTACTTGATCAACTAAACAAGCATCTCGTTTCCCGTGGAAAAATTCTTCCTTCGCGAGATGACAGCCCTCTCCAGTCACCCGCATTATCGACATTGCCCGAAGAACATCTTCCTGATGACGAACTTGGCTTTCCTATTCCTCCTCCTCCTCCTCCTCCTCCTCCTCCCCCTCCACCCCCATCTGGATTCCCGAATGCTTTCGTACCATCCTCCCCTGATGCACCCCCACCTCCCCCACCTCCCCCACCACCGCCTGGTTTTACGGGCGCCATCCCTTCTGCATCCAGCATTCCGCCGCCACCGCCACCTCCTCCTCCACCGCCACCGCCTCCAGGTTTGAGAGGAATGGTGGCAACAGCCATGTCTGGTGCTCCTCTTCCTCCTCCACCGTCGAATCCAAGTTCAGCTCCCAGCTCCACCCGCACGTCGATGCTTGGATCCCATTTCAATATAATGAACACCCGTAAAGAGATGCCCATCACACCAAGCACGAAGATGAAGCAACTACAATGGGACAAACTTGCTCAACAGCAAGTTGGCAATACTGTATGGAAGGAGGATGCCCCAGAGAAGGAGCATGCGATGCTAAAGAAACTTCAATTAGACGGTGTGTGGCTCCAGATGGAAGAAGACTTCAAGGCAAAGCAGCTTGTGATCAACTTAATGGGTGATTGCATTCTCTGCTTAGGCTTTGTGTTTCTTTTTGACACCGTGATCCCCAGCTAAGCAGAAACGCGCCGAACTCCGAAGCATCCTGGATCCAGAAACCAAGAAACGAGTTGGTCAGTATCTTTGCATCTAGCTGTTGAGATTGAAGGTTGACACCTTGCATGACAGAAATTATAATTCAACGTCACAGGCACCTGCAGCCCGAAGAGCTCGCCCAGAAAATCCAGCAATTCGATCCTAAGATATGTACGGAGGTGTTCCTAAGTTCTTTGAAGCCCGACCTTCCTTCACCAGAGCAAGTAAGCTGTTTTCACTGATTCTCCTGATCCCGCTCTCGAACTCTATTATCAGATCGGCAAATTGAACGTATATCGGAATGCGGACCCTGAGGAATTGGCTGGGCTACACCCCTCCGATAGGCTGATGGTTCAACTTATCAAAATTGACCGACTTGGCCCTCGCATCGAAGGGATGTTGTACAAGGTCACATTCGATGAAAGATGGGCATTACTTGACGAGGTCAGATCGCCCTATCCTTAATGATTGTACTGGTATCAAATGATGACAACAGGGTGCACGCAAACTATCCGACGCTGGTAGGGACATTCTCGATGCACAAAATTTCAAGCAATTGCTTTCTGTATGTGCCCACTGTGCATTAATGATCATTTCTAATTGTTCTCCGTGATTTAGCTCATTCTTCTTATTGGTAACTACATGAATGGAACGGGCATTAAGGGCGGAGCCTTCGGTTTCCGTGTCAGTAGCATCAACAAGGTATGCTGAACATCTTATTGTAAACCGTTTGTCTAATATAATTGTAGTTGGTGGATACGAAATCAGTCAACAACACAACGCTGCTTCATTTCTTGGAGCGGACTGTGGCCAGACACTTCCCGGAAATGGAACAGTTCCTGGACGAATTGGAAGTCCCAGCTGAAGGGTATAGAGGTATGGATGAGACACCTCCCTAGGCACGTTGGTTGCTAACAGTTACTAGTCAACCTACAGGACATTCGAAGGGGCCTTTCGGACTTACGAGATGGTCTCGCTCGCATTCGACAAGAACTCGTAGAGCATTTTGCAAATGTCGATCAAAATGATCTCTTCCAAAAGCAGATGTGGACTTTCTACAACAGAGCAAGCGTTCAGCTGGAAGACCTGGTTGACGACGTTCGGAATGCGGACACAACATTTGTGGATGCCATCGCGTATTACGGAGAGGACGACAAGAATATGACCTCATCCGAATTCTATGGAATCTTCAAAACATTTATCACATCATATAAGGTAAACTCGTTGAGCAGTATCCGTAGAACTCATACTGACCGTAAGCCCATCACTAGAAATGTAAAGTGGAGAACCAGACTGCTGCAGAGGAGAGACTGGCATTGGAACGCCGCAAACAGGCTCTGCAGGAGCACAGGGCTCATCGACAGAAGGAAGTTGCAGCTGAAAAGACTGAGGACGAGGGTGCGCTAGAAAGGATTCTGGACAATCTTAGAAACGGCGACCCCATTAGAAGCCGAAGGCGACGGACGACAGACAAACCTCGACCGACCTCAACCTTCGTCCACGATTCCGCCAATGCCATTGCAGATACTTCAAGCTTCAATGCGCAACTGATGCTTGCCCGATTGCAGTCTGATGGATTTGTTGCGCCTCCTTCCCCGACCGCGCCAACACAGAGACGACGCAGGAGGCGGATGGAAAAACCGTTGGACAGTGACAGAGATGGACCAACCTCTCCGCTGGTCTCTGAGATCGTGGAGGTGAACGAAGACGAGATGTCCGAGACAGCAGACGATTCTTCACAGACAGTACGACCAGAGACGCCCTAGATTTATGTTATATGTATTATACGACTGTATCTATTATATCACGAGGTGGACTTGGCCTGGAGGATGCCAAGAGCTTGTGCAAGCATTTATGATGAAAAGGAGCCTGTTGGGCTGCATCTTTCCAACCACTACTTTCATTCTCCCCGCCATGTTTTCTCGTGCCCTCATTGCCTCCCTTGCTCTCGTCCCCTTCGCCGTCGCTCAGACCTCGTCCGTCGACATTGCCGCCATCGAAGCACACTTCGAACAATCCGCCATCGTCCCCGACCTTTTCCCCTCCTTCACGCCCTCTGCCTTGCTCACCCTCGACTACCCAGGTTCATGATCTCTTTCTCCTCGTGGTCCTCGATATGACGATTCTCTTCCAGGCGTTGGTGAGGCGGAGCCCGGTCAGCTGTTCACAAAAGAGCGTAAGTCCCGGAAGCCTGCCCCTCTCGCTGCGGTGTATGGCTGACAGCTCTCCAGAGGTTGGCCCCACCCCGACAGTGACGATTGTCCCGGCCAACTCTTCTGTCTTGTTGAGCGGCACCTATACCTTAGCCATGGTCGACGCCGATATTGTTGGAAGCAAGCTCCCTGAGGGTCAAACTCGTCACTGGTTGGTCAACGGGGTCACCATCAGTGGTAAGCGGTCCTCCCAAAATGGCCCAAGTAGCATTCTTCTCAGGTCAGCTCCCTCGTGCAGGATCGACCGTCAACAACGCATCCGCTGTCGGAATTACCACCTACGCTGGGCCTTGGCCTCCCGCAGGCAGCGGCCCTCACAGGCAAGTGCCATTTCCTGTTGGCAGTATACCGACCTTTGACACGACGCCGTCATGATCAGATATGTGGTCGCTTTGTACTCACAGCCGTCCACTTTCTCTGCGCCCGCAGCCTTCTCCCAACCAAACATGGGCGTTTCCGTTTTCGACTTCAATGCCTATGTCAGAGTACGCCTTCCTTACCCTTCCTTTTTCTTCATTGTTTCAAGGCTCGCCTCCAGGATAGCGGACTTGGTCCTCTCATCGCGGTCAGTGAGAAACTTGACAGACGAACCATTCCTTATTCTATGCACTTCTACAGGCAAACTACATTACCGTTGAGGAAGGCACTGCCACCGCCTCCATCCCTGCCACTTCAGCTGTCGTCACTAGCACCCTCGCTGCAGGCACCTCCGTTACCTCCGCTTCAGGAAGCTCCACTGGAACCTCTGATGCTTCCTCCCCTACCACTTCCACTAGCGACGCTGCTGTGCTCTCTGCGAAGCTGCTGTCAGCGGTGGTCGCTGCTGGTCTCGCCATATTTGTCATTTAAGTTCACTTTCGACTTCGCACGGGATTGCATCAACGGACAACCCTTCGGTACTCCCCTCCCTCCTTACTACCAATCACATTCTTTTGTTGCATCCTAGTGTAGTTCCCGCAAGGAGTCGTTAAAGACACATGAAGTGAGCTGTGATTGATAAATTACAGAAACATTAAACAAACAAGACAGCAACAACCAAGCAACAACAGGTCCAGAAAGAATTGCAACTTCCTCATCCCTCAGGGAGCTAACCTTCATACCGCTCACGAGCCTATACGAAGGCATTCAGTCTAAACTCTGGATGAGGGCAATGCAAGGACACATACAGCATCTTGGGCCATATGAACGTAGTTCGTGAACCCTTCCGTATATTTGCCAATATCCTTCCCTTTGCTGGCACCCAAGCCGGCACCAGGGGTAAAAACAGCTGTTTGACTAGTGACAATGTTAGTTAACGGACGAGTAATACGAGGAAACGACAAACATGGGGTCGACCCGACCATCCCCTTCTGACCCAAGGCCGGTGCCCTCCTTCCAACCCATCATTTTTAACAACTTGTTCCCTACATTTGATTCATCCTGACCAGGATTAACATGGGGCGGAGGAGGTGTAGGTGCCCGGGGCGGTTCGGAGTATTTTTTTTTCGTGAGATTAGGCTCTTTCTCCGGGAGGGGTACATCGGGCTGATTGAAGAGTGTGCGGCGTTCAGAAGCGCGATCGCGGTACTTGGGTAGTTCCTGCGTCCCTGCCTTTCGTGCAGCAACCTTCTCTCGAGCAATATCTCTCAGGTTGGCATCTTTATAATTTTTCTGGTGTGAAAACGTCTGTCAACCATTCACGACCTGTGCGAGGCCACATACTTTATGAAGATCAGATTCCTTATTGTGGCGTTTTAACTGATCCAGCGACTTGAACTGCCGGGCACAGAGAAGACACATCAACGCTGCAACATCCGAAAACTCGAATTCGGCTTCGGGCCCAGGCGATCCTTCACTGGCTACTCGCGCAGATGAATTAATGGCAACCTTCATCGTCGGAGCGACCTGTGTGTATACCCTCATGATGAGAGGAAACCCATTTTAAGATCAAGTTGGCTGTAAGTTACCGCCGGTACCGGGAGAGCAACTGTGTCGTTCGATAACTCCTCCTGAACTTGGTTCCATTTGTTGATATTGCTGGCAGTCTGGCAACGCAGTGTCAGTCATCAACTCATACCTTAAACTTACAGAACATACCTTCTTGCTCGCAATCAGCGGGGCAACTTTTTTTACGACCATAGCTAGAGTTGTAATTGAATCAGCAAGGTGCAATGCACAGTCGAAAAGGACATACGCTTGTTGGGCTCAGAGCCTTGGTCTTCTTGTGAGTCATCCGCATTGGTCGAATCATCCATTGAAAACCCTGGCACAGAAACTTTAGAGGACCCTACAATCTTCGTAGGACCCTTGCTGAAGCTCAGAGTGACGGGTTTATCCGACACCGGGAGGGTTGAAGGAGTAGCTACAGCGGCCTTTAAGGCGTCTCCATCATCTAGAACGACATCAATATACATTTCCAAACATGGTTCATTGGCGCACGTTTCGTCTTCTTCTTTTCTTTCTTCTCCTTCGCTTGAATGGCGGGCCGTACGGGTTCCTCAACCTTGAACTCGAGGACTGCAATGGTTGAACTCTCATCCCAATATCTGACCCATGTGCCTTCCACTCCTCCAAGAGCCATAGTCGACTGAAGACAGGCTTCATCCCGGGAGAGGAAATCTGTCACAGGCTGGAAAGAGTATGGATGGGCGAAGGAAGCAGCAACTGGACGATCAGATATACGGAAACCAGACGGGTGGATCTGGGGAGACATCGTCGCAGCCAACACTCTCGAGGCAGACTAGGAGACGGTCAGGAGCGAACAAGGTGAGGAATAAACGCATTCTAACCTGCACATCAACGAACTCCACAAATGCGAAACCGAAGCTCGCCATTGTGACTTTATCCTTGATGAGTATGATCCGCCTCATGCCTTTCGCCCCGTCTTGCTTGTTTGAACCCGAAGACGAGAGCATGGCTTGGTAAATAGCCTGTGGGCCTGAAAGAAGATCCAGACCTCGGAAGAGGAGAACTGGTGCTTGCGTATTGCCAATATCACGAGTGCCATCGTTCAGGTTGCCTCTGTTCATCCGCCCCTTGTCATGTGGTGTGGCACTTTGGGAATAATCAATCTTGACCCTTCGCCCATTATGAGGTAGTCCGGCCTCCAAGGCCTTGTAGAAGGCCGCAGTTGCAGAGGCCCCATGAGATGCTGGAGGAGGCATCTGGATGAAGGGAAAGAGGGGGTCGACAAAGGCCCGGGCATGTTCGACGCTTGAGAATTGAGCAAAGCCGAAGCCTTTGGAAGAACCTTTTAAAACCCACGGCGAAGTATATTAATGAGTGTGCGAAGAAGCAGATACGAAGGTGCAAGTGCCTGATGATCTCTCGCGGATGATTGTGACGGTCTCCACACTGCAGCCATTGGAAACGAGGTATGCCTGAAGCTGGGTAGGAAGCGACTTCAGTCACTGATATCAACGGGTTCAAGAACATGGGAGTCGACAGACATCGGCCTCGGAGAAGTCTGGATCGAGTCCAAGAAAGATGACATGAGGACTGGGCTCGGAGGGTACAAGGCGCTTCTTTGGAAAGGCGCCAGGACCGCTACGAGCGCGATCCTCGTGGCCATATTCTTGTGACCAATCATGGTGTTGTCGATGCGGATCGGAGTATGAGTGGTCATCGTAAGGACGAGCGCCGTCGTAGCCCTGTGTATAGAGTGAGCGTCGAAACACCGTGGCAAGGCAAGATTGACGTACGCCGTTGTTGAACTTGCGGCGTTTGCCATCGCTGTAGGCATCTTCCTCACGGTCTCGCACGTTTCCCCTACTGTCCTGGGCTGACCATGTATGCTGGTCGCTCCAGGAGTCCTTTCCTCTGTCCCATTCGCGGTTGTAGGCCATGAGAGTAGAAAGCAAAGAGTGAAACAAACAATGGACAAACAAACCACCCGACCTTTACCAACAACCGCCATGGGCCATGGTCAGTGCCCAACTCTTTCCGACGCTCCGCTGCTGACGCCGTGCTTGTCTAGGTCCAGTAAAGGTGCGCGCGAGTGCTCAGCACTCCTCACTTACTCACTGCCTCCCAGATTGACCCCGCCATCGAGCGGTTCAATAACATGGTATGTATTCCCCAGGCAAGCTTCGCATCTGCTTATCATTCTGCAGCGCGAAAGCGCCTACTTGAACTTCCGCTGGACAAATCGCACCGTCCGAACCGCAGTTCTGGGCTTCATTGTCGTCCCTGCTGCTGTCTTCTACCTCGCAGACAGATACAATGTTCGTTGCGACGCTTTCTGCTCTGGGGACAACCTAACCAAGCATTTGTTCAGCAACGCCTCTACTTCACCGCCACGAGGAAAGGTCAATCTCTTTATGTCGGGGCGCCTTCACCTCAAGCAGAGGAGTAGAATTTTAGCACTGTTAGAGAAACGCAATGCAATCCCTCGCAACATGGAGGGCTCTTTGAACTCGGAAGAGCTGGGTTGGGGGTGATCTTTCAATATCTCTTTATTCTTCTGTCTTTGGGCTGCACCGGGTTGTGGGAAGAATTGTCGTGAGGACCGGGAATGAGTTGAGAATTGACCTGGCCCTAGCGTTATACAGAAGTCGTTACATGGCATACGTTATAATGATAGAGTCACGTCCGCACCTCACTCTTGTCCCATTGCAACCCACCACCCCACAGTCACTGCGAAACCCTTGTGATATCTCTCATCTTTCGTCATGCCCTCCGTATCTGTCTCCAAGGGTATTAAAGGCGAACAGCGGGGCGTCAGACGCTTCAACACTCGTAAATACTCGCTTTGCGATGAACTCACCGCGGCGATGCTAGAAGGTGATACCCATGTTGTTCTGCGGCATCTCATGTTTTGACATCTGTCAGCCCTTGAATCCTGCGGTCGTCCATCTCGTCAACATCGACGTACACTGTTAGCGCCCATTGTCTTCGATAATCTTGCTTTGTATCGCAGAATCCACGGCTATATGCGCAAAGTTGAAACCCATTCTCTCTCTGTGAGAACGAGTAAGGCGCACCTCAGCAGGCTCAGCTCTATTGCCCTGCTGTGCTTGAAACGTAGGCCGTCTTACTCCCTCCCCCTTCCCGACCTGACCATACAAAATGTTGCAGATATAAACTCGCGACTTCCTGTGCCAACGGAAACCATCCAAACTACTAGAACCTCGAAATCTCCCGTCAACACCAAAACCTTGAGCAAATACGCCATTTCTTCTGAATATTCACCTGTACCTACAAATTGCTTTGCAATATGCTCGTCCAGCGACATCTCGCCTGCTCCGCGCCATCTGTCTGATTGCTTGTCGATGTCTCGACGCCGTCTTGCCTCCAATATACCGACATTACAAAGCCGTCTATCGTTCACTTCCACATCCTGTGACATCAAAACCAATTGGCCAACGGAAATACCTTCTTTCCAAATGTTGTTCCCAATCGATGCATGCTCGACACCTATCACCCCTCTTGAACAGATCCTGCACACACCATTTCATCCTCCTGCTTTGCAACGCCCGAGTCCAACTGCGCGAGGCAACAACCCTGGACCATCTGTATGGACTTCTGTGGATCATAGTGCCGACCTGTCTCCTCTTGCGAACATCTTCTCGTTCAAGTTTTCTCTGTGCCCCGATCGCGAAATTCTCGCTCGCCGCCATTCTGTGGTCAGTCCTCCTGAAGTGCCGCCTCTCAATCCCCCCCGGCGCCTTTCTTATTCGCATTCCTCCAAACGAGATACATCCCCCATCGTTTCCAGACAATTTGTCACTGCTATTCCTCTGGATGGGTCAACACCCTCTCGTAATCTCACCCTTGCCTCTCCAGTTGCAATCAGGCCTTCATCAGCTTCGCGAGCTCCAGGCAGTGGAGCGGGTGACGGACATTGTCGACAGGATATCAGATTCTCTACTCTGACAAGCCCACACGTCATAAAGGTATAAGGCATTTTCCCCTACCTATTGCGACACCTAACAATTCTCGTTTACCCCCTACGTCGTCTTTGTTGATGTAAATTCCGTTAGTTTTATCACGTATACCTAGACGCGCATTGTTCAATATTTATGCGTAGCGTTGAGCGACAGCTTACGATATCACCATATCTTACGAAGCATTGATGTGGTGGCAAATGGGCAACCGTCGTATTTGAAGCATCTGACGGCCCGGTTGTAATTACCCACGAAACCTGTTCCCTGCCCTCACGACCTGACGTTTTCCCCTCCTATCACCTGAAGAGAAAGTCTACGCCCCCGACTCCTAAGGGCAAATGTCTGGAACTGTAAAGAGTTCCTTTTCCTCAGTCCTGCCATCGATACGAGTGCGTTTCTCTGAACCTCGCGCGCCTGAGACTAGTTGGCGCTCATGCAGTTGGTCAGGCCCCCAAGATCAAGCGAAAGCACCTACGAAAAGTGAGGATGCGTCATCGCGTAGACCTTAGAGAAGCCGATGAGATTGACCCTCTTATGTATAGTACTCATGGCTGCCTGATGTCTTCCGCCTCAAAGGAAGTGTGGGTCTCCTGGTCCCAGACGTTCAGTCCCCCGTCCCTGACGAGTACATTACCTGGGGCAATAGATCATCCCGAGGGTTGTTGGTCATGTCCTTACAGTGACGTTGTTCGCGGTGTTCGTGTGTTATATGATGGCCAAAGGCTACAAAGTTAGGCTATCGAATTCTATCTTTCCGTTGCTCTCCGTTGTGGTATGCGCACTCTTATCCTTGCCTTGACTCTCGTCCTTTGACTTAAGTATTCAGGTTGGTCTCATCCTGGTCTTCAGGTAAATTAAAAATTATGGCGCGTTTTGAATGGGATTAACAGAAGTTATGGTCCGTTTACAGGAACAGGTACGTCGAAAGACTTATTCTTGAGGAACAATACTAATCATAGTGAAGCACATCATACGACCGCTATTGGGAAGGCCGAAAATCATTCGCGACTTTGACCGCCAATACTCGTAATATCTCGCGCATGATTTGGGTCAACGTCGGCCCTCCTCCAGTACAAGCAGATGCTCAACCGTCGCTCGCCAAAGGGAAAATACCTGGTGCCGACGTGACGAACAGCCAACTTCGCCGAAGAAAAATCGATGCTCTACGTCTCTGTCTTTCGTTTGCCTTTGCCACCAAGCATTACCTGCGTGGAGAGGACGGAGTCAATTACGCTGACTACCAAGGCGTCCTCCCCGCTTCCTTTTCCCGATACGACGAAGTTGGATTGAGCACTCAACGCCCAAATCCCATTGGTAACTATGCCGCCACTAGAACAGACTCGAAGGCAACAAGTAGGGATGGGAGCATCAGTGGTAGAACCACCCCAGATCTTAACAAGCCAGACGCGACGAAAAGAGTCCGGCCGAAGCGGAGCAAGCAACTGACGGACCCGTCGACACCGCTGCTTCAAGATAGCCATAGGAACTTCGACTTCCGCCCTTTTGCTGAAGAGACTTCGCTCCCTCTGCCTCTTGTGTAGGTTTCCATTTTCTCGGAGGTGGTAGAAACGCTCTCAGATGCTCTCCTCCAGTATTGCACATGAACTCAGCCGGACGATTTATGGATTTAGAAGAGACGGTTTCCTTGAAACTGTCGGTCCCGCAGGTTAGTTCTCTGCTTGCTTAGTCTTCCTAGGTGCTTATTTCATATGGCTAGGCTTAAATGCGTTCACCCAAATGTGAGCAACCCAAGCTTCCAGTGGCTCTCGGCTGTTCTCACCTTGCATCAGGATTTCGAGCCTTGTGGATCAACTTACAGCCATGGAACGTGTTGCTAATACCCCGATACCTATCTCCTGTAAGGATTTGCTTCATTGTGAGGCACGACCATGCTCTGAGTTCCATTCAGATGGCATTCACTTAAAGCAATGTGTTACTCTTTACCTTTTCGCTCTTCCTATGACTCTCGTGAATGAGCTTGGATGGGCAACCGTGCCTCTGGTGACTGCTGTCGCATTCACGTTCATGGGTATAGAAGGAATTGCTGATGAGATTGAGATGCCTTTTGGTGTGTCCTTCGTTTCTGATGTTGGTTATTCTGTGCTGAAGTAGACTTGCAGGAACGGATGAACGCGACTTACCTCTTGGTGGAGAACCTTTTCCTTGGTCCTTATCCTTGCCTCTGACCCGCGTTCCAGAACGATATTGCCAGGATCTAAAAGAAGAAATCTTGTAAGCTGTTTCAAGGTTGGCACGGATAGATACTAATACAAGCGTCGTAGCTACATTATTGACCGCCTTCCCGAAGGTGGCCAAGGCATGTATGGGTACGACGATGGGGAGGGAGATGATTAAGACTTAACGTTACGACTCCCCTATGAATGAAGAGTAGTCGGAGACAATGGTAGCGCACGGAACTACGTTAGATGTTTACACGGTTCACGAACGAGAAGAGAGATGAATCTATGTCATTTGCATCAAATGATCAAATACGTCTACTGGAAATCTGGTTGGCAGAACTCGCCGGGCCCATATGGCTTCAAGCAGCAAAAAATTAGCATAATACTTCAAGGGTATTAGACCTAACGCACCTCGGATGTTAAAGCAGTAAGCCCTGCAGAGTTCTCACTTGTCTGTCTGCTGCTCTGAGGCCCAGGTTTTGGCTTCTTTCCCTTTTTGAAGCCATCGAGTATCCTCTTCGTGCTCTCAGGTGTCAGATCCTCCTGAGAAGAGAATGAAAAAAGGTTTCACGCCAATGACCAAAAAACAAACAAACGTAGAAGTCATCGCCCACAACCATCATTGGAGCATTACTGCAAGCTCCCTGACATTCAACCTCGATAACAGTGAATTTGCCATCCTTGGTTGTCTGTCCAGGCTTGATTGCTCCGAGGTGCTCACAAGCCGCGTTCAAGATGTCTGTCGATCCGCGCAGCATACATGGAGTTGTCGTGCACACCTGAACGAAGTGCTCGCCGATAGGTTCTCTTTACTCGTGTTTGTGAAAGGCCACTGCAGGGAAACTGCTCACGCACCGATTGAACATGGTATAGAAAGTCGCCACCTCATAAACACGCATGGGTGGCATTTCCAGAAGGTTCGCGACGTAGTTCATGACACTGATACTTGTCCAACCTTTGTTCTGTCGTTGTCCGAGGTCGAGGAGGGGAATAACGGCAGCTTTCTTGTATTGAGGCGGGTAATGAGAGATGATTTCTTTGGCGCGCTTCATGTTGTCCACATTGAACTCGAACGCAACCTAGAATGCAAGGTGGGCGACAGCTCAACAACTGTGAGCAGTAAGAGCGCGAGTTCGCAACGCACCTTAGGGTTGTTATAAGGGGTATCCCGATGCTAAAGAAGCTGTTGACATTCTGTTCACTGAGCTGTGGTGGGGTATAACATACCACGAAAAGCGCATCCGACCTCCTAGACGGGGTCGTAGAGAGGAGTCGCCTCCGAATGACGTTCCATGGTAGAGCCTTTCTAGCGAATCGTGAAAACATTGTAGTCGGCCCACACGGCGTCGAAGGCGGGGAGTATGAGATGGTCGTGAACTGACGAGAGTGTCCGAAGGTGCCATCACGTGCCAGCTGATCTCAGCCAATCGCGGTTGAGCCATTCAACTGCTTGACCCCAACTTGTGGGGACCCGCAACCCCTGCGAAAAAATAGTCTCGGCGTCCCATCCTCTTACGGAAGCTCGTCCTAATTTGGACGACCTACCGTGAGAGTCTGGGAAACTACCAACGGTCGCAAGGACCTTATGCGTTACGGATTTCCTCGGCGGCTTACGTCAGCTTTCGACGCCTCTTGCCTCAGTCGTGTCGTTGTTTTCCGCGTCGTCTTTGAATCTTTTGTGCTCAAGATTAACTGTACGGTCTACTATGATCGTAAAATATATACTAGAGGAAATTTTTCGAAGGAGCAATGGCAAAGTTGGCTTGTGTCACCTCGAGGGAATGGGGCAGTGGTCTTCACCATTGCCCCATTTTGGTCATCTTATTTAAGGTGTTTCTCATGTTGAGACTGGCCCAGTGGCACCGCTTTTTCCAAAAGAATGTTTTGAAGCTCCAAGTTGATGGAGATTCACTCAGAATTAGGCACCGATGAAGGGGGTGAAGGATAATGAAAGCAACAGCCTCATTGGAGCCTGTGTCACTGCGCTGGTGATAGCAATATCTCAATATTAGTAGGGTATTTTCACAACCTTCCAGCTTAAGACCCCTTTTCCTACAGAAACACCTTCCAAGGTGATCGTTTTGCAACTTGGTTTGCAACTAAAGCTTGACTAAAGCCTAACTTAGGCTAACAGCGCTGGGAGGTGGCAACATAACGAGAGCAAGTGAATTCTGTATATGATATACGTAGCTGTCAATTCAGCGCAGACATGCAATTTTTTAAAGGATAATGGGGCTTTATTGAGTGCACAAAAGCTGAGGGAGAGCAGGCAAGAGGCGTCGAAAGCTGATGTAAGCCGCTGAGGAAATCCATAATGCATAAGGTCCTTGCGACCGTTGGTAGTTTCCCAGACTCTCATGGTGGGTCATCCAAATCAGGACGAGCTTCCGTAAGAGGATGGGATGCTGAGACTAGAAAAAAAAGTGTGCCAGCAAAAGTGGCCACTTCCGGATTTGGTAACCAGCCCCTCTCCTTTATCCGCCATCATCGAGAAACACATCTCCCTTTCATCTACACTCATTTACGCCATCTGAACATCAAACAACAGTGGATATTCATTATTATAGTGTACGTAGGTTATCTCTGACCAATTTTAAAGCAAAATAAGGATAATAGGAATTAAAGCAAGTCAAATATTCTCCATGTCTGCGTCTTGAAGCTCGTCCAACTCCTGCCAGTCCATCTTGATGGGAATGTCAACTTGTGCAGTCTTGGTCTGGTCTCTAAAGTGTGTATAAGTAGGGAAAGGGGTCCAGTGATAGCGTTCCACTGCAATGATAAGTTGCATGAGTGCCTCGTCCCGTTTCATGCTGCTGATGCATGACTTCATTGGGATCTTCTTGCCAACGTCGAGACGTCAATGCCAGTCTATTTGGAGCTTGATCTCTGGAGCTGTGAGTCTCTTGTTGTCTTTCCTGTTTCCCTCTTTCAGTAAATTGAGATCGAGAACAAGGACGACATTGTCGAGAACATGTTCTGCTTTGGCAAGTTTGTCTCAGTGTTCTTGAACTTTTCAGTGTTTCTCTGCTGCTTTTCATTGGTTATATTCAGCTTGCTTTTGACGACGTTGCTGATCCAATTTCAAGGAATCGAGGCGATGGACCTCGCTGCATAGGAAGGCTTTGTGCTTCTGTGTTAGGATCTTCTTCATGAACCCATGTGTCCTGTTGCATTTGTACATTGTCCCAGCATTCCAGCAAGTCAGTGACATATTGGGGGCACATCGGAGATCAGTGCATAATTTGCTGAGAGCACCTTCGTTGTGATCATTTGTTGCGCTGGTGAATAATCTCTTCTTTTGTTCTTCAGTCATGCCATTGATAGGCCTGCCCTTCTCAAACTCCAACCCAAATTGTTCCCAAGTCTCAAGCGCACCCTCAAAGAAGTCAATGAGGCACCCGCGTAAGTAGGGAAGGGTTGGCACCATCCTCTGGACCGTGTAGAATGCATCTGCACGTTCCCAAGGCTTCCCATCGAAGGACCCAGTTTCGAATGATGCGTCTTGAGCCAATAAGAGGTCTGGATTGTCAATCACCGCCTGGCAATGATTCTTCACTTTGTCATGTAGAGGAACAAGGTCCAGGGTGTTAATCCTCTGCTCCCCAGAGCCGCGCACGACACGCATGTAGGAATAGCTGATAGTGAGGAGATAGAGGGTGAGTGCAGCCATTTCCATGAGAGTAGGTGTGTCATGGAGACCATTGAACATGTTGAGCTCCAGGTGATTGAAGTTCCCCTTCTCCTTGTTATCCTTCACCTCCAACATAAGATCGATATACAGTGGGAGGTGGATGAGGAGCTCAGTGGCTCCCTGGAGGTGGGATTGGAAATGGGTGTTCCTTGTGTCTGGAAAGTGAACAGCGTACCCCAAGCAGCACTCAAAGTAGATTCGGTATGTGTCTTGTAAGCCTTTCTTGTTGTCCTTGTGATTGAAAAGCATTCCTGCAAGCAATGCCAACTTGATTGCCCCTCCTTGTGAGACATCCATTGCTTGATCATGGGCAGTTGATGGGCCAGCTGCAACTGCAGCAGCGTTATCGTGATTGAAGAGTTTGAGTGGCCCTGGGATCTTGTTCCAAGACCAGAACCCTCCCATGCGAGTTGCCCCACCCTTTGTCCCATTCATCTCCTTGTGCATGCAGCATCCTGTCCAGATGTAGAGCGCTGCCTCCTCCTTTGCCTCAGTTGAAAGTTTCTCCCATGCTTCATTGCCAAGACATCGGCATAGTCGATTGTATGTTTCCTGATCTTGTTGATCCTTCTCGTCATCTGAAAGCAACTCCCAGGCTTCAAGACCTCCAGCATCTGCGAGTTTCTTGATGTTCTCTTCCCAGAGACAGCACATCAAGTCCTAGAGCAACATCTGGCTCAACACCTCCTTTCCCTGAAGCACTTCCATCAGCTACGAGAATGTATGAGATACTGTATTTTTACAGGGTAGCCTCATAGATCAGGACTGTGTTTTTACAGTCCACCTACTGGAGTTCATTGGGATGGCCTTGCCAGCTCTGCCGGGGCTCGCAGCTGTGGGCAGGACCTGTCAACACATACAAACAATGCAGGAAACAGTGGCCGAACACTGTTTCTTGTCGTTTGGGGTGCTTCCGCCCCTGTTTTCGGCAGGGAAAAGGTGCCAATGACGAGGAAACATATTTCCTCAACGTTGTGCACCATTTCCCCTGTTGTCAGGGGGCAGGACTAGGTGGATTGGGCCAGGTGGGTTTGGATGACATGGCCTTTTTTCCAGGGCCCCAGAACTATTTTTAGATAATATTGTAATTACAATGACACATCCCTTATAATGCTCTCGCCGACGTCTGTCACGACGTCCAGGGAGCTCGGGGGTATCTTATAACATACAAAAAAAAAGTCATATTAAATTGGAAAAAATATATACATTGTGCAGGTGGCTCTGCCAGCCACCTGCTGTGAAATAAACAGAAAACGAGCAGATACGACGCACTATGATGCATCGTTTCTGCTCTGTGGGGCACCTGGTCATCCCTGCCGTGCACGGGCCACCTGCTGCCACGGCCGTACACTGGCCCCGCTCGCCACCCCACTCGTGTTGCTGCCCTACTCGTGTCACTGCCTTGCTCGCATCACCGCCCTGCTCATGTCGTTGCCCTGCTCGCATTGCTGTGTTCGCATTCGTTTACCCACTAATGTGCTCGGTTGAGCTCCTCGGGCGCTCATTCACCCACTGGTGTGCTCGGTTGGGTGTGGCACTCATTCACCTCCCTCCTCACCTCCTCTGCCTTGGTGGCCCCTTGGGTGCTTGTTAAGGGTGAGGCACAGATGCGAGGGGGCAAGGGGCAAAGGGCAAGGCACAGAGGGCGGAGGGCAAAGGGTGGAGGACAGGGGGTGGAGGGCAAAGGGCAAAGGGCAAAAGGCAGGGCAAAGGGCAAAAGGCGGGGCGAGGGGCAGAGGGCAAAGGGTGGAGAAAGGTGGGATGAAGTGGGGGAGAGGGAGAGGGGTGAGGTGGGGGAGAGGGGCGAGAGGGGCGAGGTCAGAGAGGGTGAGGTCGGCGAGGTGGGTGAGAGGACAAGGTCAGCAAGGCGGGTGAGAGGACGAGGTCAGCGAGAGGGCAGGGCAGAGGGAAGGGCAAGGCAGAGGCAGAGGGGCGGACGAGGGGTGAGTGAGGGAGAGAAGGAGGGGCGGACGAAGGCGAGAATGCGGGGCAGAGGGTGAGGCAAAGGACGAGAGGGTGAGGGCAGGGGTGAAGGATGCCGCCGCCCCCGCTGTCATCGTCATTGTCCTGCCCCTGCCATCATCATCGTCGTTGTCCTACCCCTGCTGTTGTTGTTGTTGTTGTTGTCCTACCCCTGCTGTTGTTGTTGTTGTTGTCATGCCCCCTCTGTCGTCGTCGTCCTTGCACTGTCGTCATTGTCATCGTGCCCTCGTCGTCTTCATGCCCCCACCGTCATCGTCATCGTCCTGCCCCTGCCGTCATTGCCGTCGTCGTCCTACCCCTGCTGTCATCGTTGTGCCCCCTCTGTCATCGTTGTGCCATTGTCATCGTCCTCGCACCGTTGTCGTTGTCATCGTGCCCTCGTCGTCTTCATGCCCCCGCTGTCATCATCGTGTCCTTGTCCTCGCCCTCGTGCCCCCGTCATCCTCATCTTGTCCCTGCCCTCGTCATGCCGTCGTCCTCATCATGGGGTGGGCACCACCGTGAATGCAGATTAGCAGACCCACATTCCTTGTTGAAGGGGAGGGGCACACGGCACAGGTAGGGCAGGTTGTAGGGCAGCAAGGGCCGGTGAGGGCGAGGTTCTGAGGGAGAGGGGACACGCAAGGGAGTAGGGGACGGGGAGAGGCGTCAACAGAAATGCAAAGAGGCCCACATCCCTGTTGAAGGGGAGGGACATGCAGCAGGTAGTGAATGTGAGGGGGAGTGCCTGGAGGAATAGAATATACAAATAAGTAAGTTTAATGATAGACAATGGGCGTACATACCTTACATGCGACGAACGCGAGCTTGGTTGAGCATTTTGAGACGTCAGGGGGTGCCAGCTGGTGGCTGGGAGTAGCAATCAACAATGTTCAAGCGCTCTCGGAAAATCCCGTGCGTGACCTGATTGGCTGGCATGACCGGCCTGCCTACCAATAATTTCAAGCAGGACATTGAGGACGTCCTCAAAGGTCATCAGGAGATTATTTTGATAAAATTAGTATAGATTATTGATGTAGAAGTACATTAGATTCTATTTCTATCACCTGAATGTAGTGAACTTGTATAGATATACCAGACATAATAAGTGCAGTGTTGGTGCTGAAGGTTTCAATGAAAATCTTGTCATTAAAGCGGGTGTTTGAAGAAAATGGGTTCAAAATGCTGAGAATATTTGGAAGAGCTAGCAATACTGTAGATTACACATGCTAGATTTAAACCACAGAGTATACAGGCCTGTTTCATCTATTTTTCTCTGCTGTATATGCAGGTAAGTCTTTGCATGATACCCGAAATCACCACACAAGAGACTTGTGCGGGCTATTCTGAGTTCAAACACACTGGGATTACTTTGAAATTCTAGATACACTATGTCATTTACTCATATATACATATCCGGTACTTGTTTTTCTGTTTAAACACCCACATCTGAGTGCAAAGAGATCCCGTTTCTGAAGACCGGAAGATGAGGTTCGGAGCAGAAGCTCATCATCCAATCGGAAGCCGCACGGCAGTGGCCGAAAAGGATCAACAATGTTCAAACCATCGTTGACCTTTGTCCTCGACATCCATCCCCTGCCCCCACCACCTCTCTCGTTGGCCATCCAGCCCTGAAAACACGACAAAAAGGTATGTAGAGTACATTTTATTATTTTCTTATACTAACTACATTCACTTTGTCTCATCAGAGCCTGCCCACATCGCAGATGACATGGCCTCTCGCCTCGACCCCACCATGCGCCCCTCCCCTCACACAGGGATGTGGGCTGGCTTCCAGCCCCAATGCACATCCTCTCTCAACACCCAATCTCCCCCACAACCCGGATGTTAACCCCACCGCTCCCTGCTCGGCCCGCCCTCGCCCTCGCATCACCCCACCCCTCAACAGGGATGTGGGTCTTACTTT